CACCTGCTATAAAACAGTCCTGCTTTAGAGTTGGGTCGTTTGTCTGTCTGGTTTTTTGCCCTGCCAGTCCACACTTGATTTATCTCTGAATTTAACCTTGCTGCATTCTAAATACTGTATACTTAAAATCTGCCAGCTGCTGGGTTTTGTGGCCACGGGAAAGGCACCATCAACCAGCACCAAAGCCAGAGCTCTGCACAGGTCCCACCAAACCCCAGGTATGTTTGTGACAATTACAGTTTATTTTGGGGTGATGGCCATGCCCATGGACTCACAGGACCTGAAGATGGAACTAAGGGAGGTTTGTTCCTGTACACACACAGTTCCTCTATTGCACTAAGCAAATAATCTTGATTGAGAGAGGTGCAGACACGCTGATATCCTCAAAACTATGGAGGCATTTCACAGTTTGTGTTATTGAGAGGGACTGCGGTCTGCTTTCCCTTCGGATAAAAATGATTGATTGCAAACAAAAATCTACCTGTGTCACTTCTGAGAATGCCCTGGGCTGGTTCCAGCACTCTGTGTGTCTCCAGGATTTGCAGGATAACACTCACTGTGTGAGAAGTGTGTGGGGTTCAGAGGGAGACTGATAGAAACCTGTTGTGCCCTGATTCTGCTGGAGGGTATGAAGTTCTGCTCTTCCCCTCTTGGGTGCAGACAAGCTTTGAAGGCCAGACTGCTTTCTGTGTAAAACAATCTTTGAAGCACTTTGGAATGTCCCTGCCTGAAGACAAATCTCTGTTGAATAATTCTGCCTCCTTTATCGTGATATGATTACTTATATTGCAGTAATTGTTGTGTTTTGTACCAAACCTGTGCCATAAACTCCCCAGTATTGGCTGGGCTTCAGCACAACTAATCAGTCTGAGGACATTTATTGCCACACCAGTAGCAAAGCAATAGAATTGTCCTTGTATTAGCAATAAAATGGAATACAATAAAGTGGGAACCCTCTAAGACCACTCAGTGTTATTTTATAGAATCATAGAAAGTCAAGGAAAGGTTTGGGTTGGAGGGGACCTTAAAGCTCATGTCATTCCAACCCCCTTTAAACAAAAAAAGAAAATAAAACCAGCAGGGGCAGCAACACTGGAAGCAACCAGGGGATCTCTCAGCATCTTTCACAAGGCAGCTGGGAGCAGTGGGCAGTCAGCAGGGAGGATGGATCCAGCAGGGAACAGTGATGGCAGCACGTGGAAAGGACCCTCCTGAGGGAGTACCACTGTCTTACACCTTCTACTACTAAAGGAGAGTTAATTTTTACAGAATTTATTCTTCTGGGCTGTGCTTGTTAAGGGAATTTCCTTCCTATAACATGTGCTGGCAGGCTGAATATTTTCTGCGTGAGCAGAGGGATCACACCAGGGCTCCAGGCCCACGTTTCCCCACTGAGCTGTTGTGGAGGTGGCTGTCAGCACCTCAGCACAGCCTGTCTGCAGTCAGAGATGTAATTAATAAATGGGAACAACCCCTGCCTGCTCCTAGGTGCCCACTGGAGTTGATGATTAAACCCCAGTGAGGGCAGTGCCGCTCGGAACGAGCCAGATCTGTTCCTGCTGCACAAATCCCTGTGCAAAGAACAACAGTGCCCCTTTCTGTCACTTCCTGGACTTCAAAGTTAAAAGTGTTTTTGTTTGTTTGTTTTTTTTTAATTTCAAAGGACCAGGATTTGCCCTGCTTGGTTGCTGTAAAATGAGAGATGCCCTGGTGATGCTGGGGGCTGATGAGCTGGGCTCAGCTCTGTGCCTGGCCTTGGGGCACGGGGACCTGGGACAGGGTGACAGGAGCTGAACCCCAGCAGCACTGCCATGCCTGACTCCATAAAAACCCCTAATTTATCATAACCACCAAGAGGCTTGCAGGCTTTCAGGATGCCCCCCAGGGATTGTGGTGCTGCTGCCAAAGCAGCAGCCTGTTGTATTAGACACAGCACATGGCTGGATGGATCCCCACCCCACTGTCCTGCACACATCCAGGGTCTGGGTCCCACTGCCTCCCTCTTTGTGTGGTCACTGATGGTGGCTGGGGCAGCAGGAATGCAAAGGGCCATGGCACTGGCACAGGAACACCCCACAGCTCCTCCATCAGCCTTGCATGACTGCAATACCAACACAAAGCACCAGGCAAAGCCTGGAAATTATCCTGATGATGAAGCAGAGAGTCCACATTCCTTGAAATAAGGGCAATTTATCCCTCCTTCATGTTGGAGTAGTTGGAGTTGGAGTGGGTCCTTCTCTCCACCTGCACATGAGCAGGGAAAGGGCAGGGCCTCAGCTGCCAAGTACTGCCCAAATCATGCTGGAATGTGGTTAAACACCCTCACACATCTCCAGGCCTCTGTGACAGGGCTGGAGTGTCTCCAGCAAGCCCCTGCCCAGGTTTGGTGTGCTCCAAATGGGAGATGTGTTGGTTCAGCAGATTCCAACCCCCCTTCCCAACCTCCCATGGGGCACCAGCCCCAAGGCTCCAGCTGACACTGCACCAAAGCTGCTGCACAGGCACAAAGTCTGTTATTAGGAGGAGCGATTTCTCCTGGAGACTGTTGGCCCAGCACAGCTGATGTTCTTTGAGACTGCCAGAATTTAACAAACCACTTCTCCTGAATTTGATCTTTGTAATGAAAGATGTGCACCGGGATGCTTTTAATTGGGATAGTAGGTCTTGACAGGCTCATGCAGACATGGAAATGATATGTCTGAGCCAGTGTGGGACTGATAGTTAAGAAGCAGATGAATATTCTGTGCAAAATGCAAAGCTGAGTGTTTTCTTTAGGTCTTTTTTAACATCGTTGTGCCACGTAAACACAGTCTGTGTAATCTGCATTAAGGCACTGAGGGTACATGGGAGGCATTGTGGGATGGGATGAGCTTTAAGGTCCCTTCCAACTCAAACCATTCCATGATTACACGATAATGATAAACCAAGTACCTTTGTTCCTGACAGGCAGTTTAATTTCCAAACTAATGTAAGCTTTCTTCAGAGAGAGGGGCTGACCCATGGAGGCAATTGCACTAAACAATTTACTGATGTTAATTAACTGCTTGCAGCATTAAGCTCCATTCAATCGTTTTCATCACTGACCTTGCAGCACCATCACCCTTCCAAGACAGTCTTTGAATACTAAACAGGCTCATGCTGACAAAACCCAGAGCCAGGCTCCTAATTCCTCTCCAAACAGGCATCACTGGAGCTTTGGCTTTCCACTGAAAGAAGGGGAAGGCCTCCTAATGCAAAACTGCACCATTTCACAGCCCCCCCCATAAAAGGTGTGCACAAGGGGAGGAAGAGAACTGACCCACATTAGGGATCCAAGGAATGCAAGAAAATGATGCCTGATTAGCCACACTTCAGGAAAGCAGGGACATGCTGGTTTGTAGTTGAGCAATTAACTAAATTAGTTGGGGGCTGACCAGCGTAATGCAAATCTGCACATCAGGGAGGGGACCAGGAGAAAAGGTCTGACCAAAAACCCATCAGGTTCCTCAGCAAACACTGTGTTGCACATGCATTGTCTCCAAAGGGAAGAAGGAGCCATTAAATCCCCCAGCCTGAGCCCAGTGATTACAAACTGGGTGCTCACACCCCTTCTGCACCGTCCCCCTCCTCCACAACTGCCTGTTCAAGCAGCAGGGCTTGGCTCTGGGTGGCACCAGGCAGAGCCCTGGGCCTGCTCTTGCATAAGATCCCAGCCCAGGAGTCACACACCCCCTGGGCATAAACACCCGTGGTTTCTAGTGGCTACAAACACAGCCAGCCTGGAAAATGCCACTTTTTGACTTGCAGGGTTAAACAGCAACGCCTGCCCTTGGAACGGGGGCTTGCCCGCGGTGAGTGATCCAGCCCAGAGGATCTGGCAGCAAGCAGGAGCACTTCACCCCGTGGAAAGGCACAGATCTGGAGTTCATTCCCAGAGGGATGACCCTGGTCTCCTGGTGGCTGGCTGTTGTTTTCATTTGGTCTCTTTTGTTTGCATTTCATACCAATGTGCACGGCTCCTGTTAATGAACGTCACTCCGCCCCATCACAGGTTAATAAGCAATCTTTGGAAGAGAGATTTCTGCCTGGAAATCTGATCAAAACTCAGCTCTCATGACTCCAGTACATTCTGGTTTTGACTAAAATCAAGGATTGGAAGAGAATCCTTTTGTTTCCAAAACAGTCTGGTTTTAAGAAAAGTTTAGATTCTGTTTCAGGCCAAAAGTGCTCTGAGGGAGAGTTTATTGCTCTCCTCCTTTCTCATTAGATAATCAAGGTGAGATTACCTTTGAGTCTGCAATAGTCATGTATCTGCATTATGCAAGTGATGAGTAGTCAGACAGAGCATTAAGTAGCTGGAATCTGCTTTGGGTAAGGTGGAATGGTCAGAGAAGAGGAGCACATGGATGAAAATGTACCAGTAAACCATGCAAGAGCTTGGCTGACCCCTTTACTTGGGTCTTAACCTTGCATCTTCCTCTCCTCTTTATGCAGTGCTCTTGCTGCCTTTAAAGTTGATCATTTGCACTTGAAAGTCTCCAGCCTGAGGAGATCAGGGCTGGGTGGAACCTCTCCTGCTGCCTGACTGCACATCAGGCTGGTTCAAGCCTGCCAGTAAACACAGGAGCACCAGGTATTCCATATTCCCCCTTTGTGCTCGCAGGGAGAGCCGGGAGCCAGAGAATCACAGAACAGTTTGGGTTGAAAGGGGACCTTAAAGCTCACCTTGTTCCACCCCCCTGATCTAGACAGGGACACCTTCCACTAGACCAGCCATTCCATGGAATTGCCATGGGAGACTTTGCATCTGCTGATTGTGCTGGGAGCACTTATATAAAATCCCATCTCTGCGGCTCTTGGGGTGCAGGATCCCCTGTCTCTGGTTCAGACCCAGGAGCTACAATGCCCAGCTGCTGCCTGGGTGACTCACACTCCTCAAACCAAGACATTTTGAAGGCTAAAGCTCAGTATTTAGCTTTACCAGAGTTTTGGCTGCAACATAAATCTGTACTCCACAGTCATTTTCTGATCATAAACAAGTTTATTAGAGAAATAAACCACCTCTGTTATAAAAGGTGAGCAGCACAGATGTTGGCAGCATCAGCTGGGGCTGAGAGATGCCAGGAGAGTTTGAAAGGGAATGAGTTGGTGTTGTATCAGACTTGCATCTCTCTCATTTTGGGCAGCACTTCTGGATCTGACACCAGCACAGCCTGTTGCTTCTTAGCAGTCACTTCATGACGTTCATGCATCTTCCAAGTGCCAGATCCAGGTGGCTGGGGCTGGATGGGACAGCAGTGTGGCAGAGGAGGCAGTGGGATGTGTGTGCAGCCCTCCAGCCCCTCCAGCAGTCACTGTGTGAGGGAGAGCACTGCTGAGCCCCCTCCAGTGCCTGTTGGTCCAGCAGTTTTGTGCGTGGCAGTGGTGGTTTTGGGAGGCACTTGCGTGTGGCAGGTGAGTGCTCAAGTCTCAGAGGCTGTGATAAAAGCAATAAAAAAAACCAAAAAAAGTCCTGAAGGAACAGCAGAGTCCTGCAGTTCTTCCCAGAGAGGCTTTATCCACAGGCAACCCCTTTTAAAATAAGCCAAACCCCCTAATTCCGTGGCTTCCCTGTGTCGATGAATCCCCAAATGCATTAAAGGCCTTGCAGGAGAAGAACACCCTGCCCACATGCTGAGTGATGCTTTGTATAAATAGCTCATATACACTTGCTATATACAAAAAAATTATGTACACGTGGCGTTACTTTATTTGGTTGTGAAGCTCCGAACGCCTCCGGGTGCCTCTCCTGAGGTGCCGGGGCAGCAGGGGAGGCTGGTGGGCGATCTGCCGGAGGGCAGGCAGTGAAGGCACCTGGGTTTTGGGGTGAAAAGCCCCCTCTCCCAACCAGCCTGTGGAGTTATTCCTTCAGCAGGCCGAGCTTCTTCAGGGCCTCCCGCCGGTTCTCGTCGGCCGCGCCCTTCGGGGAGATCTTCACGCTGACGGCGGAGCGGGAAGGCCTCGGGAAGCTCGGCAGGGGGTGGGATCTCCGCTTGCTGCTCTTCTCCTGCTCCACCTGCCCCTGCTCCTTCAGGCCAGCGAAGTCCTTCCCCGCCACGAGGGACACGGGCCGGGGGCGGCCGCCCCTGAGGAAGCTGGGAGCGAGGCGCTCGATGAAGGACATCTTGCCCAGGGAGCTGCTGCTCTTGGCGTTCTGCTCCTTGGAGTTGGCCACGTAGCTGCCCAGCCCCACTCCAGAGCGCTCCAGGGTGTTGGATTTGAACGCTATTTGTCGGATTCCTGCTGCCTCGGGCTCCCCAGGGACGGGGAGCGGAGTATCCCTCGGCTGGGGATGTGCGGGAGGCTGGAGGTGGGCGCTGGGCTCCCTCCTGTCCTGTGACAGTCCAAGCTTCTCCAGAGCCTCCCGGTGGGCTTTCTCCTTCTCCTTGGGGTCGAGGTGCCCAGAGTTCACCTTTTCAGCAGCAGCATCACTGGCAGAGCTGGGCTGAGAGCCTGCTGAGGGTGGAGGTGGTGCTTTTACCTTCTGGTTGTGCTCCGTGGTGAGTGGCACTGGGCTGTTTTTGCTGGTTTTCAGGATAATATTTGGTGGCAATTTTCGTGGCTTGGGGGCGGTTGGAGGCCCTCGCTTGGCATCAGGGTCCTGAGGGGGTTCTTCCAGTGTGGATTTCTCTGGCTGGCCCCATGAAATCCAAGTCTTGGTCTCCTTGGCTGTTTGCCCCTTGGCATCTGAGCGATTGCTGCGTGACCACTCGTGGGTCACCTGGTCATCCTGGAAGGGATCTGGAGGTTGGATAATCAAAGATCCCATGGACTTCACATGGCTTCTTGCGTTGGCTTGGTCAAGCCTGTCCTCCTTGGCCACCTCCTGTGAAGGTTTTTCTCCTTGCACCGGGTCCTTCACTGTGTGGACAGTCACCTTGCTGTCAGAAGCTCTGTTTGCTGCAGGGATATTCCTTGGAAGACTGAAATAGCCTGGGCTTGGAACCACTGCTGGAGCTGGGCTGGAGGAGGCAGAGATGCTCTTGCCACTCTTCTGTTCAGCTGCACACTGACCTCTGCTTGGGGGGGTAGTTCCATTTCCCAGATCTGGGGAAAGAGATGAAGTCACACATCATTCCACACACAGGCTCAGTCTGCAAGACACACTTCACACCCACTGAGCCAGCACAGCCACAGCTCAGGACTTGCCCCCAGAGCTCACCCTGCCTCCAGCTGACCTGTCACTGCTTGGGAAGTCAGACAGACACTTTGGGTTTGACAAAGCACCTGGTGAATGAGGTTAATCTGTGTGAGCCTGCTGGGAGCACGAGCAGAGACGAGCCCTGTGGTTCTGCTGACCTTGCTCCAAAGCTGCCCAGGAGAAGGCAGCTGGTGCCCACAGCGAGTGATGGAAATCACCTGGCTGTGCATCACCACACACACAGAACTGGGGCACTGCTCCTCCCCTCCCTGCCAAGGGAACGCTCCCCAGACATTCCCTCTGCACACAAATCCTGGAGCAGGGTTTCCAGCTCACCCTGCCCCACGGGCTCTCTCTTGGGCCGCATCCCAGGCAGCTTGGAGGGCTCTGCAGAGTCAGTCTCATCAGTGGAGACCCCGCTGTCTGCTTCTGCATCCAGGGAGCCAATAGTTTCTTCTAAGAACATCAAACACTCCTTCTCTTCCACAGATAAATAGTCATAGCTGTTATCACTCTGGAAAAAAGAACATAAAGCAGTAAAGGTAGGAGAGTTGAGAGGAGCCTGTGACAGCTCCTGGCCAGGAGACTTGGGCCAGTGGCTATTCATGAATTGGTATGGCAGCCACTGAAAACTAGACAACTTCCTCTAAAATAGAAATATTCATATATATACTTCAAGCCATTTTATATTGCCCCACTCTGTGTGTCAGAAGATGGCTTCTACCTTCTAGTTCTTTAATTTACTTTGAAATATGAGCAGATGGGTGACATGGGTGTTCTACATCTGTCCTGCTCAGCTAGTGCTGAACCTAAACATCCTAAATACTGTTTTCTGTGGAGGTGATGAACTCTCCTTGTTCTCCCACTCATACCTCAGCAAGCTCCTGTTTAATTTTTGTTGTATTTCCAGTACCAGGAGATATGATATTGCAATATCAGATATTGCTGTGGAAGTGCCAGGTTACAAGGTGATTCCTGCAATATATCATGAAAAAAACAGTGAAGTGCAGGATGGGATGGAGTGTGCATCAGATCAACAAGCACAGACGAGGAATTATCCCAGGTGGAGCTGTTTAGCAGAGACACTTATCCAAATCTTTTACCGTGCAATATCACAACCAGTTTTTCCATCCCTATTAAATTCAGAGGGTTTGGTTCTGGTTTGCAATACATCAAATGGAAAACCTGCCAGGACTGAGTGTTGCACTTCCACATATCAATTATGCTCCAAGCCAGACAGGATGTAATTAGCCCATCAATCTTGGAATCGGTGTTGGGAGACAAACAAGCTTTAATGGACAGATAGTGAAAAATTACACATCTACACCCATGGTCCAAACTCATCTCTGCCTTAACTGGGAAATTAATCTCTTGCCAGGTGGGAGGAGCACAGCTTACTGTCTCCTCCAGGTGAAGTCACCCTTGCTGGAGCCAGTCTGACCCAGTGATCCAACTGGTCTAATCCCTCACTGGGGGCATGGTCAGGCCCCTCCTGCCCTGTTCCTGCTCCATCTGCACCTCTGGGCAGCACAGGAGCCACTGGGCTCTCGGGGTCATGTCCCAAAGGACACCTTTCAGGAGCGAAGGCTCCCAAGTGCTGCTGCACCCGTGGCAGGATAGGAAATCTGGGAGTGCTCTGGGGCAGGGATTAATTTGGTCCCTGTGCTGCCCTGAGCACAGTGCTGTCTGAGGGCCCCCAGGTGCTTCCAAAGCACTGATGGGGAGCAGTTTGGAGCAGAGATCTGACCAAAATCCTTCCTAAGCTGCCCAGAGGGGTGAGTTGAGCCCCTCCATGCCTGGGCTGGGCACACCAGGGTGACTTACCCGCTGTGAGTGGTTGGAGGCTGTGCTGATCATGCTGTCACAGCTGCCAGAGTTGCAGCCAGCCATCCCCAGCTCCTTCCTGGGCATATCCTGGGCTGCCGTGGTGTCCAGCGTGGGGGGCAGTATCCCGGCTGGAGCAGGAGAGAGGAGAAGCGTTAAGCTGTGAGATTCCCCCCTGGGGGTGATGCAAACCCCCTGGCTCAGCTGGGGAGAGGCTCTGAAACCGCTGGATGGGTGTAAATGTGCTCCATCTCGGGCTGCTCTCTCCAGGAGAAGGCACAGCTGGGCTGTTTCAAAGCATCCTTGAACTGAAGTTTCCCCTAAATGGGATAAGCCCTGGAACAGCCCATCCACGGCCAGCTCATGTTGGTGGCTCTCTGGTCATCTCAGAGGGGTGGATGAGGCAAGGGAAAAAGCTGTGCAAGCCCAGCTCAGCCTCAGAGCTCAGCAGCAGAGATCCTGCCCCAGCTCAAGTCCCAGCCCCGGCTCATGGGACCTTTTCCCTCCACCACACCCTCTGCCAGCCCTGCAGCTTGAACTTCTGAACATGCTGACCCGAAACGCTGCTGTTTAGTCACATCCTTGCTCTGTCAGGAGCTTCCTCCTGGCAAAGAGCTTCCTCTGCCACCCTTCCTTGGAGGCCCTGGGGAGGTGCCCCTGGGGTGGTGCCCCCAGGGAGGTGCCCCTGTACCTTCAGGGCGTGTTTGGGCACATGCCTGGCACAGCTTGCAGGGATCAGGGCACGCTGGGGCCATGCCCAAACTGCAGCTGCCCCAGGGGGTTGCAAAGAGCACCCCAATGTCCCCCTCTGCTCGCTTTAATGCCCATCTGATGCTCTTCTGGATGCAGCCCCGACCCCCAAACACCAGAGGGACCTCAGTGTGGCAGCAGCTGCCTGACAAACACCCTGAACTGGAGTTCCCAACCCCGAGACCACCCCAGAGCAGGGTCCCTGGTGGCAGAGGGGACAGTTATACCTGCAGAGAGCTCTGCTGCCCGCGGGGACAGGCCGAGCGCCCGCAGAAGGTGCAATGACTTCTGGATGTAAAGCACTGAAGCTTCCAAAATTCCCTGGCACCACCAATTCAGTTTCCTTCACAGGCACCACCCCGTTCCTCAGGAGGGAACTGGGGCTGCGGAGGCGAATGGGAGCAGCAAAACAAACACCCCCTGCAACACTCACAGACCCACGCGAGAGGATTTGCTCGGCAGGAGACAGAGGAGCTCTTTGTGCTGTAACCTGGCCGCAGGAACACACTGCTGCTTTTTTTTGTTGTTTTTTTTTTTTTTTTTTTAGCTTGTAGCAGGATCAGGGAATTAGATCCAGAGATAAGTGAGCAGAACTGGCTGCTTGTTCGGAGCGTTAGACCCTGAAAGCATTCCTTTGTAATTGGAATATGCCACAAAAATCAGATTTCAACACCCACGCCCCTGACAGATCTAATCCTTCCATGCAGGAGGAGTTTAATATTTCAGTCTTGCCTTTGCATTATTTACTGCTTAAATGACGTTGCAGTAAGTGGTGGCTTTGAAACAGCAATTCCCTGGATCCTTTGAATTCAGATCACTTCAGAGCCAGGGCTTTGAGCTGTCAGGAAGCAGACACCTGCTGAGTTTAGGGGACTTCAGGCTTCTGCACAGTTTTGCTGTGCACTTCAATGTCCACCACGTGAAATTTAGATTTATATCAGAATTAGATATATAGATATATAGATTTACAGATTTATATCTACTTCTAAGTAGCAAGAGGCTTGACCGCGATTGTTTTTTATGCTTCTCGCTGGCTCCCTCCCAAATCTGAGAGAGCAAAACACTTCTGGGGAAGTGAAAGTCTTGCTTTAACTTGAGCTTGCAGCAGCCTCCAGGTGGGAGGGAGCCAGTTTCTCCATGAGGATGGCCGACCATCATCAGTCCACTAAAGAACTAATTTTCTCTCATTCAAAAAGGACTTGGACAGACCCTAAAGCGGCTGCCAAAGCTTTGGCACCCACCGAGCCCCGGCTCAGGGGGAGGCAAAGTTCAGTCCTGAGCTCTCCGGGCGCTGCAGAGGATCTACACCCAAACAAGAAGCTCATTTTCCTGCCCACCAGTTCTCTGGATGAGATTATGTCTCCAGTGCTTAACTCGGGAAAGAGGAAAAAAAAAATCAACTCAGCGTTGAACCCCTCCCTCCAGTTTTCACGATTCAGAAGGATTCTACAGTTCCTCCTTTTCGCCGAGCAACAGCCACAAACTAAAAATGCGACCAAGCGTTTCAAGACACGGTACTTGAAAAGCTGTTTTCAGTGCTGTGTATCTCTTCCCCCACTAAACATTCTACTGGAAGAAACTATTTTTGATCTAAAGTAAAAGGCCAGTTCCCTCAGCCTCCGTGGCCGCTGCCATAACTGTCCTTTGCAAAAGCCCACGGAGCCCTCAAACATCAAAGACGTGCTGGGTAGCAATTAATGCTAATTGCTTTATGTGAAGAGGCTACTTTCTTTTAGCCAGCACCACTCCAAGCTCCCTATCCCAGCTCTCCAGCAGTGCTAAAGGACCTCGGTGGTTTTGCCATCTGAGGCAGAGCAGCCGTACCCCTCCTGCCTTCCAGCTGCCCTTAAAGGGCTTTGTCCTGGCCAGCCCGAAACACAAATGAAAGCAAAACCCCCCCTTTGCAGGCACTGTCCCAGCTGCTCCTGCTCTGAGCAGCACAGCGGGATGGATCCCACCCCAGGGGGAAAGGGGATGGTGGCAGATCTATAGTTTCTCTCTATTTAAACAAGTAAATTAAGCACATGCAGCAGCTGCCCGAGCTGTTTGCTGTCCTGAGCACAAGTTTTCCCAGCAGCTGTGGGTCTCCCCAGCTTGCCTCCCACCACCACCTTCAAACCTCCACGTCCAGCTATGCTGGTGACACCTCCACCACATTTTACCCTTCCAAAGCAAAGCCCTGCAGGCACCCAAAGCCCCCCCAGTCCCACCCAGGCAGAGATGCTCAGCCCCTCACCCCGCAGCCCATTGAGCAGGAAAAGCACAGAAAGCAAAGGACGAGAAGGAATATAGATTATTAATCTGTATTCTTTTTTTGTTATATTTTTCTCTTTTTTTCTTTTTTTTTTCCTTTTTTTTTCTTTACCAGGACGTCCGTCGGTGCGCGCTGCCCAATTCCTTCTCCCCGCCGTGCCTATCCCAGGACTTCTTTGCTTTTCTGGGCTAACCAAACAGAGCCGGGTTACACATTAACCCTGGTCCCCGGCAGAGATAAGGCTGCGCGGGTGCTCTGCAGGTACGGCGATCCCCGGCCCCTCACCTGCAGCCAGGAGCACCGGGCCGACAGAAATTCATCTCGCCCCCACGCAGGGCATCTTTCCTGCTGCTCCGGGCTGGGCTCAGGGCACGGCTGAGCCCCTAAAAGTCCTCCATGCTGTGACCCCGAAGCGCTGGGTCGCGGCGTGCCGAGCTCTCTTGAGCCAGCTCAGGCAGCAGCCGGGAGGCTGCGGGCTGGTACCACCCAGCTCACTCACTTCCCTGCTCTGCCGGGTGTCCTCTGATGTCCTCGGCACGGGTTTCGCCGGAGACTCCTTAATCCGACATCCTGTTCTGCCGCATAGCTGCTCGCTGACACTCGGGGCACTCCGAGCTGCTGCCCTGACCAAAAAGCCTTTGTACACGGTAATTACGTCCCTGGCTGGGCGTTTGCGCCCTGCAACGCGTCACCCCCACAACAGGTTTCTTCTCCCAGGTGGTTTGTTTGCAGGAGGTCCCGCAGGCTCGGGGTAGGAGCCGGTTCCCTCTTCTCGGCTCTTAAAAACACAGACTGTGCTAGAACAGGTATGTACTTGTAGATCACCAGAGCTTCCCAGAGGCCAAAAGTTTGCTGAGTGCTGCTGTGCGCTGGAAGGAGGGTGTAAAGACAGGTAGGAAGTGTTTTGGAAGGGAAGCTTCACCACTGAGCTTTATTGACGTGCTAGAGAGGGGGTGCCCAGGTCTGTGCCTCTCCAGGGCTGGTTGTGCCAGTACCGACTCGCAGGTCCCTTTGCCCCTCCTGGAATGTTTCTTTACATCAGGCCCCTCTAGAAGTCCATTCCCTGGCTTTCTGGAGCTGGGAACTCCTTCACTAGGCAGCCTGAGGCTGAATCCTAGAGTCTGGGTGAAGCTAAAGCCCCCGAGACATCCATGGCACTCCTCTTCAAGCTGATACATTCTCAGGAACTCTGCTGAGGCGTTTCCTGCAGCAGCATCCCCTTCTCCGAGCAAGAGGGTACCACCTCTGCCGCCTCCCTCCAGGGGAGGGTAAAGAAGAGCCCAGTTTGTCCATCTGCAGGACCTTGTGCAGGGTGGCAGCGACCCCCAGCCCCTGATCTGCCCAGGTGGTGCTGCAGGGGCAGCTGAGAGAAGGCAGTGGTTTGTTACTACCCCGACTTCGGGCTCTACTATTACAATTCGAACTTTTCTCGCTGATAAACAGCCGTTTGGCCATTGCTCCCACCCTCCCTCCCCTGAATTGTACCTGCTCTGCGAGGCGCTGCTCACTGAATAAACCACAAACATCCAAGCAGAAACCCTGCAGGAAATTTCTAGCACTGGCACGGCCACCGGATTCATTCACGTTTTCGTGCTTCAGTGATTTTTTTTTTTTTTAATTTGTATTTTTAGCAAAAGGCCGTGTTGCAACACATGTTCCCTGCTCCACAGAACAGGGAAGTGGAAACACCAGCTAATTAAAGCCCCGGTAAGATTGGAGAGAAAAGCAAGCAGATGAGCCAGGAAGCTCCCACCGGCACTGCTGAGCCGCAGCTTTGGGGCTGTTACAGAAGGGGACGTGTGCTGAGGAGCGAATCAAGAAGCCAGAGGCTGCTGACAAGCCCAGCCAGCCCCGGCCATTCCTGCTCTCCCACGCTGGCCCGCAGCAGGGAAGGGGATGCGGACGCGGCACATTCGGAGCGTTGCGACAGCCGGGGATGGGCGCTGCGGGGGCAGGATTGGCGGAACTGCTCCGGGGCTGTTAACTGGTGTCGTGCTGGATGCTGCGGCAATCTAAAGGGAGTTTAAAATGTTGAGCGTTAAAATTAATTAGCTGGTTTTAATGATAAATGTTAAAATCAATTAGCCCTTTGTGATTTTTAATTGATTAATGTAAATTTTAAACTGCAGCTTTAGGGCCTCGCCGGTTTTGCCGGGTTGCGACTCCAGTGCTGAGGCTGCTTTAAGAGGGGGAGCAAACGAAAACGCGGAGTTATTTTGTTATTTCACAAACAGTGTGTGAATGAGCAACAGGACAGGGTGAGGGTGTCCTCACAGCACAAGGCCTCGAATCTGTGGGATAAAACAGGCAGAGCTGGCTCCCTGCAGCGCCCTGTGCGGGTCAGGGAAGTGTCACGATCCTTTAAGAGTAATCTTGAGCTTCTCTGAATCAGATGCCCAGAAAGAACCTGTTCTTTTTCCACATTCCTCTTCCTCCACCGAATATAAATAGCTCTGCCCCAAAACAAGGTCTGATTTCATATATATGGCACGAAGCACACACAAGGAGTCAAATGATGCAGGGAAAGCTTCACAATGCCCTGAAAGGACTTTGGCACGTTCGCAAACCCGCTGGGCCCCACCCTGTCCATAAACACAAAGCACAAGTGATTCAGGGCTGGCCCCGAAGGAAACACATCCAAACGGCGTCACTGATAAGATTCCTGTCAACTTAACGACGTTTATTTGACTCTGTGGGACTGTTGGACACTTTCCTTAAACCAAATTGCAGGTACAGTCTGTGTGCTGACAAATCAGTTATGGAAAATACCAGGTAGTTGTTGCCTGCTATTCCACAGCAGTTTACAGAAGTCATTAAACTCTAATATGGCCAAGGAAGTCTATTTATTATCTCTATTTTACACGAAGAGGTAGAGAACTGTTGTGTTTCCATAGCTTGGTTGCCATTAACCCAACACTAGAAATGAGAAGGCAGCTCTCAATGTATAATACAGTTCCTCAACATTTTCCTCAAGGCTTTAATTAAAAATAATAGATGAGGAAACTGCCACCTTGGTCAACCTATTTTTTGTTAACTCCCTATTGCATTTCTGCTACAGAAACCATTCTGGGGCTCAGACTGCTGAAAAAACAATAGTGATTTCACCCAATTGGAAGGAATTTTACTCTGCCCAGGCCAGAGCAGAGCGAACCTGATGGCAGTTTTACAGCTGGATGAAGTTTGATTTAAAATGCAGGCAGACATTTAATTGTAGGATGGTTGTAATTTTCAAAATAGCAAGCTGAAAACTTTTTGTTCCTCTTTATATTAAGAGTTTCCCTGCCAGGGAGGGGTTGGCAGGGCTGGCCCATGGGTGGGTTCGTGCAGGGCAGGGGCAGTAAAATCAGCTAAACACAGATGATTCAGAGGTTGTGTGTCAGTCTGATTTCTCAGAAACTGCCCCAACACGTGGGTTTCTGTGTTTCAGGCAGAGAAATTCTGCTTTTCCTTCATTTGTGCCTGCCCCCTCTCCTGCTCCTGCTCCTCTAAACAGATAACTTTGCTTGGGTCAGAGAGGTTTAAAAATGGACATTGTGTTCCTGTGGTGCAGTTTCACAGTGGGTTCTTGCCCCAGGACTGATCACAGTTGTAGCACTGTGATGTTCTCCAACAGTTTCAGATCAAAGTGGGATGGGAGCAGGAGACTGTCCCCAAACTGTCACAAGTGGCTCCTCCTGTGACCCTGCACATGGAAAGGTGATTTAAAATGCTGATTCTACACCGTGGAACAAGATGTTCCTTTTCTCAGTGCTCTCCTCAGAAGCTGCTCTTTTTGTCTGAGTTCATCCAGAACTGAGGAATTGGGTTTGTCCTTGAGAAATTCAGGGTATTACTGATTTTCTCCCAAGACTGGTGTTTCAGTCTACTGCATCCATGGACTAGATCTGTAAACCACTGAACTCAAATATTCATGTATTTAATGGTTTATATGTTTCAATGCATGAAAGATTCTGGAGATATGTAAAATTCTCTGTGAGTCCTGATATCTCAAGTATCTCTTGGTATTTATCACAGAATATCCCAAGATGGTTTGGGTTAGAAAGGACCTATAAATATCATCTAGTTCCAAGGTCCTGCCATGGGCAGGGACACTTTCCACTATCCCAGGTTGCTCCAACCTGGCCTTGGACACTTCTAGGGATGGGGCAGCCACAGCTTCTCTGGGCAACCTGGGAATTTAAGGCTTATTTTAAGTGTGTGTGAGAACAGAAATGATGGTAAGGACATAAGTCAGTATTTTAGAGACTTTCTGGACTGCTCTTGGACTATTCCCTACCTGTACCTGTGTCCCACACCACCTCTAGTCTAAAATATCCATAATTAACATCTTGCTGTATAATTAATCATCACAGTTCAGTGCAAATGTAGGAGTGATGTTCAGAGGTTCATCCCACTAATAGCAGGATGTCATTTTTGTGATAACTCCCTAAAGGGATCATTAAGGGCAGGCAAATCCTGGTTAAAAGGTACTAAAAAACCAACCCCTAAAACAAAAGGAGTTGTACTTTAAATCTACCCAGACCTTACATTTGAAATAATGGAGATACTTTTGTTTGGGAGAGTTTAGGAAAATCACAGGTGGTTTTCTGACTCAGCCAGTACCAGAGGTTACTTCTTGTTGTTTGAGTTTGTCAGCCTGCAACAGTATTAACTTTTACAGCCATGAATTACAGTAGTTCAGTTGACCTTTTTTTTTTTTTTTTAAGCAAAGAGATTTTATTTTCTAGGCAACAAAAGAAGACATCCAAGCAGTGATAAGTGGCACGTCTCCCTCAAACAGAACTGACTCTCTGTTAGCAGATTTCCAAGGCAAACATGATCTAGCAAAGCTAAACACTCCGGATTATTAAATAATGCTAATTTGAAAAATACTGCAACTGAGAAATACCAAAACAAACAAACAAAAAGATGCTTTCACACACTTTGAGGAAACCATCCCAAACACGAAGCTAAAATCTAAGTGTTGCTCCCCGAAGTCAACGCCTTGGCAAACACGGCAGACAATAAATATGTTATCTTCCACTCCCGTTCCAGAGACACCCAAAGACACCTCGTGCACCTCTCTGAGGTAGGTTTTGTGTCCATTTTACAGATGGCAAAAGGGTGAGGATCAGCTCCTTGCCCAAGGCATCTCACGGCTCCCATGGGGAAGCTGAGAACACACCTCGGGATTTGACAGTCTCTTGGTCTCATTCCTAGACAGGATTTCAGCTCAAGTAGTTAGAACACAGTGTCATCTTCAAGTTCCTTTGAACTGGCGGGTATTTCTTTAGGTTTTTAAGCATCAGCTTCTAGAGGGCTGGTTTTAATGTTGGGTTTTGGGGTGGGGTGTTTTTTTTTTTTTCTTCTTTTCCTAATGACAGGCTAAAAGCAGAGCGGGGTTTAACACTGGAAGCTAAATGGTTTTCTATAGGAAACTCCCAACAGTGCTAATGTGTATTTTAATACTGAATTAAAACCAAACCTGGTCCATAGTGCTCTTGGTGATTCTAGTCTTTATATTTAATTATTCATGCCTTAATTGAGCAAAGCACTTGTGTAATTACGTTTCTTCTTCAATAAGACCTTCCTGTGTTTCAAGATCCAACTGGGAGCTCTTGCTGAGAACTTCAGTGAAACGTGATTTTTGTGTAGAAAAGGTGGTTTTGCTGCACCACTTCAGTCAGGTGCCTCAAGGAATGGAGGCCTTTAAAACCGGATTTTAGGTTCCACGTGGAAAGTGGGTTTATTTCTGCCTCAGTCCAAAGACAGATGCACTTTCTGGCTCCCCATTTTAAAAGTGCAAGGAAGGTCACTCAAGACAGTAACAGGAAAATGGCAGGCAAAGAATATTTTAAAATTCAAGAAACAAGTATGTGTTGCAGGCATTTCAAAGGAAAAAAAAAAAATCCCCTTCAGTAATATGCACCTTTACAGCACCTTTTAAAAGACCTCAAAAGCACTTGCTGTTTAAGCCTCACAACCCCACTGTGAGGTAAGATATTAAACCAATATCATCTTCCCTGATACTCAACGGTACAAATACAGCTTATTTTGTTCTGAAATTTCAACTGCACCTTTCACTACCAGAATTAAAGTCTTGCTACTCTACAGTCACCAGTGATAAAACAAACACATTAAGGCAGAAAGCAGATGAAGAAACTTCAAGCCTCCCTTCTGGCTCAGCACTCTGACCTTAAAAGGGCAAAACTTATTACCAGCAAAGAGTGAGAACTCAACCTTAAAGTGCTCATAATACAGTATTTGGAACCAGGAACAGCTTTATAACACTATGGCCACGACTGGCTCTACTCAAGTAAAGTCTCCTTAAATGTATTTAACAGATGCAAATTAAGTCATTTCCCTAACTACTTATTTCCCTCTTGCCAGAATTTCCAATACTATTATGAAGAAGAATCCCAAGTACTCCAGGAAAACATGCCTATGTTCTGATGCAGTGTAAACACCAGGGGGTTGAGAGTTATTTTCTTTTCAAGCAACTAAAAACTACCTATGGAGGATTAATAGGTTTATTCAACACTTATCCATCTACTCATTAATTTAAAGAAGGCTACCTTAAAGCTTAGAGGCCACTTCTTTCCCTAAAGTTCTCTTCACACAAACTACAGTCTGCTCCTGATGGTAACATGGTGTAGGGCAGCTCTGAGATCCCCCTTTCTATTACAGATTGCATTTTGACGTTGTATTTGCTACTTCTACCACAAATCGTGCACCTCACGAGCAGTTTCTCCTCTGAGAAGCGCTCCCACGTGCAGAGCCTAACTCTTAGTGTAAGTAATGCTGATATGTGTGTTTCCCAAACCTCTGCATTAACTTCATTCCCTGGAAAACATAGAGAGGTTCACTCAGCAACTCAGAGGTGGATTTTACACCAGTGTTGAGCCTGATTGTGTCTGTCTGCTCAGACCACACACACAAAAGGTTATTCCACGAATCGAGGCGTAGCTGCCCCTGTCCACCACCTGCTACGCGAGGAGATCCCTATTTCCAATCCCTTATTCCCAAACCTGGCCACCATTAAGTTACTTTGCTACTTTGCTTTTCAAGCTTTTCTTTTCTTTTCTTTCTTTTTTTTTTTTTTATATGGTTACAAACAGCTTATCTTGGGGGGGAATCCAGAATCTGATCCTGGACCGGTGAGGTAGTTGATGGAACCATCCTCGTGCTGCCCGCGTCACACCTCCCCGAAGTTGGTGTGTCCAGTCTCCTTGGCGTGTTCCCTGGCCTCCAGCTGCCCCGTGAGTCCCTTCTGGCACACCATGCACCGCAGGGCGAAGCGGTTCACGTCCGTGAACTGCCTCTTCCTCCTGGCCTCGTCCGCCAGCTCCAGGGCCTGCGCCAGCACCACGTCATCGCTCGTGGAGAAGATGGTCTGGGGGGGAATGTCCGAGTCGGGGATCCGGCGCTCCAGGGGGTCGTAGTGGATCCCGTCGTAGATCAGCAGGACGCGCTTGGCGTAGCCGGCGTCCTCCCCGAAGCGGTCGATGCGCACGGTCTGCGTGTCCACCACGCAGATCTCGCACTGGTAGAACTTGGACAGGATGGACACCTCGATGGCCCCCCCCCAGGTGTCCTCCCTCCTGATCCAGTCACAGTACTCCCTGTTGGTTTTGCCCAGCACGGCCTCGCAGTAGGACTCGGGGTCGCTCGCCACGATCTGGGCGATGAGGTTCCGCATCTCTGGGGCGCAGCCGGGGTCGTACACGCCGCCCTCCACCACGTAGGACACGCTGGTGAACAGGCAGGAATTGTCTGCCGGGACCACTCTCCTGGCCAGCACGGGCACGGCCTCCCTGAGCGGGTGGGACATGTTTCTCTTGGCTACCACGGGCGGCTCGGGCTCGGGCTTGGACGTGTCCTCCTCGACTATGAGGGTGTCACCTGCCAGAGGGGACAAGGGAGAGGTTGGAGTTTAAAGCTGCTGCTGCTGCTCCTGAAACACAACAACGTGGCTGTGGTGCTGCTGTTGTTGTTGTTGCTGAGGGTCATAGAAGAGAATCATGGAACCGTGGAATGGTTTGGGTTGGGAGGGACCTTAAAGACCACCCAGTTCCACCCTCCACGAGCCCAAGGGTTGCTCCAAGCCCCGTCCAACCTGGCCTTGGACTCTTCCAGGGATGGGGCAGCCACAGCTCAGTATCCCGATGGGAAAGAGCCTTAACCGAGCAGCCGGTGGCAGCACAGCGGCCCTGGGGGGGGACTCACCTGGCGTGTCCTGGTCCCGTCCCCTCCAGCCCCTCCGGACCCCCGGGACGCCGCCGCAGCACCACGGGCGCTTCCCGAGCAGGAAGCGCTCCCGAGCCGGGTGTTGACACCTCCCCGGGACAGGAACCGGCCCGACCGGCGGCCGACTGACGGGCGTGCGCGCCGCGGCCTCTTTAATTAACGCAATTACACCAACCACACCGCCCCCCGTCCTGCTCACCCGAGTGGATGCCGAGCTCGCCGAGCCGCCTCTCGCCGTCGCTGAGGTCGAGGCAGCGCGGCGGGAAGCCGAGCAGCAGGCGCTGCGCGGGGGCGGGCACGCCGGTGAGCGCGGCCAGCGCGGCCTGCATGTCGCGGAGCGGGGAGTGCGGGGACAGCGCGGGCAGCGCGTGGGACCCGCTGCGGGCCTTGCAGCGCAGCCGCAGCATCGCGGCCCCCGCACCGGCACCGCCGCCCGCCCCGCACCGCCCCGCACCGCCCCGCACCGCCCCGCACCGCCCGATCTCGCGAGAGCGCGCCCGGCGACACAGAGCCCTTTGCATAGAGGCGGGCGCCGCCAGCGTCTCGTTTGCATAGCACCGCCCACCTCATTTACATACAGACAGTAATCGCGTTTATATCATTTGCATAGCGCCCCGCGGCACCGCCCCATCTCATCTGCGTAGAGATCATGCCCGGCGTTTATCTCATTTGCATAACATGAGCGCTCCTGTCTTAATTAGGTAGCGAGAGTGCACAGCCCGTCTTATTTGCATAGAGACGCCCCGCTGCGTGTGTCTCATTTGCATAACAACGGCGGCACCGCCCCAATCTCACTTGCATAGAGATGTATGCGCGGCGTTTATCTCATTTGCATAACATGACCGCTCCTGTCTTAATTAGGTAGCGAGAGTGCACAACCCGTCTCATTTGCATAGAGGCGGGCGGTGCGTGGATCTCATTTGCATCGAGGCGATCGCGGCGTGCGTATTATTTGCATATCTCCAGTTGGCACCGCCCATCTCATTTGCATGTAAAGGAGGGGCAGCTGAGCGTGTTCTTTCGCACGGCGGTACCGCCCATCTCATTTGCATAACAATAAACCATCTCATTTGAATCACACATCTGCTCGGCCCCCGCCCATCTCATTTGCATGGAAATAGACGCTCTCGTTTCATTCGCGCGACTGATCGGCCCCGCCCACCTCATTTGCATAAGAGCGCGCGCGTGACGCCGTCCCCTTCTTGACCGCCCCTTTTCCCCCGCTCATTTGCATAGCGGATTTGCATCTCATTTGCATGCGGCGCGGAGCCGCGGCCGTGCCGGAGCCATGTCGGCGGTGCCCCGGGGCTGCGGCGGGGCCCCGCGGGGCCGGGCCGGCGAGAAGCAGTGCTGTGAGTAAACCCAGCCCGGGAGAAGGAGGGAGGGAAGGAGGGAGGGAGATGGGGATGCGTTTCCTTAAGGGAATTAAATACAGGATGCGGGTTGTGCGCGTAACGCTGCCGGCACCGCGGAGAAAAGCGCGCGCCTTCCCGAAAACGCGTGTTCCTCCCCCGCGGGATCCGCCGGGGATGCCCGAGCCCTGCCCGCCCTGTCTCCCATCCTCCTCGGGGTCACCCTGTCCCGCTCGCCCCCCATCCTCCCGCTTTTCCGCCTCCCGCATGCTGCATCCATCCCCATCCCCTGCTTTTCCCCCGAACCTGCCTCTCCCCGGGCATTTTCGGAGCCTGCCCTGGCTGTTTGCTGAGAGAACGTGACCGGTTTGTTAAAAACATCTTTCTTTCGCCCTTGGCGGCTCCTGTCCCGCTCGGCAAATACTTTTAGCGCTAAAAGCCGCGTTTTAGCCCCATTAGGCACCGGTGTTCCCGGTGCGCCTCATTAGCGAACACCTGGGAGACCACCGAGCGGTCACAGCACTTAATTAGCCGCGAGGACACAGCACGAGCTCATTATGGGATGCACGAGAGCCCGTTAGGAGATGCACGGAGGTGGTTTGTCCATCAGGAGACGGGGTGGCTTTGGGTCGGGTGTCGCTTTTTTGCTCTGCAGCGCTGCTGATGCTGCTGTTTTGGGGTGGTTTTTTTTTTTTTCTTTTTTTTGCAGCATGGGCTTCCTACATGACCAACTCCCCGACCCTGATCGTGATGATCGGGCTGCCCGCCCGTGGCAAGACCTACATGTCCAAGAAGCTCACCCGCTACCTCAACTGGATCGGGGTGCCCACCAAAGGTCTGTGTGTGTGCGGTGGGGGGGGTGATTTTTTTTTGCCCTTTTCTGGGAGATCTGTCGGTGAAATTCCATCAGCCTCACGCCCTCCTCCTCCTCTCTTGTGTGTGAAGTGTTTAATTTAGGGGTGTACCGGCGCGAGGCGGTGAAGTCCTACAAGTCCTACGACTTCTTCAGGCACGACAACAAGGAAGCCATGGAAATCCGCAAGTGAGCTGGTTTTGGGGGCTGGACTGGGCTGGGGACTCTCAGGTCTTGGCAGGCGCAGTTTAAAGAGCCTAAAATAACATCTGGTGCCCGTGAAAGCAGGAGGGAGTAGCACAGGGATCCTGCCAGAGGGGATGTGCGTGGGAGTGTTGTTGTTCACTTTGGGCTGCGAGTGTCAGGTGATGGAGCAGGTTGTAGGTGCAGGTGCCTTGTGATCTCTGGGGCTCTTGGGAAGATGCAGGGGTGGGAGAGAGGCGTTTAAATCCCTCCCTGGTGGTTCAGAGGCTTTGCTGTGGGAATGCTTTCCGTGAGCTCTGACAGCCCCTGTTTCTGTCCCACAGACGATGTGCCTTGGTGGCTCTGGAAGATGTGAAGGCTTATCTGCTGGAGGAGTGTGGGCAAATAGCTGTAAGAATCCTCTGCACCAGACAGAGTTTTCCATTGGGGTAGCTGAAAGCTGCCTGGGGTGTTTGGGGACCTGACTTGGAGGTGGTTTAAAAGTCTTAGATAAACCTGCTTATTGCTGCTGGTTTTCTGATAGGTGTTTGATGCCACCAACACAACTCGAGAGCGGCGGGACCTGATCTTAAATTTTGCTAAGGAAAATGCTTTCAAGGTAGTGCTCCTGTGTTTGATTTGTAGTCACTGCACCAAGGGACACTGCGGCTCCCCAGGGAGTTCCTGCCTCTCTGAAATGTGCTTCCCTGCCTCCTCCCTAGGTGTTTTTTGTGGAGTCTGTCTGTGACGATCCAGAGGTCATCGCTGCCAATATCCTGGTGCGTGCTGCGTTTTCCAGGCTCAGCTGCTGTGGGAACTCGGAGCAAGGTCACGGGCTCCGGTGGCTTAGGGGGATTGTCTGCAAATGCCTCGCTCTTCCCTTTCACCTTGGGAATAGGCAGCTGGGGTTTGCAGGTTTATTAAAAGTAGAGGAGCTGTTATGTGAGAATGTGGAAATCAAATGAAGCTGAGGAATGTTTGACCTTGAAGTGGCGTGTGTGTTGGTGAGGGCGGGCAGAGTTCACAGTGTGTCTGCCAAGGCCAAGCACTTCAGTGCCTTCAGTCGCCCTTTGTTTCCTCTCCAGGAGCAGGTTTTTTCCTCAGGGCAGCGTCAAACAATGTGGATTTGTTGCAAAAGAGAAGAATAACCTTATTCAGCGTTGCTTTTGTTCCCTCTTGAGTTTGCTCTGCTCTCACAAAGCCACACTGTCTGTTGACCAGGAGGTGAAAGTTTCCAGCCCCGACTACCCAGAGAGACACCGGGAGAACGTGATGGACGATTTCCTGAAGAGGATAGAGTGCTACAAGGTCACCTACCAGCCTCTGGATCCTGATGCTTATGACAAGTAAGGAAATCCCTGGGCTGCACTTTGTGCTGCCTTGCTGTCTGTGGCTCAGGATCCTCCAGTGTGTCTGCTGGAGCCTCTGCTCTCCCAAAGTGTGACTGTGTGAAGGTGATATCACGGGTCCTGAGTGATTTGAAAGATGTTTGTGTGATCACAGAATCACAGAAAGGTTTGGGTTGCAAGGCACCTTAAAGATCACTTTCCACTATCCCAGGTTGCTCCAAGCCCCGTCCAGCCTAACCTTGGATGCTTCCAGGGATGGGGCAGCCACAGCTTCTCTGGGCAACCTGTGCCAGGGCCTGCCCACCCTCACAGGGAAGCATTTTGAAGCCCAGCAGTTCAGTGTCTCTCCTGTGTGCTGGAGCGACCAGGGGCAGTGCTGGTGCCTTTCCTAGAGCAGAAATAGCTGGGTTACACCCGCAGGTGCACGTGCTTCATTTTTAAAACCAGTCGTGTGGGTGTTCTTATTTTATGTTGACTCCAGAGATCTTTCCTTCATTAAAGTGATCAATGTGGGCCAGCGGTTCCTGGTAAACAGAGTCCAGGATTACATCCAGAGTAAAATCGTCTATTACCTAATGAACATTCATGTCCAGCCACGCACCATCTACCTTTGCCGACACGGTGAGAGTGAATATAATCTTGTTGGCAAGATTGGTGGGGATTCTGGTCTGTCACCTCGTGGGAAGCAGGTATGTGCCTGGCAGCACCTGGTTGCTGTGTCTGTGTTGTGTGAGCAGGGTCAGAGCCGGGCCCTGCGTCCCCCGCCCTGCGCGGGGCAGCCGGACCTTGAAATGATGCCACGGCCCTTGAAATGATGCTTTTGACCACTGGGGCTTCCCCTGCTCTCCCTCCTAACCACCCCTGAGCTCTTCTTTCCCCAGTTTTCCCAAGCACTGAGGAAGTTCATCGAGGAGCAGGAGATTGTGGATCTGAAGGTGTGGACGAGCCAGCTGAAGAGGACGATCCAGACGGCCGAGTCGCTGGGGGTCCTGTACGAGCAGTGGAAGATCCTCAACGAGATTGATGCTGTGAGTGAAGCCTTTAGCTTCTCTAGGTGGGAAAGAATGTTTTAAAAAAACAAATTAATCATGGTAAAATCACCTGTTTTCTGTTTTATTTGTTTATGTATCATGGACCCCAGCCATCGTGGTGAGGTTTGGGGTGGTTTGGTACAGGGCTGACAGTGTTTGGAGCTGCCAGACCGTGCTGGGGATGTTCCAGCTGGTGTGGAGGAAGAAAATAACATTGAACATCCCAGACATCTGTCACGCCCTGCTGGGTGGGCAAAGGTTGCTGCTCCCACTCTGGTTCTCTCAGGAAATTGCGAGGTTGTTGCTGTGGAAGTAAAGGCTCATTTTCATCCCTGGCAAACAAGGGGTTTTGAGATAAAACCAAAACCCATCCTCCTCAAACCAGCCTGGTACACAAACTGTGAGAGCAGGGCTGTGGCTGATGCAACACCTGCAATTTCCATCACACAAAGGGATCCCTGATCTCAGCCTCCTGCTTTTCCTCCCTTCCTGTTGCCTTGTTGGACCTCTGTTGAAGTGAGGTTTGTGGTAACGAGTCTGTCTCCCCTCAGGGGGTCTGTGAAGAGATGACCTACGCAGAAATCGAAGCCAAGTATCCAGATGAGTTTGCAATGAGGGATCAAGAGAAATATCTGTATCGTTATCCTGGAGGCGAGGTGAGAACCTTTGAGAAATAATAATAATAATAATAATAACACACAGTACAGTAAAACAAAACACCTGTGTAGAACTGATTTGACTCAATTTTAACTTTCCCTGCCAATATTTCTATGAGAAGCTGAAAGCATTAGGATCCCTGGTTCTCTTTTTGAGGGAAGGTTTAGTGATTTCCTTCCTTGTGGTGTGCAGATGATGCTTCCAATCAATTAATTAGGCTGCTTGCTGAGTCCTGGGATGCTCTCCTTGGACACAGAGGGGGTTTGGCCGAGGCCTGAGTTGTCACTGAAAAACCATCTGGGAAAGAAAATGATTGTGGTTGTGGTCTGGAGTTTCTGGGTTTACCTCACAACCTGTTTAAATGAATCATTTGCTATTTTATTTGGGTTTTTTTCTTACTTCACTCGTTGAGTTACCAATAATCTGAAATGTCTGAGGGCTCTGACACTAAGTTTCACCTTCTGCTGTTTGTTGGTTTTTTTTTAAACTATATTTACCAGATCATCCATAACTTCTGCAGTTGATACCTTAACTGATATTTTCCTGAATGTGACACTGCTAATTGCCACTTCTGCTCTGACCCTCTGTTTACAAAACCCCTTGAAGAATTCCTGGTTTGTTTTCCAGTCCTACCAGGACTTGGTCCAGCGCCTGGAGCCAGTAATTATGGAGCTGGAACGACAAGGCAACGTCCTCGTTATCTCCCACCAGGCAGTTATGAGGTGCCTGTTGGCTTATTTTCTTGACAAGAGTGCAGGTACAAAAATAAATGAATGATTCTGGGGGCTGGCTTCTCTCACTGGCTTCCTTCACAGGGTTTTTGGGAGGGTGGCTTGTAATTGCTGGTTTTATTTTTTTTATTTATTTTTTTTTCCCCACGAGGGATGAGCTTTTTAAAAAAAGAAGGAAAGCAAACATTTCAGAAATGTTTCAACCATTGCATTTGAGCAGTGCAGTGGTGGGAGAAAGGCAGACTTGCTGCTGGTTTTCTGCTCAGCTGTTGTTTCTGGAGCTGTGGAGGGGACTATTTTTGGTTTTTTTAAATGTAAAGGAAAAGTCTTGTGGTGCCTCAGTAGCCTGGAAGGGTGGGCAGGAGTGCTCCATCCCTGGAAATGCTGATCCCTTGCATGGCACACACACCTGGGAGTTACTTCTAGTCTGCTTCAAGCTCCTTTGTGAAGCTCCAGTGAGTGGCACTAGAGTTCAGTGAAACTTTTCATGAGGTGAATAAACTCCTAATAAGGTTTATAAACTTTTAATATGGTTTCAAATGAAGCTGCTGTGGGCCAGTGCCAGCTGCTGCTGCAGTAGTTTCCCACCTGTGTGCTGCTGGAGAGGTTTCCTTGGCTGGAAGTGGAATCAGGGAATTATTTAGGCTGGAAAAGAACTTTTAGATCGTTGAGTTCAACCCTTAACCTGCCAATCACTGGGAGGGTCCTGAGCCAGCTGGGCCTCAAGGATGGCTGTAATTTGCCAGAGTGGGCTGTAGTGTTATTTCCCAGCACTATTTTTTGTATTTCTGTGTATCTCTCTGGTGTAGATGACTGAAGGTCTGGGTGCCATCCACACTCTCCAATCCCTAGGTGGCTTCCAGAACACTTTTCATGGAATCAAAGAGTGGTTTGGATTGAAGTGACCCTTAGAAGAGTCTGGTCCAACCCCTCTGTGAGGAGCAGGGACATCCCCAACCACACCAGGGCTGGTGCCATCCTGCTGCTGTGGGGCTGGGGGGAGGGGACAGGGGGGCTGTGGCATCCCCTAACTGGGCACAGGTGACCCCACAACACCTTCTCTGTCCTAGATGAGCTGCCCTACCTGCGCTGCCCCCTGCACACCATCCTCAAGCTCACTCCTGTTGCCTACGGTAAACACTGGCTTTATTTTAATTCTCTTCCTGGTTTGTGTGTGTGGATCTGATGGGCAGGGGTGTGTCCCTGTGTGGCAGCACCTGGCCATGCTGGAAAAGGGATATATAAACTGGTTGGCATATGAAAGGGTTCTGGAGTGTTGGGGGAACAGCGGGGAAGGAGATGTGGGGTGAAGGGTGTTCTTCTCCCCTGGCCTCTCTTGTAAACAAGTGGTAGTTAATTGTGTAAAATTCTGTTCACTGGGTGAACTGTGTATTTATGAGCTGGTTTATTTTAAAACAATAAAATAATAAATTTATTCCTGCTCACTTTCCATGCTGTTTTCAATATTAAAAAAAAAAAAAATTGCTTATTTAATAAATCACTCATAAAAACTCCTCTTCCTTTTTGGTAAAAGGTTGTAAAGTGGAGACCATCACCCTGAATGTGGAAGCAGTGAACACCCACCGTGACAAACCCTCCCTGAACTCAGTAAGTCTTGGTGCACACACCTGGCTTTTTACCTTCTCAGAAATAAATCACTGAGCTGAGACTCCTAAACACCTGCTAGAAATGGCTGATGGGCTTTCAGGGAGCAGAAAGACTCACTTCATGATAATCCCCAAAAGCAGAATTAATTGTAGGCAGAATTAATATGCTTCCCAGGCCAGGGGGGGAGATTTTTTCAGAGCTATTGTAGGAAGCAGAATGGACAATTTAGGACATAGATTTTAAATTCCAGGTCTCGTTCTCAGTTTTCAATGAAGTATTATGTTGGTGGTGCTTGTTTGTATTAATTGTGATGATTTCAGAAAGACTTGCCGAAAGGTTTAAAGTGGATTTTTCTCCTTGTTTCTGAAATCCTCTCCCATTACTTAAATAACTCTGACCATCCACCTTGTTCAGCTAAGTATGGAACTTGCTAAATCTGTGGAAGTTGCTGCTATTTTAGGTTCTTGCTTTTGCAAACCCTGTTTTGCAGAGGGACTGGTCTGTGAGGGAATGCCTCAGTCATTGCCTCTAATTAGCTCCCCCAATTAAAGAGCACAAACCAGCTCTGCTCTGCTGGTTCACAGGGAATCTAAATACATCACATTTCAAGTGGTTTTGGTATATTTAGGCTTTTAGCTGCCTCTTGTTGTATTTTATAAAGAGCTATTGGGCTGATTGCCTGGGATATGGTTATTTTTCTGTCCCTGATGCTGAGGAGGTGGAGAAACTGGGAACCTGCAGCTGTGGCTGGAGGGTTTGTGGAGCTCAGTCCAGCTGAGTGCAAATGCTAAACTGAGGATATTCAGCAAGATTTCTGTGGCTGGTCTCCTGTGCTGGTGGTTTCCAGCTGGGCACTGTCCCTGTTCATGGCAGAGGATCAGACCAGATGATGTTTAAAGGTCCTTCCAACCCAAACCACTCCGGGATTTACCACTTGTGCAACTTGTGTGTGATCCCTGCCTTGAAATCATTGGAAAACTTGGAGGTTATTCCTGTTCTTTGCTTTGCTTGGGCGTCACAACTGCTTTGGGAGAGAAGAAGCACAGAGAAGGGCGAGACTTCTATTTGCTTATATTTTTTTTTCCCCCTCCCTTAAATTGATCGATAAATAAATAAAACCCCCAAACCAAAACAAACGCAGACAGAGCCCCCTAAGCAAAACAGAAATGCCAGAAGGGAAGTAAAACTGCTAAAAGAGTGCTTTCCAGTTGTCTGCAAGCCGGATTTAGTCGTTTCCCACACTGGTGCTCAGCTGGGGGAGGCACAACCCGGTGCGGGGTCACCGAGCCACTGCCCCGCTGACGAGAGATTCGGGGCGGGGACGCTGGAGGTGCGTGATGTGCTTTTAAACTGTGGTTCCCCTTTTCGTTCCTCGTGTGATTCCCTCCATCTGGGATCATCAGAGCAAGCTCCCCAGCAGCCAGAGCCCCGTCAGGACGAGGAGGAACAGCTTTACCCCGCGGGCCAGCGCGGACACGGTAAAGCGCCCGCGGCATCACAGCGTTGGGAGCAAACCTCTCGACCTGCTGGGGCCCTTTCCATCCCTGGAAGCTCGAGATGGGGCTGACCAGCTGCAGCTGGAAGTCAGTGTCCAGGTGGTACTTTCCCTATGCTCCCCCTCCCCACTGTCACCCGAGGCTGTGCGTGGTCCTCTCTGAAGTCCAGACCGTTCCCGGGGTGTTGAGCACTTTCTCTGCATGGAAATCATCCTGGATTGGACTCCCTTAAGAAAAAAAAATCACACACACATTTCCCCCTACTTAAAATGTGAAATTCTCCCCCCATGAAACTAAAATTCTGGTGCCACAGGCTTTTAGAATCAGGCTCTGTGCAGGCAGGTTTCCATCAGTGCCACAGGGTGGTTAATTCTGGGTAGTATCTTACTTTCTGGCTAAAACCTGATTGGAAGGAGTTACAAATACCCTCTTTGTCCTGATTTTTTTTTTTTTACTTCAGCCAAGTGTTGCTCCAGCCCCTGACCCTGAGCGCCTTGGTAGGAAAATCTTTGCCTCTGTGATTTTGTTGGTGCCCATTTCCCTGCAGATCCCAACGTCAGCAGCTCCTTGAGCAAAGTCCGGGCCCTCTGGGTGCCCAAATTGCAGCAGTTTGAGGTTATAAAATAATCCTGGATATTTTGGAGGTTAGAGTTTTCCAAGCCCTTCAGTGAGCCCAGCTTCTTGTTCTCCTCCCTGTTAGCAGAGTAAGAGCCCAGGGAGTAAAGGAAGGGGTGGTACAACACCAGTGTTGTCCTACTTGGAGAGGCTTGACTGTCCTGGCATCTCTTGCCTGAGTGGAGCCCTTGGGATGAGCAGTCCAGGTGCTGCAGCCCACAATGTCCATGCCCTATATCAGCTCCTGCTGTGATATAAGCCTGCCCTGGGCTAAAATGAAATTTTGGGAATTCTTCCACTTCTTCCCTCCTTTGCTTTGCTGCTTTTACTATTTAAATCTCCTCTCAAACGCACTGTGAGCTCTCCTGTGCTTCTCTCTTTCCTTTGCAGCCTCCAGTGGGAAATGCTTCCCCCTGAGAACCACTGAAAGCAGCTTGTGTTTGCTCTCTTTTGGGTTAGTAAGTAGGACTTCCCTCGATTAATGTTGCATGGAAACCGCTTTGGGCAAAGGCAAATGCATGGAGCATCTTTTACTGTGTAAAATCTGTCTTCAAGGGGGACAGCAGTGGGGAGGAATATATTTTATTTATTGCTGAGCCCTCTGATCCAGGGGCTCCAGCTGGGCTTTACTGGTGCCTTGTGGTGGCTGCTGCAAAAGTGTTTCAGCCAGAGCTTGTTCCATCCCTGGGCCAGGACGTGGGATGGCTCCACGCTGGTGCTGCTGAGCCACACGAGCAGGGCAGGGTCCCCACGTGTGTCTTCTCTCTGCCTGGGTGTGTTGCTGGTTGCAGGGGTTTTGCAGGAGTCTCTGGATTGTGGTCTGGGCAGGAGTGATGCTGGGGGGGCTTTGGGCAGATCCTCTTGCTGCTGGTGCTGTGGTGTCAAAGGGAGAGCTGGGTTTAGGGCAAGAAAGTAAGGCAGTAGCTGGCTCAGTTTCCAGATATCAGGGCTAAGAGAGGATTCCAGTCTGGGAAGGGATCTCCTTCCTGTTTGGCTCCTTTCTGCCAGGTGAAGAAAGCTCAGCCTCTGCCCAGGAGGCCTGGACCTGAGAAACTCCTGCTGGAATTAATTTGGCTGGATATATATCTTTCTGCTTTATTTGCATTTTGCCCTTGAAGTGAAGCTCTTCCAACACAGAGCAGCTGTGGGAAATCCAGGCTGTTGGGGTTTAATTTGTGTGATTTGTACTGGTCTGAGTGTGTTCCTGCTGTCTGTTGGACCCTGAATGAGGCAGCAGAAGAAATTTTATCAAAACTCTCGAGTATTTATTGTGGTCAGTATGCAAAATGATTGCTGTAATGGTTCTGGTGTTGTTCTGGAAGTGTGTTTTCCTATGGAGAAGGTAAATTAAAGTGAGTAACCAAGGTGCTTCATTACTCCTGAGGTTCTCCACTGGGCTTGTGTGATCTCGGGTTGTGATGGGGAAACCCTTCATGGGGGCTTGGCAAGAGGATAAAGGGTGATGCAAAGTGTGAAACAGCTCGTTGTGTGCCTGGCTGGAAGTAAATATGTCAATCCTCAGGTGGTTCCTGTCACAGAGAGCAATTCCCTGGAGCTGGTTGCATCCTCCTGTCAGTGTGTCTGTCCATCCCTGGAGCTGAGCTGAGCTGTCACCTGCTTTACCATCTCCTGCCTTCCTTGGTGTGACCTCAACTCTTTATCTTTTCTTTGCAGAGAATGGCCAGTTTAACAGTCTAGAGGTGTGTGCTTTCCCCTTGGATTCTGCTGGGAATTCCATGGCCAGGAGGAGCCCTGGGACTGGAGCATCCCCGGAGCACAGTGAGCCATGAGCCCCTTCGGCCAGTACTCGCCTTGAACTGGGTTTTTAGAGCCTTGTCTGTGTCTTTTCTTTCCAAATGCTGGAATGTCTGTCCATAAGATGGGAGAAAATTCATTATGGAGCTTTCTCAAGCTGCTTTTAATGAGCCAATGTATCCCTGGGGTTTTGGGGGCGTTAAAATAGTGCCCCATGTCTTTCCTCCTGGTTAGAATGCCAAAATTAACCACAGTGTGATGACAAAATAGTCATGTTCTTACTGGCTGAGGCAGCTTTTCTTTGGAAGAGGCACTACCAGACCAAATCCCCATTTCCAAGTTTAAACACAATTACTGTGTTATTCAACCATCCAAAGTGCTCCAGTTTAACTTTGTTTCCAGGACTGCTGATGTGAGTCCCTCAATCCGAGCCTCCTCCTTTGCTTGGGATGTAACACACAGCACATCCCATTTCCAGGTCAGCACATCCCACGGGATGCCTCCCGTGAGGGACAGATGGGAATAAAACCTCCTGTCCCTCTCTGGAAGCAGCACAGCTACCAGTGCTCTTAAATCCCACCTCAAGCCCTACTTTAGCTTTCCATCCTGACCTAAACCTCGTTTTCTCTCTCATTTTTCCTGCGTTTTGTGGATGGTTTATCCCAAAAACCAGGAGCATGCCTGTGCTTAGTGACAGGGAGCAGTGGAGCCCCTGGGCAGGGTTTGCAGGAAGCACAAGATTTTTACCAGTTGGTTTTTTAATGTACCAAATTTTAGGCCCCCAACAAGCTTTTAACTTGCCTGTGAATCAGCTGTGAATGTTACCCATGTCTAATGCCTTTCACACATTTTAAGCTGGTTTTTAGTGTTTGCAGCTGTGTTTGACTTAAATCCCCACCAAACCCCAAATTTGTAGTTTTCTCCCTCAAGTCTTGACTTCCATTTTGCCAAACTCCATTTTGCCCCACTCCAGCTGTTCTTGCAATAAGGGCAAAACCCTCAGGTTGGGTGAAGAAAGGAGCGTTTGGGTACAGAGCAGGAGGCTGTTCTGGACCTGCTGTTTGCAGTTGGCTCCAGGATTTATCTGAGCAATTCTGGGATGCAGAAGTTGCTTATTTTAAATGTGTCAATAAATGCTGGACATACCCTTAATAGGGAATCTGTGCCCTGGCTTTTGGGGGGAGCTCAGCAGCCCCAAAGCCTGAGGCTTACCTGAGCATTTTGAGCTCAAACCTGGTTGTTTTAAGCACTCCCAGAGCTTTAATTTGATACACCTGAGTTAAAGAGGACCAAGGCACTAATCCTGACCCCCTTAGGATTCCTGAGGAGCAGAAGCACGTGTTAATCTGAAGCAATTGTGCCACAGAGAGAGGAAATTTCGGCGGTGAGAGATTGAATTTTAGTGGTTTTGCTCCTCAGGCTTTTTCCCCCCAGGGGGCAGGTTTGCTTCAGCCATGTGGCCTTGGATTTTAAACTTTTTTTTTTTTTTTGGTGCTTAGAAATAAGCCAGAAAAAAAAAAAAAGAGAGATAAAATGTTGAAGGAAGAGATTTAGAGCCTGTCCATGATAGTTGTTGCTGTCACACTCCAAAAAGCTCGAAACGCACAAACCTGCCCGTGTCAGGCTGGCAGATCCGACCAAAAAAAATAAAACAAAAAACACCTCCTGCTCTGTGGGGAAAAAAAAAGGAGTAGAAAATGTACTGTAGGATCTTTACGCACAATATGCTGTGACAACTTGCTAAAGAGTTAATTATGTTTGTTATTGTTGAGTAGTTAATGATTGTAAGGAGACAAAAATCTATATTTTTACCTGCCTGGGATTTGTGAGTGTCGCTGTTCTTGTGTTGGTGGTCGTGGCTGTTTTTTTGGTTTTTTTTTAATCACTGCTAAAAAAATCAGGGCTGTAGTTTGGATCAGTGGCTGTGGGGATCCCTTATTCCCATCAAGTGGATCCTTGTTTTGGCCGTGGGATGGAGCTTCATCCTCCTCTGCTGACAGCAGTGTTTGTGCCTTGGTGCTTTAATTAAAACCTGACTCGAGCCTTTTCCTCCTGCATTGTAGCCCTGGAAAGGTGTGTGTTTTTAAAATTCGGGTGTCCAGAGCAGAGCAGCAGCAGATTCGTGGTCAGATCACTGCCCTGAGGGTGAATCATACCTGCCCCACGCCAGGTCCTGCCGAGCCCTGAGTGCAGGGCTGGGGTGATGCCAGGGAGCCCACGTGTCTCCTGGCAGGTGCCTGTGCCAGGTGTTTCCTTAAAATCACATGGCTTCCTTGGAATTGTGTGTGCAAATACCCCAGATAAACAACAATTGCACAATGGGGTTGGGTTTTATTCGATATTCTTGACTGAACAGGATTTAGCAGCAGCTCGTGCTGTCAGTGGGACCAGAGCTGGTGTCGTGGGCTGGGCAGGTGGAGCTGGTGGATTTGGGAGGTGTGAATGTTGGCCTGGCACCTTGGAGAGCATTTTATCATGGGGAGGGTGGTGTTTCTGCAAGCCTGTGATTTTTCTGTCCACATGTTTCTAGCAGTGGAGGTGGTGGTGCCTGCTGTCACCTTCAGTGAGCAGTGGCAGGGCCACCCGTGGGACTAGCGGGTCACTGCAGAGAAAAACATTCACTCTGCCAAAACCTGCTCCCTCTCTCCTGCCAGCAGCGGGGAAAACTGTTAAATAGGCTGAAAAGGCTTAAACCCAGCCTTGGGTAGCTTCTTTGTGTACACTGGCTGTGACCTTGGAGCTGCCACCTCTGCCAGGCGTCCCCTTCCCGGCAGCGGGCGATGAGGAAGCCTGGCCCCGGTGCCAAGGGGACAAGGAGCAGCTGTGGGATGAGAGGCATCAGCAGCAGCGTGGCCAGGACCCACCTTCCCTGGGGAGATGTCCCCAACCCTCGCCCCTGTGCCCCTCTGGAAGGTGCTGGGGGAGCAGTGCCGGTGCCACCTCCCCCTGTCCCCGCCGCTCCTCGGGCCCCCAGCACTGTTTGCAGGCTGCCTCTGTATTTAGTGTTTGCTGATGTGGATGTTACCCATCTGCTTGTAAACTTTCCTGCTCTGCTGCCTTCTAATGTGTTTTTTTTATATTAGGTTTAAAAAGCTGCAGTGTGTGTCAGCTTGTGCTGTATGTTGTGTGCTCTGTGCACTTGGGCAGAAAGAGCCATCAGCCTTTATTTACAATAAAGAGACTTAAAAAAACACAGATCATTTCCTCTGTTCTTTTCCATTGTTTGCTCTAACTAAATGGTTTTCTGAGACAGTGGTGAATTCAGGGAGTCTCTGGAATGTGTTTGGAGAAAGAGGGTTTGCAGGGGTGGGCAGGTGCCCCCTGGGTTTTGGGATTTGAGTTGGAAATAGGGAATCTTACACCCTGGTGCTGTTCCCCTTCCCTCATCAGTTTTAAGGATGTTTTTATTGGAGCTATTGGAATTCAGATTTTCAGTTTTTTCATGGAGCTGTTAGGGTAGAAATGCCTTTTTTTTTTTTTTTTTCTTAAAGCACATCTCTCTTTTTTAGGAGAAAAAAAGATGTCAAGAGGAGCAACTGGTGTGACTCTGATTTCCAGCTGGAAACCAGCTGGTCCCAAAGGGACCAGCCACAGCCTTGGGTGGGGTCAAGGAAAACTCCAAAACTCCTTTCATCCTGTTTATGCCACTGCAAGCTGTGGGTTGAGGAGGTCTCAGGGATGTTCAGCAGCTGCCAGAGCAGGAGGTGGTTTTTGGTGTGGCTGATGCTGAAAGACTTCCTGGGTGCCCCTGGGGGAGCTGCTGATGTTTGGGTCCACAAATTGGCTTGTTCTGAGCCATTTGGAAAAACAGAAGTCTGCAAAGCCTGTGTTTGTGTTTGTGATTAACTGGATTCCTGTAAATATTTCATAGATGTCAGTGCCTGTTGTGAGCAAGTCTCTGCTCATGCAGCCTCCTGTTGTGTTCTGCAGAGAAGAAACTAAACCAGGTGAACTTCAGGTGAACCTGAGCAAGTTAATATACCCTCTCAGGGTAGGGATGTGGTAAATTGCTCAGGCAAACCCCCCTCAGATTTGGTAGAACAAACAAATACCTGCAAGAAGCACAACCTGGGGTAAAATGTCCATCACCAGGTGGTTGATGGTGACTCCAGCCTGGATGAAGCTGTGGAGCCAGAAGAGCAAATGGTGACAACTTCTACCAAAAGTTGGTACTGGAAAAGGACCCAGCAGCAAGAGCTGGATTCAGGAACAGCTTGCAATGAGCTGAGGGGCATCTGAGTTTTCATCAAGGTCAAGTTGGACGGGGCTTGGAGCAACCTGGTCTAGTGGAAGGTGTCCCTGCCCATGGCAGGGGTGGAACAAAACGATGTTTAAGGTTCCTTTCAACCCAACCAGTCACTGATTCTGTGGCCCTGAGTGTTCAGCTCTGAGCGATGCTCCCTGGAGCCTCAGGCCCTGCAGAGCTCCAGCTGGTGGGGCTTTCACAGGAATAGGTGGAGCTGCTTGAAGAAAGCACTTTTTGAATGCTGGCCATGGGCTTCTGAGGTCAGAAGGGATGAACTCGTGGTTGATGTGTCCCTCTTGAGGAGACCCCCACAGCGTGCCTGAGGTCCAGCAGGGGAGCAGCTCAGCAAGGATCATTTCGACAAAGACTTGGCAACTCCACGCAAAAAAACAAACAATTTCAACATCTGCTTGGGTTGCATTCAGTTTTTCTTGTGTTTTTGCTTTGTGGGTTGAATAAACTACTTCCTTCTTGCTCGGGAGGAGTTAATGATTTATGGGTCAGCTGGCATGACCCCGGTTTCTGCAGAATTCTGCAGAAAGCTTTTCTCCATGGAGCCATAGCTGAGCATGTAGGCGGGTCACGACTCCTCCTTTAGCTGTGCCTGGAGCCAGGAGACTGGATGGGAACAGTCACTGCTTTATCTTGGAAGTGCTGAACACTCCAGGTCTCCATCTCCTGCCTCCAGACCTCCAGGTAAGATGACTCAGAGCCATAGAACTTTGTTACTGCTTGGGAACTGGGCTGGAGCTTTAGTGCAACTCCAGCAAGCACAAAGATTGGTAAAATTAAATCAAATTTATGCCAGAAGTTGTAACTAGGGTTGAAGGAAAGGTAGAGGAATGAAACAGCCAAGAGAAGTGTTGGGATTAGGGCAGAAGGCATCAAGGAAGACCCTTGTTTCCAGGAGGAAGGCAGGTACTTGGACCATCTGTAACATTGGGAGAGTTTAAGCTCACAAATGATCCTGGGTAATACAGAGAGGACTCTTTCTGATCTCTAGGGCTGGCAGGTGCTAACCTGGTGAGTTGCAGTTAAATTCCATTTTGTAAAGCAATTTGGTTTGATTGATTTGTATGTTTTATAGCTTTACTCAGTCAATATTTGCACAAAATTGATGTAACATTTTGCTTAGATACTTCCTCTGAGGGTAATTTATTGTTAGGGGACTGTACTGGTGACTCTAGCAGGATTTCATCTGACTAGGAATTTACTTCCAAGAGATTTAGTACTAAAAATAGAGTGTTCTACCCATAAAGTATGCCTCAGGGAACCTTTTCCACAAGTCACAGACTAATTCATGGCCCTGCAAGTGTTAATTTGGTTGGTTGGCTGGGAAGAACACTGTGATGGCAACATGGTGGGTTTAAGTTGAACCTGATAAACTATGAAGTGTTTATTCTGTGGTTTGAGTGAAATCTGTCTTGAGGTTTTTTTTTGCTTCCAGAAAAGGAATTCTGCTCCTGTTCTTCTGCTCCCCAGCCACGACTGTAGGCACAGCTCGGGGATGGAGAAATAAGACCTGTTCACATGAGCTGTGCTTCTTACCCTCAGTGTAAATACCCCTCTGCTATTTTTACAGAGCTCTGGCCCAGGGAAAGAATGTGGTAACATCTGTGGGCTCTCCAGACAGGAATAAACATGTCAGCTCTGGAGCCAGGGAGGCAGCGGGATCGTGCTGCTGTTTTTGGGTCACTCCTCGCTGCTGCTCTCATTGTGACTGTCCACAGTAAGTGAAGGAGTCCATCAGGATAGGCTAAGATCCCTTGAAGGACAACCTTCTAGCTTTCACAAGACTTAGATCCTTCTCTTTTCCTCATTGCCTTTGTATTTTGAGAGCATTGTAAATCTTTATGATCAGAATCCATCTTCCTTTGCCTTTTTTCCTTTCTGTGGAAAGTAGATGGAAAATTATTCCAGCTGAGAAAGTGCAGTGATTTATACTAAATGGGGAGGGAAAAAAAAATGCTTAATCTGGACTTTGTAACCAGACTTTGAAACTTCTGGGTGAGGTGTGAGGAGCAGTGATGGAGGGGTGAGGCTCCTCCTGGTCCCTGCCAGCCACAGCCACCCCCGTCACAGGCTGCACTTCTCCTCTTTGCTTTGAGGAGTCTTTGGGCACTGAAATGTCCTCACTTGGACCTTCAGAGTGAATCAGGCTGAAATCCCACTGGTTTTCCTCCCAGCACCTCTCTGATGGAGTTCCTGTCCGTAGGTGCCTGCGATGCTCCGCCGCGTTTCCAATCTGCAGAGCTCAAGGAGCAGTATCGGGGCATTTCCTCGTTTCCCCACAAATCCAAGGTGGAATATGTCTGTCGTCCAGGCTATCTGAGAAACAATTATGTCAGTAATGCCCTTGTTTGTGGATGGAACGGGAGGTGGTCCAAGCCGGGGGAAATGTGTACACGTGAGTATGTTTTGGGTTGACTTGTTGTTCCTGCTCTAGTGGAAGGTGTCCCTGCCCGTGGGAGGGGGTTGGAACAAGATAATCTCGTAAGGTCCCTTCCAACCCACACCATCCTGTGATTCTTTGACTTCTGCTGGTTTTTGTTTGCTGATGCTGGAGCGGTATCCAAAGTATCCATAGTGAGCCCAGGGGATGGTGGGAGATGAGTGACCTGATGTGAAGCACTGCTTTTATTCCACTAAGTACTGGCAAGGATGGCAGGAGCTGAAATCTGCTCTGATGCTGGCTGTGTTTCACTGCTGACTCAAAAGATGTTCTTCTGCTCAGGCAGAACTCTTGGGTCAAAAAAAAAAAAGTATTTGACTTGCAGTAGGAGAATCCTTTAGTTGTGAGGAGACAGCTGAACCCGTGTTACTGCAAACCCCGCTTAGGCTGCAGAGGCAGCAGGTCACGATGCAAGTCTCACCAGCATCATGAAACATGGAATAATTTAGGGCTGCAGGGGAAATCTGGAGGTCTCTGGTCCATGCCCTTGCTCAGTATTGGAGGAGTCTTTCATTGAGAGCTGACTGAGTGCTGTTGTCCCCAGCCAAGTCTTGCACCTACCCTGAGGAGCCACTCAATGGCAGACTCGTCGTAGGAGAAGGGCTCAGTTTTGGTTCTTCAGTGAACTTCACCTGCAACACTGGGTAAGCCAAGAGCACCTGGGGCACAGGGTCTCTTCTTCTTCTTCTTCTACAGCTGTTTTTCCAAAGTTTTCCCCCTCTAGATTAAAGCCTGTGCTGTCAGAAGCCTCGCCAGTGTAGGTAATTGCAGACCCTGACTGAAATATCTTTTAAACTTTCCTTTGAGAGCTTTAGGACAGACTGACTGTCTTAAACTCCTCCTTTGAGGCAGTTCTTCCCAAACTCAGGTTCATTCTCCTGGCTCTTTCCAAACCATTCCCAATGTTTTGGTATCTTTTTGAAGAAAAGGCATGAAGGATGAACTCAGAGCTGTAGGGATGGCAACAGCCAGCTGATGAAGTAGATGTTTTTGCTTAGAAACATGTGTTTTTTTAGCTTAAATGCTTTTGCCAAAAGCCAGTGTGTCCTTGAAAAAATGACACTGATGGCCACTTTTTGATCTGCTGCAATTATGACAAATAAGCCCAAACCATCCTGATGGTGATGTTATTGGTGATAAACCAGAACTAAGTTTGCCAAGCAATTCCCTCTCCCCTGTTTCACACAGGTACAGACTGATTGGAGATTCTCAGATTAATTGTGTGATTAAAAATGAGCATGTTACGTGGGACAGAGATATTCCCATCTGTGAGGGTAAGCAGAGTTCCTTAATTATCTATTATCTATCCTTTAATTATCTGGAGTGCGACTGGGGCTGGAGAAAGAAGCTGTTGCGTTGCTCTGCTGAGGATTTTGGCATTTCAATGCATGGTGGAGCCTGGGAAGACATTTTTAATTTGTGTTTTCCTTTCTGCATCATCCTGCAGAAATATTTATTCACTCTCTGGGAGTGAGGCAGCTGCATGTGAGACTGGGATATCACAAAACTCTCAGTGCCTGGTCAGAGCTCTGCTGCTTTTGAGCTGCTGTGCAGCTCCCTCAAGACCTGCCCTTAATTTCTGACCTTTTGCCAGGTCGTGATTCAACTTTTTTCTCCCCAAGCCTTTGGTTTAAAATTAATTAAATGATTTCTCTCTTCTTCTTTCTTCCCAACTACCATTTCCCCCCACTCCACAGCGATACCATGTGAACCCCCTCCAGAAATAGCTGATGGGGAGCACACTGGGGTTGACAAGGAGCTCTTTGTGTTCGGAGATTCCGTCACGTACCGGTGCCGCAGCATCTGGAGGGCAGAGAGACCTCTATCCCTGGTGGGAGAAGCCTCTATTCAGTGCACAACCACGGACAATGTCAATGGTGTGTGGAGCAGTCCAGCCCCAGAATGCAAAGGTGAGCTGCTGCCACGCACAGGGCCGGGTGTGAGCCTGCTCGTGGCAGCACCAGCCCCTTCACAGCCCCTGCTCCTGCTCTGCTCACCTGTTTTCCTCCTTGGAAGCTTCTCTCTCCTTCATCTTGCTGGAATCACCTCTTGCAGATGAGGCCCTCTGAGCCTGGTAGCTGTAAATAGGAGTTAGGGTCTCCCATGGTGATCATCATGTCAGCAAGGACATGGGAATGGGGTTTTATTCGTGTTCACAGACCAGAGGATGCATCTTACCTGCTGGCCTGTGTAAAATGTAACACCTCCAACACCTGCTCTGACACCTGCTGCCTTCCCTGTGTTCTTTTTATGCTTTGCCTTAATAAAAAAAACGCTGTAAAGTGGAGTAAGATGTACAAAAATACCTCATCAGCTGCCTGGTCACATCCACCTTCAGCCTTTTTGGTGGATGTGCCTTTAGCAATGAGAATAAATGTTTTCAACACCCTCATCTCCCCTCGTGAGCCTAACTGCTGATTCCCTAAGTGGTGGCATTTTTCCCTGGCGCAGTGGTGACCTGTGAGCCCCCAAGGGTGGCGAATGGGAAGCTGGTGAGCCTGTACAGGTCTGAGTACACCTACGGAGACACCGTCCTGTTCGACTGTAACTTTCGCTACACCCTGAACGGCAGCTACACCTCCACGTGCAAGGACAACAACCTGTGGGACCCCCCACTGCCCCTCTGCCAGCTCAGTAAGTGTGATGGTCCCACCCCTGCTCCACCTGCCCCAGCAGCTTTGCTTCGGGGAGCTGTAAAATCGTTCAGGTTGGAAAACACCTCCAAGGTGATCACCGAGTCCAACCTTCGACCGAATCCCACCATGGCCACTAAAGTTCCCACCCGTCTGAAAAAGCATGAGGTCATGGAAGGGACGGCTCTAAGATTGAAATTTTGGGGGGTTTTTTGGGGGGGCAGATCTCTCTGTAGCACTAAGGTGACTTCAGGAATTTATAGCTTAGGGCCATAGAGGCTAAAGCCTCATCCTGTTCAAGCTGGAGAGCATTGCTCACTGGAATTCAAAGGGACTAAATTAACCCTTCTATATTTAATGTTTTCAGAGTTTGTTGCCAGAGCCTCGGGTAGTAAAAACTTGATTAGAACTTACATCTCATTGTAACAGTGAAAATTACCATACAGTCCAAAATCATAGAGTGGTTTGGCTGGGAAGGGACCTTTAAACCTCATCTCATTCCACTTCCCTGCTATTCCACTAGACCATGTTGCTCAGAGCCCCATCCAACCTGGCCTGGAACACTTCCAGGGATGGGGCAGCTACAGCTTCTCTGGATAACCTGTGCCTCACCACCCCCACAAGGAAGAATTTCTTCCATATATCTGATCAAAATTTAGTTTAAGGCCGTTACCTCTTGTTCTGTCGCTCTGTCACTCTGTGAAAAGTCTCTCCAGGGAAAAAAACCCCATATTTGTACGTCCTCATTTGTCTCCTCCACCATTCCTGATTAAGTGCATCTCAGAATGAATAACGTGAGCCCGTGATTTTTACCCAAATTCTCTTGTACCACCACGGGCCTCGTTGCTGTACCACTGGCAATGTTCTTAAGCTGGTGTCTCCCCCCTCTCCAGCTAGCTGTGATTACCCTCCTGATGTGTATAACGCTGATAAAACCAAACCTGCTGGCGATCTGTTCCCCGTGGACACCGTGGTCACCTACGAGTGCTGGCAGGGCCACAGGTTCAGCACGGGAGAAACCACGTGGAACATCCAGTGCCGGCCGAACTTCGTGTGGAGTGAAATTCCTCCACCGTGTGAAAGTAAGTGTTTGTCCCTCTGGCTCGCCTGTGAGCCGGCAGGATTAGTGCTGAGTGAAGGAACTGCACGTGGTTTGCTGTTGTGTGGAGAGGGAGGTGGGGGGAAAGGGGGTGCTCCAGGGGCCCAGCTTGGTCTTCGCCGTGACTCTTGATTTCTTCTGATTTATTCCCCCTCTGCAGAGTTTTCTTTGCTTCATGCACCAGCTCTGCCTTCCAGTCCCTTGAACCTCTGGAAAAAGCCATTGTGGTGTCGAAGGTCCCTTGTTCCATCCAGCAGGGAGGCTGCATGGCAAACATTCTGCCCCCCCAGGATGGCCCAGGGGTGGTTTTGGGGGGCGGATTTAATGCCGTGATGTGTCTCTGTCCTACGAAACATTCTTCCTTCTGCTGTCACCCAGTGGGCTTTGCCGTGGTTTCACACTTGCTAACGTGTGGCATTTCTCAGGAGTTCGTTGCCCAGATCCATACCTCCTGAACAGACAGCTCACAGGGGACAGGAGAGACGATTACCTGTACGGACACACAGTGGAAGTTGCGTGCAGAGAGGGGTTTACCTTGAAAGGTCATGGCAGCAGAATCACACTTTGGTGTACGAGTGATGGCAGATGGGATCCAGAGCCACCAGAGTGCGTTCCAGGTGGGACAGAGTTTGTGAAATGTGTTGATTTGGGGACTGCTTATTTTTTTGACTGCGAGATTTGGGTTACTCTGTGCAGTGTAGTTGTCTGCTGACATCCCCAGAAAAATTTATCTGTGGCCTCAGATGGTGATGGTAGAAGCCAAAGAATCTGGTTGTCCTGTGTTAACTTGGAATATACAGGCAGCAAAAGGTCCAGGTGGATCATTACATTGCCTGGGCATTGCCTTGGAAAAAGTACAGGGGTTTTGGCAGAGCTGAGCTTGTGTCTGGGGAGCTTGGGGGGTGAAGGGCTGCGTGTTGGAAGCTTCTAGAGGGTTAGGAGGTCCCCAGGAAGCCTGGGAGACATTTACCCAGCTGGAAGGGGATGTGGTTTGTGTTTGGGGATGGGTTTGCTGACATGAGGCTTGGGAGCAGCAGATGTTCTCACCGCATTTCCCCTCTCAGAAGAAAATGCAACAGCATAAATACCTTACACTGCTCAAACTCCTAACCCAGCAACGGGGCACCACAACAATACCCATGAGCCCAAAAGCTCGGGAAAACCTTGCCAGGAGGAAAGAGGCTGCTCCACCTCCCAGGGTGGCCAGCACTAGAGCGTGGATGATTCCTTGTCCTGGCCCTTTGGGGTTACAGAGGAGGCACCGAGACCTGCATTTGGATGAGAGTCATCTTTTGTCCAGGGTTCATATTTCTTGGTAACTCTCCTCCATAGAAGTTCTTTCTGGAAAGACATGACGTCCTTTATTCCCTGCTGTTTCTAGATCCTCGTTGCCCAAAGCCAGACATTCTTCACGGAGTAGAGGTTCATAAAAGCAAAAGTGACTACACAGTGGGGACCCAAGTGAAGCTGGCTTGTGAGGAGGGCTTTTTCCTCCGGGGCCGGGACTTCATCGAGTGTCAGGCCAATGCAACCTGGGCTCCTACCTTGCCCTTTTGTGACAAAGGTATGTTTGACACACAGATAAGAAGAAACAACCCTCAGTAGGTGATCTCCTGTCAGCTCTTGGGGAATGGGGTGATGATCACCAGCTCATGGGCTGAGCCAGGTGTCCTCTCCCTGGAGATGGAATCACAGAATAATCAAGGTTGAAAAAGACCTTCAAGATCATCAAGTCCAGCCTTCAACTGAATCCCCACGTACCCACTAAACCGTGACCCCCCCCAGTGCCACATCCACGTGGTTTTTGAACACTTCCAGGGGTGGTGACTCCACCAGTGGAAAAATCCTAATATTTCCTAATATAGGCATGACCCAGGTAGGAGCTGAGGGAGAAGTGGGATCCCTGAGCTGGTGTAAGAAGCCAGGCAGCAACTCCTTGTGAATTTGCCTCACGACAAACACAAAGCGAACTCTGTAGCGATTTCCCAGAAGCGATTTTTGATCCTCACCTGAATATGATAATTGCACGTTTCTTTTCTTATCAATTCCACAGTCTGTACCCCGCCTCCAGAGATCTCCAATGGGCAGCACACTGGCCTGGGTGGTAAGGGGTTCTTCTATGGCACCAATGTGACCTACACCTGTGAAAGGGGTCTGTCCCTCATCGGGGACAAATCCCTCCACTGCACCTCCGACGATGGGGAGAACCTGACGTGGAGTGGACCTGCCCCGGAGTGCAGGGGTGAGTGAGTGGTTTCTCCTGTATGGATCTCCTGAAGCCAAGACCTGGGTAAGCCCCAGCTCCATAACCTGCCCAGCTCCAGGAGCTCCAAACCTCAAGTGCATTAACCAGGGCAGCTCCTGTGCCAACGTCTCGACACCAGGAGCTGCTCACTAACACCTCAGGGTCTCCTTCAGCGGGCAGCTGAGGGTCAGTTATGGCATTTGAGTACAGAACTGCTGCAGAAAGTGGCAGGAGGAGCAGCTCTGCCCTGCCTGACCTGTTCCCTGCTGTCCCTGGGGAAGGGCAGCAGCCAGACCCCGCTCCCAGCTCCTCTCTCTCCCCACAGTGGTTCGCTGCCCCAAGCCCGTGGTGGAGAGGGGAAGGATGTTTCCCCAGAGGTTCACCTTTCCCTACGGGGTGGCCCTGCAGTTCTCCTGCGATGAAGGCTTTGAACTGAGGGGTGCCACAGAGAGTCAGTGCCAGGCTGATGGCAGCTGGGACCCTCCTGTGCCCACCTGCCAGCCAGGTGAGTTCCAGCCCGAGGGTGCTGCTCTGTTGTGTCACCAGCCGTGAGTGGGATCTGCAGGGCATTTTTTCCCCCCTCTTCTCCCCTGACATTATTTTTTCACTTGCACTTCCCTTTCAGTTAAGTGTTCCAAACCCCCACGGGAGGAGGGCTTAGATCTGCAGTTGAACAAATTATATTATGAGGTGAATGAAACTGTGGCCTTCTTCTGCAACCATTATGGACAAAGAAGTGTGTCTTCAAAAAGTACCTGTTCAGCTAATGGCACCTGGGTACCACCACTCACCTGTGTAAGTACCACCAACCTGCCCAGGTTTTCCTGTATTTTGCCCCATTTTTGGTCTGGAATAACCTTGGTCCAACTTCATGAAGGTGGTTCCTTTGTCACCCTCACGCTGTCTTTGGTTTGGTTCTTTTAAAGAAAAAGCGTGAGACCTGTGAGAAGATTCTTCAAAATAAAGAAGCTTTCCAGTGTGGAATTCCTCTGACAGAACTGAAAACCCTGCTGGAAGTCCGGAAACTCTACCTGGAGATCCAGAAACTTGAAAAGGAGCTAAAAATCACATCGTACAGCTGACTGGTGTCACTGGTATTGTAGCAACTGTCCTCTGCCTGTTCATGAACGATGCTGACTGAGGATTTTTTATGACTTTGTAATTCCTGCTAATACTTAAGTAGCCACAACAGAGCAGATTTGGTCACATGAGGAGTCAAAGCGACTTCTGACTCATTCTGTGAGAGCTCAGTGGGTTAAGTTTGTACATCACTTCAGACCTTTTAAAGCTTTGCATTTAGATCTGTTTGCTACACTTCACAGTGCACAGTGAGGGAGCAACTGAGTGGAAAGTAAATTGTTGTGGTACAGACAGGCATGAGAGTCACCAACCCTCATTCACCTCACAGCTGCTGCGCCTCTTGAGCCCAGTATAGCCCAGTGCTGCCCAGTTTATCCACAAGGCATTCATTCACTGCTTCTCTGCATAATTAGTTTTCTTGTGACCAAGGAAACTTCAAAGCCTGTCTTACAGCAAAACAAAAATGCCAGGTTTTCTTCCCAAGCAGGATGGATGGATCCAAGGACACAGCAGTGCCACATCTCTGTGTGTGCACCAAGAGCAGATGAAAGTGTAAAGGACAAAAAGACTGTTTTTTTTTTTTTCTGCAACATCCAGCAGAGGGGAAGTGCTGTGTTGACCATGTGTCTTGTGATGGGACCAGGACTCCTTCACCACGAGATTATAATAAAACTGAAATTGCAGTGACAGCTCTGTCTGCCTTTTTGTAATTCTGTCCTATCTATAGTAAAGCAAAGTATTGAATATATACAATACTATGTATAATATATAAAGTGCATATATTAAATATGGCTTGATAAGCATGAAGGGTGCTGCTCTCTGGGTGTGGGGGGTGTTTGCACAGCAGCCTGCCCCAGGGTAAATGTGCTTCAGGGGTGAGGCCAGGATGCTGCAGAGTGGTTCTAGTCCTAAAATACCTTTATTCCCTCTTTTCCCCACAAGAACAGGGCAGAGCAGCCTTCCCTCCCATGGCACAACCTTGTTGGAGAGCTCAGGGAGGGCAGCCCTGGCCTTGGGCAGGTCAGAAGGGCTGGGGAGGGGGTGGCGTCAGTGTGGCTCGCCTGGCCTGACCCCAACTTCCCACAGTTGCTTCCCCTTCCCTGTGGGGCTGTCAGCAGGGACAGGATTTCTCCTTCCCACGGTGCTGGTCTGGCAGCTCCTCACACCATGCCAGGGCTCCTCTGCCCCCTGGGGCAGCTCCTGCCACTGATGATGCTTCTGCTGCAGCCGACTGGGAGCCTCGGTGAGTGTGTTCCCCTCCTCCTTTTCTTTGCTTCTGTGGCTCAGCTTTGCTGGTGAGGGCTTTGGGAAGACCTTTCAGCACCTTTCAGGGGCTCCAAGAAGGCTGGAGAGGGACTTTTGACAAGGCACGGAGTGATAGGACAAGGGGGAATGGCCTTAAGGTGAAGGAGGGAAGGTGTAGATGGGATATGTGGAAGGAATTGTTCCCTGGGAGGGTGGGGAGACTCTGGCACTGGTTACCCAGAGAAGCTGTGGCTGCCCCATCCCTGGGAGTGTCCAAGGCCAGGTTGGATGGGGCTTGGAGCAACCTTGGATAGTGGAAGGTGTCCCTGCCTGTGACAGGGGGTGGAATGAGATGGGCTTTAAGGTCCCTTCCAACCCAAACCCTTCTGTAAACCTGTGATTGATTCTATGATACCAAGGCTGATGCTTCACCCTGAGGTGCATTGTCAGACATCCCACAGGCTGACCTCAGAACAGGAGAAGTGCAGGTCTACAGAGTAATATATGTCTCTAGGAAGGGGAATAATTTGCAGCTTCTGCCTGGAAGTTGATGGTTCTTTTAAAAACAGGTCTGAGAAACCTCTTAAGTGTGCACAACCCAACCCTGCACCTCCCTGCTCCAAGGAAACGGCAGAAATAGTGTTTGATTGTGTGGAAAGGAAACCTCACACCTTTTGAGTCCTACTGGTGGCTGCTCAAGATGTTTATTAACCCCTAAACCCTCTGCCTCAACTGCTGCATTCACTAAACCGCTTTGCCTTCTCTCGCCACACGGAGCTGCAGCGACAGCTGATCCCTGTTAGTGTGTGCTGAAAAGCCCTTTTTTTTTTTTCCTTGGTGATCCACAGGGGTCCAGTGTCCCATCCCTCGTATTTCGAACGGCCAGCTGAAGTCTGACAGGAACTTCACCTCCGGCAGCTCAGCCACGCTCGAGTGCGACAGCGGCTACACGGCCCTGGGTTCCACCACGGTGCAGTGCCTGCCCAACGGCAGGTGGTACCCACGGGTGCCAGCCTGCACCCCAGGTACACACACACCTCTCTCCTTACCTTCCCCAGGTGGAAATGTTTCGCTAAAAGCACGTGCAGTGCTCGCAGGAGGGGGGCTGGAGGGTGGGCAGCACCGTGAGCCGTGCTGGGTGGTGCTGGGTGCCAGGACACCCCCTCTGCTCTTCCATCGCCCTGGGCGGCGTGGCAGGGCTGTCCCTTACTGAAGGGCACACCGAGGGTTGTGTCTTGTACCCAAAAGTCTATGAGAATACAGATCCTCATTAAGTTCACATCCTTTGGTGAGTTGTCCCCATCATTTTTCCCCTTGCCCCACTGCAGCAGGGTTGCTGCTGTCCCTCGCTTCTTTCTGGGGTTTCCACCAAGGCAGGGCTCAGCTTCACACCAGTGGGTCCCTGGGGGAGACCTCCCAGCTCTGAGGGTCCCTGTTGTCCCCTGCTCTGTCACCAGGTCAGTGTTCCAGACCTCCTGTTGTCGACCACGCGGACCTAAACTATCAGCACGAGTTTCTAGTTGGGACAACCCTGATCTACTCCTGCAGACACGGGTTCAATTTGATCCCTGGAGTGTCTCCAACAACTACTTGTCTTAACAATTTCACGTGGTCCGCAGTCCCAAAGCTCTGCCAGAGTAAGTACAGCGTTTCCTTTGCTTTGCCAACAAAGCATCGCTTTAATAACATCATTTTCAAGACACCCCCTGGTGCTGCTGTGCCAGCGGGACTTCACTGAGCAGCTCTGGCTCTCACTGGTAATAACTTTGCTGTTCAAAGGGTGGCGTGGCTGGAAAGGAATAGCTGCAGCTCCTGCTGGTTGTTTAGCTGCTCAAACAACGATGCAGTGGTGCAGTTAGTGACATGCTATCCCCTCAGCCACAATTTATAGCTGATCACGGGGCTCAGGTCGCTCTGCCTTCCAAGAGAAGTGGTTGTAATCGCATAATTACCATCCCTGGGCATGCCAGGTCTGATGAGAGGCAGCTGGCATTTCCCACCACTGTGGGAAACCCCCCTCCCCATGTAAACATCTCTTTTCTGATGCTGGTGTTCCTCAGAGGTGCAGTGTCCCACCCCGGTTATCCCCCACGGGAGAGAGATCAGCGCCAGGAAAACCGAGTACACCTTTGGGCAGCAGGCAGAGTTCCACTGTGACCATGGCTACGTGCTGACAGGCAGCCAGAGGACCCAGTGCTCGTCTGATGGGACGTGGAGACCCCCCATCCCATACTGTCGCAGGGGTGAGTGTGAATTGCATCCCACGGGTAGGAACACAAGGAGAAAATCTCGTGGCCTGAGCGTGGCTTCTCAGAGGAGTTGTCAGGAGTAGGGGGGCCCAAGTCACAGTATTAAAGGACTTTTAAAGTTTTCGTGTTCTATCAGAGCTCTAATTAATTAAATGCGATGATTGATGTGACTTGCAGCCATTTCTCAGAGCGCTGTTCGAGGTGTTCATGACACTCACCACTCCCTGACCCCCTTTACGAGCAGGATCATTTCTCATGGAAAAAAGGAGGGGATAAGGGAAGGTTGGCTGAAGGGGAGGGAATGGGGACACATGCTGTGGTACTGGGGCCGTGCTGATGGGTTACCTGGGGCAGTCTGGGAACACTGGTAGAGCCAGAGCCAAACCTGGCAAGAAGCAGGGAGGACTTGGAGGAGAGCAACATTTAGAATGAACATGAAGAACTCACTTCTCCTGTTAATTCCCTGCCTTCTGTCTCCCTGATGGAATGAAGAAAATCTTAAATTCTTCCTTTGCTCTCTCATAGTCTGTGATTCCCCTCCCAAAATCGCCAATGGGCAGCACTCTGCCCTGGGGACTAAGCAGTTCCCATATGGCTTTGAAGTCAAGTACACCTGTATGGAGGGTCTGTCCCTCATCGGGGACGAATCCATCTACTGCACCTCTGATGATGGGGAGAACCTGACGTGGAGTGGACCTGCCCCGGAGTGCAGGGGTGAGTGAGTGGTTTCTCCTGCATGGGACCAGGCTGAAGGCAGGACCTGGGTGCAACACTCAGCACAACGGGGTTTAAAAGCGAGCCTGGAGATCCTGCTTCCTTCACAGGCTCCACAGCTCCAGGGTGGGGATGATCCATCTGGAAATGATGGTTCTCAGCAGTTCTGCCCTGCCTGACCTGTTCCCTGCTGTCCCTGGGGAAGGGCAGCAGCCAGACCCCGCTCCCAGCTCTGCTCTCTCCCCACAGTGGTTCGCTGCCCCAAGCCCGTGGTGGAGAGGGGAAGGATGTTTCCCCAGAGGTTCACCTTTCCCTATGGGGTGGCCCTGCAGTTCTCCTGTGATGAAGGCTTTGAACTGAGTGGTGCCACAGAGAGTCAGTGCCAGGCTGATGGCAGCTGGGACCCTCCTGTGCCCACCTGCCAGCCAGGTGAGTTCCAGCTGGGAGCTGAGCCCATGGCTCCTGTCGCTGTGCAGGGAATTCCTCTGCCCTGGCTCAGCCTTCACAAGCTTCAGAGGTGTTTTTTTTCCTGCCCCCATAACACTGATCCCCTTGCTGAGCTGCCTTCTGCTGTGGGTTTTCCTTTCAGTTCTGTGTCCCCAACCACAAGTGGCCTATGGAAGGCTGAAGAGCCCTTTGGAGGATAAAACGTGGTACCAGATCAATGAGACTGTTACTTTGGGATGTGCCCCTGGATACCAGTTGTCAGACAATGGGAACACGCCTTTAGAAGGCTCCTGGACAGCCACGTGCTTGCCTGATGGCAACTGGACACCATTGCCCAAGTGTGTAAGTACCACAGAACCACAGAATGGTTTGGGTTGGAAGGGACCTTAAAAGATCATCCTGTTCCAACCCCCTGCCATAAGCAGGGACACCTTCTACTGGACCAGATGGCTCAGAGCCCCATGGTCTGGCTGAGTCCCTGGGTGGATGTTCCCTGACTTCTAATAAGAAAAAGAACTGCTTAAACTCCTTAAAAGGTTTTTCTCCCTGGTATGGCTGAGGGGTGCAGCCCCTGCTGGGGCTGTGTTGGGACAGGCCAGCCTTGGAGCTGAGGGGTGGGTGGCTCTCCATCTGCTGCAGAGCAACCTTACGAGCCTGTTTTCTGGGTTTTGTTTCACTTTTCAACAGAAGAAAGAAGGTGATGCTGATGTATGTGAAGAGGTTCACTATATTAAATCGCTCTATGAATGCGAGGTGCCTGTAGCAGAAGTGAAAGCTCTGCTGGAAATACAAAAACTGTTTCTGGAGATTAAAAAACTGGAGGTGGAACTAGAAAAGTAGAACAAGACTGGAGTCCTGTAAGGCACTTGTAACCATCACGTTTCCTTCAGTGAACACAGAGTTTGTGCAGTCACAGTATCAACAAAAAGGCTCTGGATGGTTTTATGGTTTGTTTGCGTACCTAGAGCCAGGAAAATTATCACCAGTAAAAAAAAAAGCGGTTGCTTTTATCGTGCTGGATGCCAGAGCAGGGAGTGGTTTTCACTCTTTACTTCAAATCTGACAAGCTTGATTTGCTCTTTAATTAATATGCCGTTTAGCATTTTATATTAGGAAGCATAGCAAGAAATTAAATTGAGCTTTTTAAAATCACTGTGTTAACTCTGATAAGGTGAGATAAGGGGGAGTGAGGTCCACAGAAGCTGAGATGAGTGTCTAGAGGTTGTCCCTGAAGGTGGTTCTGCTGGAATCTTCTGGCTGTGGTTTGTGCACACACACTGCACCCTCTGCATTAGCTCACTGCTAGAAATAGTGGTGTTCAACTACCTAATCCACCTGATTTCTATTCATCTAATTAATAAGGCAGTTTATAAGCAGGGCATTTGTAAGCACTTCTGTTATCTTATCCCTGGACTTAAAACAGGTTTCTTGCCTTGTGTTGGTGTCATTTTCCACATCCCTATTTCCTGCACGTGAATGCTAAGAATAGATGTGATAAGTTCAAGTGCAGAGAATCAGGCACCAAAGGTTGTTCCTGTTCCTCAATAAACGCTGATCACATCGTGTCTGTCTTTCAGTGGTTACCCCTTCCCTGGGGGATTGCAACAAAGGTGGGGGTGTATCCATGGGGGGACCTTGTGATCTGTCATGTTTGGCTGTAAATTGGGCAGATTTCCAGCGTGGCCCAATGGTCCTGGGTCAGTCCTGGGGTGCTTGGGGAGCTGCAGTGGGCTCAGCACATCCCTGAATCCTGGCAGCTGGATCAGCCCTGGCTCGGTGGGAGAAGGAGGAGCATTGACCTCCTTACAGGTGATTTGCAGCAGTGCCTCACTGCCAGGTGTGTGCTCTTACAGGTTACTAAAATGAGAGCAAAACACCCAGGGGAGAGATGGTGTCTCCCATCTTTGCACACAGAGATGCTCCTGGGGATGCATCACCACACCCAGGTGAGGAGATCTGCAGTGAGGGGAGCTCCCAGACCTGCCCCAGTTCTCCCTGACCAGGAGAGGAGCAGGGCTGCACCCTCCCAGTGTGACACCTCCACACTGTGGGACTGTGGTGCCTTCCTGTGCAGGGCTTGACACCCATAAATGCGAATAAAAACTGGGTGGTACATCCTGAGTGTATCTGAGAGTGTGTTTGGGCAGTCCTGAGTGATGTCAGATGGGATCTGTCAGAGGGTTAATCAGGACACCCAGATGCAGTTGCTCACACCCGTTCCTCATTACAAATGAGTCAGGCAGTGGAGGAAAAATAGCAAAAAAAGAGGAAAATGTTTTTAGTGGTTCATTAACCCTGCTCATGGAAGATTTGTGGTGCATTACCTGCCAGCAAATGAATAAGTAGGTATTTTCCTACCCTGGAAATATAGCTTTGGGCTGGGAGGTGTCTCTTCTGCTTTGTAAGAACATGTGGTTTGGTGAAACTGTGCTAGTCAGTGCTCACTGCCAGTCTCAGGACAAATGAAAGTGTTGAGTTATTCCCCCATCCCTCCTGGTGGGGCAGGAAGACAAAGGAGCCTCAAGCCTGGGGATGACAGCTGACCCCCACCCTGGCTGCTCCCCGGGTCCCTGACAGAGGGTTTCACTCCGTGGGTGTTCTGGAAAGGTTTCCAGTGCTCCTGAGGCTTGGTGGAGTCTGCTGCAGTGCATCTCCTCCTCCCAGCTTTGGAAGCAGCCCCTGGAGCCAACGGAGCTCGACGGAGGAGCTCAGGAATTGCTGCAATGAAGTCTGGAGAAGCAGGGCTGGGCAGGCACCCAGGCACCCTGAGCTGTGGGGCACCTGCCAGGGCACAGGGGCTGCTCCTGGCCTTGCTGGGGCTCCTCAGCCTGCCTGTGGCTCGTGGTGAGTATGGGGCCATGGGATGCATGGGGAGGAGCAGAGAAACCTGCCTGGATCCCACCTTGCTGCTCAGGGGCAGGGGTGGGTGATGCCACCACCCCCAAGCTGAGGACCCAGCGTTTGATGCTCTCACAGCCCTGTCTGGTGCCTTCACCCGCAGGGGGACCCTGGGCCATCCCAACTACCCCCCTGGGATGCTCACTGGGCTGGGAATGGGGTTCTCTCACCCAAGGATGTCTTCTCCTGCCACAGGTGACTGTGGGCCCCCGCCTGCCATGACCTACTCCAGGCCATCCAGCGACGAGCACTCCAGCAGCTTCCCCGTGGGATCCAGGGTGACGTACACGTGCATCGAGGGTGCCCTCAAAATCCCTGGGCTGCCAGACACGGTGGAGTGCCTGCCTGGCAACCTCTGGTCCAAGCTGCCCGAGCCCTGTGGCCGTAAATATCTCCTTCCTCTGTCTCTCGCTTGGCATGAAGCTCCTGCCCCTTCCAGGGGCTGCTCTTGGGCTGCCCCCTGCAAGGGACAAACCTGCTCCCCTTCCCTGCTGCTCCTCAGAGCTGCTGGTGGCTGCAGGAAAGGGGTCAGTTGGAGGGGGGCTGGCTGCTCATGTGTCCCTCAAGCCTGTGCTGCCCCACAGCACATTCAGGAGGCTCCTGATGTCCTATTAATTCTTCCCCTGAGCACTTAATGCCTCCCCAGCCACGCTTGGGTGCATTCAACAGTCTAGCAGGCCTGGCAAGCAAACAGGACTAACCTGCCACGAGCACAGGGAGCTCTCTAGGAGTGCTGCAGTGAGGGCATCCCTGTGATCCCCAGGTTTACTCTGCGTGCTCCTGCTGGGCAGCTCTTTCAGGCTGGCTCTCCTTGACCGCCAGGGAGCTGCACTGCCCCGACCAGGCTGAGGTTTGCTGCCCTGTCCAGGGAGGATGAGGTGGTTAATTTCTTTCCTGTGGGCACCAACGTGACCTATGTGTGCCGTCCTGGCTACGAGAACACCTCGGAGAGCTCCCCCACCAGCACCTGCCTGGAGAACCTGACGTGGTCGGAAGCTGCTGAGCTGTGCAGGAGTGAGTATCTGAGTCCCTCTGCTCTGCTCTGCTCCCCAAAAAGCAGCCTGGGAGTTCAGAGCAGCTTGAGTGGCTGCTCCCAACCTGCATCCCAAAATGCAGCCCGGTCATCCTCATCCCAGCAGCTCCATTAGCACAAAATGATATGGATAGTCCTTGACATTCCTACATAAGACTGGACAGCAGAAGCAGCAGAAGTATCAGTAATGTTCTTTTTAAACAGATATGGTTTGATTTTCACGTTAGGAAATGTTTGGTTGGACTTGGTGATCTTAGAGGTCTTTTTCAACCATAATGAATTTGTGATCCTAAAGATGTTTGCATCGGGCATGTGCACAGGGCAAAGCCTAATTCACTATTCTAGAAAACTTCAAAATGAAGACAAGGCGTGTTTCTTGGTGAAATCCATGGAATATTACGACTGATGAGGTGACAGCAATATTTTTCACAGTCAAACAACTCACTGCCAATCCAGTGAGATGGAAACATCCCTGCAAATGCCCTCCTTTGCCACTGCTGTGGACGTGGAGCCTTCTGGGATCCACACCTTCCCCTACACCTCACTCTGGCTCCTGCCAGCTCGGCTGTGATGCCTGTGAAGTGAAAAATGTGGGCCTTTTGGCTGTAATCCTCTAATCCTGTCTCTGATTCAGCCTTTGTTATTTCCCCACCCCCTGTGCCCTGCTCTGTCCCCCCAGGAAGGTCCTGTGGTGCCCCAGCAGCGCTGCCCGGGGGGAGGACGGTGCCCCTCACAGACCTGCAGTTTGGTGCCCGAGTGGACGTGTTCTGTGAGGATGGGTGAGTGATGGGGCAGTGCCCACACCGGTGCTGATGCTGGGATACAGCTCTGGAATGAGGAGGGAAGGCACCAGGGTCTGATTTATGGCTGCCTTTTCCTTCAAGTGCCCAGCCAGAGGAAGTTTAACTGCCCCAGGGCAGGGTGTCCATCCCAACAGGGCCATTTGTACTGTCAGTTTATAAATGCAGGCTCCAAAACAAGCCACTTAAAACATTTCAGCTTAAGATATTTGAGATGTATTGAATAAAAAGGGGTTGTGGTGGAACTTTTAAAATCCAGTTATGTTCAGCTGGGAGGCTGCAGTGAAGCACACTTTCCATCACTCAGGGAGCTGACTCATGGCTGCTGCCTGCTTTCAATCAGGGCCCATGAGCATGGGACTGACCTGAAAAATCCAGCTCTGGCCACTCCAGCCAGTATTCCTCCCTCCCAACAGGAACTAGCTGGCATCATCTGGCTTGTGATGCCCATCTTCAAATATAGCAGAGGGGTTTTTCCTCTCCCTTGGGATGGACTTGGAGAAAATGACAGCATGTCCCACCCTTCTGGGGTTCAGATAATCTGTGGAAATCCACACCAGGGTGGAGGGGTAGTGCTGTTCATCTAAGGAAGATCAGATACCACCCAGCGTGTCCACATGATGAGGTTTTCTGAACAGGAGGATTTAATTCAGAGATGGGGGAAGGTGTCAGCATAAGATGTATGAGCTTCCAGCAAGCCAGTGCAAAAGCCACCTTAATTAAATGTAGATTGATCCCTGTTGCCCCTCACTGGTCCCTGCTGTACACCTTTGAATCACTGAATCCCAGACTGGTTTGGGTTGGAAGGGACTTTAAAGCTCATCTTATTCCACCCCCTTTAACCTCAGGGCTGTCTGGCATTCCCTGTGTGCTCTGCCAGCCACCAGCCCTGACTTTTCCCAGCCCTGCCGTGGAAGATGCACTCAGTGAGTCAGAAAACCACCTAAAAATAGATTAACACACGTTCTGGCAGAGCAAAGCGAGGAGTTCTCCTGTTAACCAGCACGCGTCTGCACCTCTGCTTGCTTTAAAAATGCCTTTTCTACATTCCTGATCATACACAAATGGGGAAGAGGGGGAGTATTTTCAGTTTCTGGATAGTTACACATTTTTATTTTTCTGTGTGTGTCTTCACTTAGGTACAAATTAGTCGGAAATAATTTCATCTGGTGCCAGCTGAAAGGAAAGGACGTTGAATGGAGTAAACTTCCAACCTGTGAATGTAAGACTCATCCATAACTGTAAGATTAAACCTTACTTTTGACTTCACTCCACTAGATCCTGCATCCCTGAGTCCAAAGATCTCTTGGTGCAGTGTTTTTTACAGCAGTGCTGGTTACCCACCTTCAGTTGTCCAGAGAATCTTAGGTGGACTCAGGGAACATTTTGTATTTTCATTACTACTGAAGCTTTTAGCCAATATTCTTTTTGTCCTCTTTCCTGCAGTAATTACCTGCTCTGCACCTCCTCAAATCAGCAATGGGAAGCATGATGGTGAAGGTGTTGAAAATTTTGCTTATAACTCAACGGTGACATACAGCTGTGACCCTGGATTCCAGCTCCTTGGGGATCTGAGCATCCGCTGTACGAGCACGGACAAAACCCACGGAGTCTGGAGTGGAGCTGTGCCCGAGTGCAAAGGTGGTTTCATCCCAGTTTGCTGTTTATCATTATTTAGCATTTATTATGAGTTCAGTAGTTAGGAGGAATCAGCTCAAAGTATTGTGATTGTGTGGCACAGGGCATGTCAAATGTCAGTAATAAGGTAATTTTAGAGAGGAAAAAAAAATGCAGTGCTGGAGTAGGAACAGAACTGTGCAAGCAAGACCTAGAGCTGCCTGCAATGCTCACTCTTTATCCCCTAGAGAAAAGCTCAGCTGTCAAACTTGGAGCAAAAGACATGGAAAGGAGTGTCCCTCTCAAGAGTGAGTTGAGATGATTCAACACTGAACCCAGTCCCAGTTCATTTACTCCTTTATCACATTTCTATGAACAGGCCATTGAAGGAATTTCACGACCGTGGATTTCGTTCTTTCAGGTCCCCAGGGAAGTGGTATCTCATCCCCTAAGAAGGTTTTATCATGGGAGAAGAAGCTCAGCCTGTATAAGAAGTCACTCCAAAACACCATCTCCTCCTCCCATTCTTTTTCCATCTCCAAGACACCAGGTCAGTCCTGGAAGCTCATCTGGAGCTCAGGGAAATTCATCAGTGGGACTCCCTGGTTACTCCCAGCCTGGAGTTTTCTTTTTCCCCCATGTCTCCCTTCAGTGTCCAGGAGCTGTGCTACCTCAGCATTCAGGTTGGTCCTACCTTTGTACAAATCCCCAAACCACTCTTCTCCTGGGGCCAGCAAAGGATCCGTGTGTCCTCCGAAGTACATGGGGATCTCCGGCATTCTCCCCAAATCCAGCTGCTTTCAGAACTTAAAACGGTCTAAAATTGCATCATTTTGTGGAAGTGAGTGATTTTTTTTTTGTTGTGGTCATATTCTTTTGTTCTAGAAGTTTTCTCTGTATAATCCATATCTTTTGCTGGCTGGGCATCTGGTTCACAGCTCAGGTTTGACTGCGCTGACCTCCCATTCTTATAAAAAGCTTTGCTTTGTGTGAAACACATTTTAATTTATTGATTATTTTCTCACCCTCATGTTATTCCAGATATTTTTTATCTTTTTTTTTTTTTCTCTTTTGAAAAGCAGATTACTTTGCACCTTAGGAGTGCCAGGGCTCCTGCCCTTGCTCCCAAGTGCTGATGCCAACCTCGTTCCACACAGGGAGGTCGTGGGCGGCCAGGAGAAGCTGGACGTGGCAGAAGTGCTGCTCCACCACATTCCCCATCCGCTGCAAAGGATTATTTTACCCATGACAAGGGTGGACTTTGGCTCTGTGGGACAAGGTGGGAGCTGTAAGTGTGTTGTTGTAAGTCATGAAGCCAAAACACCCCCCGGAGGGTCTCGCTACCCTGGCCAGAGGTTGGGTAAAAGAGTTTCTCTGGTGTTATGGTTGAGCTGAGTTTGCCCACTCCTGATTCGTGTCTCTTGGGTCAAAACCAGAAAATCTGTTACCCCTCCTGTGGTGGACAAAGGATAAAGCAGGCAAACCCTTTGCCTGATGTGCTCCAAAAGTGCCCCGTGCAGTGGTTGCAGCTCTTAGGGCTCCCACACTTTGCTTTCAGACAAAGAATGAGCTGGATCAGCTCTGTCCCACACATAAAATGTAATTTTTTTAATAGTGATGTGTTTTGGTGTTCCCAGAAATTGACTGAAAATCACTTCTGCAAGCATTGCTCGATCCCCATATTTTCCTCTCCCACCTGAGTTTTTCTTTCAGCAATTTTCTTCTAACACCCTGAATCCTGTTGTGATTCCCTGCTTTCAGGCTGCAGTTTCCCAGAACCCCCCCAAGACCTTCTGCAGAGCTCAGTTACGTCACAACCAGACCTGAGTGTTTCCACAGCCACAGGTTTTTTTAGCTCACTAGCAACCGACCTGCTGCCACAACAACCACCCTAAACACAGACCCAATCTCTCTGTGGAGTTGAGCTGCTCCCTTAACTTCCCAGGAATTTCTGGCTGTAGCACAGCCTGGAGGTGGATACACCCATGCCAGCTGTACTGAAAGCAAAACTTGCAGAATTATGAGCTCATTTCTTTCACAGTGTTTTAGACATTTTAGAAGTCATGGTGTTTTAGACATTACATTGAATGTTGATCTTTAGATCTTCAGTAGCTTAAGCCCTTTCTTTAGCAAAGGCTGCCTTTTTTTTTTTTTTTTTTTTTTTTTTAATTTGGTATCAGACTTAAGTTCTTTGCACTTAATATTTCTACTACAGGAAGATAAAACCACAAGTGGGCTGGGCATCTCCTAATCTCACAACATAAAGGAGCTACTTCTGCTTTCCAGAGGGAGGAAGGCAGCTCAGTAATGCTGTGAGCACACTAACTATGCACAGACACAGAAACACAACTGCTGAACAACCTGCCCAGTGTTGTCACACTGCAACAGAGAGACTGGAAATGCCACGTTCATATTGTTGGCTGCTCACCCCATCTTTGTCCTGTACAAAACACTAAAGCCTTTCTGGGATTTTATTTGCATTTAGTAATAAATGGTAACTGTTTTTAAAGGATGGTCTGTGAATTCAACTGCCTGCTGTTCCCTTGGCATGTTTCAGTCTCTTCTCAGCTTTTAGGAATACCCTGACAATGTTCAGATTTGCTGCTCAGTGAGTTCTTTATCAGCACTCTGAACATTTATTTTCTAAGTTAAAAGTGTTTTTAAAAAAAAATAGTAAAGAAAGCAAGCAAATCCATGCAGAAAAGCCTGGGAATGTGAGTGTTTCTGGTAAGTGCTCTGGAAAAGGAAGTTGGAGTGATGCATCCCTGCCTCAATCCTATTTAGCCATCCTGGGATTGGAACCCTGCAGCCCCTCTGCTGTGGCTCAGCCCAGGGGATCAATCCCAAAAGGTTTTGGGAGCTGGGGGCGATCTCCCAGGCTGCTGCCAGTGGGAGCAAGCAGGGAGCCAAGGGTGAGTTTCCATGGAAAGCCTGGAGCCACTCCAGCAGCTCAGGCACTGTTTTTGCTGGCTGGTTTTGCTGGATGCCTCCCACTGCTGCAGCCCTGTACCTAACGCGGGTCAGGCTGCCCTCTGGACGTGCTCCTCTTCTGCCACCACCATCTGCTCGGCCCGATTTCTGCAGGGAGGGGGTGTGGGAGCCAGATAAAGCCAGTGGCCCTCGGTGGCTCCAGCAGGGCAGGCACAGAGCTGCTATCACCAGGCTCAGCTGCTGCACGGGAGGTGCCGGAGCTCGGCCGGTTACTGGGGCACAACGGGACAGCAAACGTGGGTGCAGAGGGACAAGGCTGGTCTGAGCCTGATGGTGGGGCAGGTGCAGATGTCTCCTGCAAGGCCTCAAGGTAGGAAAACAGCCTGGCTCAAGGGTTCAGCCTGGCAGCAGGGGGATTTCACTGAGCTGGTGCTGCAGCACTTGGTTGTCCTGGTGTAAGTGGATCCGAACCGCTCCCTGCGGGGACTCGACACTACCTGGAGTCTTTGCCAAATACCTTTCAACATCTCCATGTCCCATGCTGAGGTCACTGCCCAGAATTCAAACTGTTGGGAATTTTTTTTCCTGCTAACAGCTTCCTTTTTCATTGTGCAGCCACCATCCCCACTCAGGCCTCTGCTCACCAGTGACCTGTAAAAATACGTGGCCAAGGTATGTCCATGTAATTCCTCATACTCCTCCCAAGTATGTATTTCAAAGGGGGACCTTACCCAGGCTGCCTGACTCCTCCCTGGGCCTCGCTGCAAATGCTTTCGTTACATCTGCTTGGAGCTTAAATTGCAATGGAAAGGAAAATAAAGTGGAGAGGAAAAAAACTAAAGTAAAACAGGTAAGTTTGAGCTTCTCAGTGGAAACATCCCTGTTTCCTGCACAGCAAAGGCAAACAGGAAGGTGCAGGTCGGCTGCTGCTGGCTGCCCTTTGGTCAGGGTGGGAGCACTGCTCAGCAGAATGGGATGAGGCAGCAAACACAGCCACAGCCTTTCCTCTGGCTTGTCCCTCAAACCCCATGGGCAGGGACCCCAGAGCAGCTCCACTTTCCCACATGGATCCAAGGCAAATTGCTCCTGTGCCTGACCAGCCCTGAGGACACACCTGAACCTCTTTGGGCAGCACAGCATCTCCTTCAAAGAGTTTTTAGTCCAGCTGGGAGGGTTACAGTGGGAACACTGGTATCCCCACCACCTGTGCATAGGGGTTAATAGAAGCAGCCCAATTAGCAGCTTCAAGGTAGGGCTGATTCAAAACCCTCTGCTCTCTTCTGGGCACCTCTCGAGCTGGAGGAAAGCCCTTGTCTCTCCTCTGTTCTTACAGAAAAGCCTCTTTCCATGCAGGTTTGTTCTTAGGGACAGGCAGGTGATGCTTGAAGGTGGTTTTGGGGTCTGGCAGGGTCTGGTGCCCTGAGCTGTGCTGTGCTGAGCCAGGTGCTGTTGGAGAGGGCAGGTGGCACCGAGGAAGATTCAGCTCTCATCCCCCCATGCAGCACAGCCAGTGGAGAGGGACCCAAACACACACTTCGGGGTGTGCCCCAGGGTCCACAGCCAGAGCCGGCAAGACCCCCAGGCTGCCCTTTTTGGTTTGGGTCTTCTCTTTTCCTTTAGGACTTGACAGCTTTGGAGGGAGGGGTGCCTTCAGCAGGAGGTGCAGAGGAGCGATGCGAGGGAGATGCTGAGGCAGCCGGTGTGCGGGGAGCCCCGCTGCGTTCCTCGGGATGCGCCACGCGTGCCCCGCGGAGCCGGCACCGGGAAGGGGATGGGGGTAGAACCGCGTTTTCCACACCCACTGCCCACCGCAGACAAGGGTTTCGTCAGAGGATTTCCCGGAGCTGAGGTAGCCGGGCGGGGTGCGGGGGGGCTGCGGGAGTGGCCCCGCTCCCCATCGCTCCCCGCCCTGCGGGGGCAGCCCGGGCTGTGCCGGGGAGACCCGCGATGGGCTCCGGCCGGTGCCGCTCGCTCCTGCCCGCTCTGCTGGTGCTGCTGCTGCTGCTGCTGGTGCTGCCCTCGGCGTGGGGTGAGCCCTCGGGGAGGGACTGGGGGTGCGGTGAGCCCTGACACCTTGCGTGGGTGCTCCGTGGGTGCGTGTGCGTTCTCTGTGTGTGTGCGCGCTCCATGTGAGTGTGTTACGTGTTTGAGTGTGTTCCACGCGGGTGTGTGCGCTCTGTGTGTATGTGCTCCAGGTGTTCCGCGTGGGTGGGTGTGTCCCCCGTGGGTGTGTTGTGGCTGTGAGTGTCTGTTATCCGTGTGTACGTGCTCCCGTGGCTGTGTGTGCCCTGTATGTGTGGGTGTGCTCCGTGTGTGCTCAGCGTGCTCTGTGTGTGTGCTGTGTCAGGGATGTGCTCTGTCTGTGCATCCACTCTGTGTGTGTGTGTGTGTGTGTGCTCCATGTCCGTGTGTGTGTTCCCTGTGCATGTTTGTGCTCTGCGTGGGGGTCTGTGCTCTCTTTGCGTGTGCTTCACGTGTTCCAGGCGTGCTCTGCTCCACGGGCTGTGTCACTGTGCGTGTGCCACACTCTGAGTGTGCCCTGCCCAGGGGGACAGACAGAGGCAGCACAGAAGCCCCACTAAATCCCTGGTTTATTCTGCCACAGGCGACTGTGGGCCCTTGCCAAATATCAGCCACGCAGAGCCCACAGAGGACGTGAAACACAAGCAGAGCTTCAGTGAGGGCTCCATGGTGAGATACGTCTGCGTCACAGGCTACACCAAACGCCCCCTCCTCTCCGACACCATCCAGTGCCTTACAAACTCCCAGTGGTCCCACCTCCCGGAGTTCTGTGGCCGTAAGTATTTCCCTTTCCCTACTTGGAGGTGCTTGTGAAAATGTTCAGTGCTTTGGCAATCGCTGTTTCAGGGGTTTCCTCATCAGAAGCGACAAATGGGGTGAAGTGGCTTAGTCAAGAATCTCTTTCTGCCCCTTTTTTTTCCTAACCTGCACTCTGGCGTTGGAGCCACGTGCTGGTGGCGCTTGTGTGCTGATACAAATAGATCAGTAGCTTGGGAATGATTCAAAGAGAGCAAATTTTAACATGTAAAACTTCTTCCATTAAATAGTCATCTGGTTGGAAGGGATCTTAAAGCTCATCTCAATCCACCTTGTGGAAGGGACACCTTCCACCATCCCAGGTTACTCCAAGCCCTGCCCAACCTGGTCTTGGACATTCCAGGGATGGAGCACCCACAGCTTCTCTGGGCAACCTGTGCCAGGGCCTCCCCACCCTTATAGTAAAGAACTTTCTCCTAATATCCAGTCTAACCCTGCCCTCTCTCAGTGTGAAGCCTTGATCTCCTTGTCCTGTCACTCCATATAAATAGTCTCTTTCCATCCCTTTGTAGGTTCCTTTCTGATTTATTTACACAAATTACCCATCACCTTCTTAAAACTATTTGTGTTATCCATATCTCTTAGTGAGGTTTATTTGTTATCAATCACCTGGCTCTATGTTTATACACAGCCGAGAATGCAAAATATTGTTATTTTTGCTCTGTAACTGCCATTCTGGTTGTCTCTGTTGCCAGGTAGCTGTCCCAGCCCTCCGTATATGCCATTTGCTAAAATATCACAGGATGATCAAACACAGAATTTTTATCCTGTTAATACCACGGTGAAGTACATTTGTCGCCCAGGCTTCGAGAATACCACAGACCAGCTCCCCACCAGCACCTGCCTGGACAACTTAGAGTGGTCAGAAGTTCCTGAGCTGTGCAGGAGTGAGTGTCTCCATGTAACTTTATTTTCTCCAACGCTGTGTTCCGAGTGCCACATCTGTATTTTAGAATTCCTCTTTTTTAATGACATTTAACATGAAGTGCCAACAATTGCCTGGTTTGGTGTTGCCACACTGTCATGAAAACTAAGTCTATGGGGTTTTTCCCCCAACCTCGTGGTGTCCTAAGGATAATCTTGCTCTTTTTCAGGGAGATCTTGTGGTATTCCAGCAAGTCCAGAACATGGCAAAGTTATTACAGATGATCACCTGCTCGGTGCAAAAGCCACTGTGGTTTGTGACCGTGGGTGAGTGTGAAGTAGCTGCCCACTGCACCCCAGTTGCCTGGCCAGAGACACTGGTGTGTGAACTGGGACATGGGGCTCTGCCAATGTGGAGTCCTTGGCAAATTTATGGTGACACGTTCTTGGTTGGTGACAACAAATTTTGGGATGTGCCTCTTCTCCCTGCAGGTACATATTACAGGGAGGGTCACCTTCCATCTTTTGTGCCATACAGGGAAATGAAGTTGTCTGGAGTCAACTTCCAGCTTGTCAGGGTAAGTGAAGTTGTCCAGTGCTGGAATTACCAGATATTCCAACTCAGGAATGCTGAATTGTTTGATGATTTTACTAAGTCAAGTCCTGCCAAGGGCAGGGACACGTTCCACTAGCCCAGGTTGCTCCAAGCCCTGTCCAACCTGGCTTTGGGGACTTCCAGGGGTGAGGCAGCCACAGCTTCTCTGGGCAACCTGTGCCAGGGACTCCCCACCCTCACAGGGAAGAATTTCTTCCTTGTATCTTATCTAAACCTTCCCTCCTTCACCTTGAGGCCATTTCCCTTTCTCCATTCACTGCATGCCTTTGTCCAAAGTCCCTCTCCAGGTGTCTTGAAGCCCCTTTAGGCACTGGAAGGGGCTCTAAGGTCTTCCCAGGGCCTTCTCTTCTCCAGGCTGAACAACCTCCCCTCTCTCAGCCTGGAGAGTTCTCCCATCACGGAGAAGAGCCTCCTCCTGAACTCTTTTCTCTTCCTCCCACAGCTATTTCTTGTCCTCCTCCTCCAGCCATTCCCCAGGGGCAGCATGATGGCAACAGCACCGGGAAGTTCCCGTACGGCTCAGTCGCGACCTACACGTGTGACCCCGGGCTGGAGCTCGTGGGGAACAAATCTCTCCTCTGTACAACGGAGAACGGGGTCCTTGGCACCTGGAATGGGCCTCCTCCCGAGTGCAGGGGTGAGCACTGCTGGGTGATCCCCCTGTTCTCCAGTGCTTCGTTCTTGCAGTACAGAGAGTTACTCCTAACTCCACGAGGATTGAAGTGTCACCAAGTGTCAGCCTGTGTGACTCTTGCACAGCTCTTGCTGTTGTAACCTGCCCGTGAGACATTTACTCTCACTGAACTGTTATACATATTATTTATAACTAGAGGAGCATATAGAATAACACTCTGAGTGCTTTTCCTTTTTCTCTCCCCAGTTAGCACTACAGCAGAGACAAACCAAACTCAATCCTCCAAGGAGAATCCTTACTGGTTGGGTAAGAGCTCAGTTACTCCAAAGTCCTGTTATTTGCTGTAACTGCACCACATTTTGGGCTTTTATTTTTTTTTAACATCCATTTCATAATTTTCTTCCCTAGCAAGTATCCTCATCCCTAGCTGCATTGGTAAGTAGCTTAAAACTGAAAATTTATTTTCCTAACCCAAAGCTGTTATTTGCTGTTAAATACCTGCAGGCAGTGGTTGACTGGGTTCACTCCCCCCAGCCCTGAGTGTCTCTGGAAAGTATTGAGGGGTTTCTCTGCTGTTGGGTGATGCAAGCCCTGGGATGAATCAGCTGTCTTAGTATAACACATCAGATAAATTGAGGGTGAAATGAAAGATGCCAAGAAACCAACCAAAACCTGCACAGACAGCCCCAGCACAAAGAATTTTCCTGCCCAAACTGCAGTATTTCACTTAAATTACAGATTAAATTTGTTTATTTTTGGGTTGAGTTGTTGGGGTTTTTTTTCCTTCTTTGTTAGTTCCCCCAGTAGCCCTTGGAATTGTAGCTGGGATCATCCTGAGACGGAAAGACAATGGGAAACAGTAAGTGACACAAAGCTGCCCCCTGAAAATCTTAACTTCCCCTAGGGATAAGTGGATGTTTCCTTTCAAGCTCTGTACCTTCAGTATCTATTTTCATGGTTAGTACCATCTTTCCACGTTGCTAAATTGCTTTTGATTCTACACACTTTCTCCCTTCTGTCCCTTCAGCTCTTACAACATGAATTTACAAAAGCACACGATGAAGGGAAGGGATGCAGCGGTGCACCCGAAGAAGCAGCCCATGCCATGGAATTCCTACTTTTGGTAGGTTTGCTTGTTGATCTGCCCAAAAGCCTGTGCCACCCTTCTGACTACACCCATGGGTCTCACTGGTGACCTGTAAAAACACACCTCGGTGAAGTTTTGGACTCTCAAATGCCAACGTGCCGCTCGCTGAGAGGCACCGGCGGCTCCACCCTGGGAGGGTTTGGTGTTCACTGGCTGCTCCCTGGGCTCAGCCTGAGGGATTCTCCCCACCTCTCTCTCCATCCACAGCCACACAACGAGTTGCCACGTGTGTCCCACCTGCAGGAAGCAGCTGCACGATGCCCTGGCCCCTCTCACCGTGCCCACGCGCCGCGGCTGTGCCGCCTGCGAGGACTGGCTGAGCTCCAGGCCCGGCAAACCACGCACCTACTCGGTCCCCAGCATTGGTGACAGGGAGAGCCAAAGCCCAGCAGGCACCAGGTACCACCAGGCTCTTGCTTCTGCTCCCCTTGCATGGGTCCACGGAGGGCAAAACTTCCTCCAGGGAGGAGAAGGCACCTGCACATGGATGGAGCAGGTTTGGCAGTCGGAATTCATTTGGTTCCTCCGAGTCCAGTTTCAGCTGGAGAAAGTATTTGATATTTAGAAAAAGGTGGCTCTGTCAGGCAGCAGGTGTTCTGGGGAAGCCACACAGTCAGGTGACTCAGGTTGTCTTCTCTCTCTTTGTCTGTGTTCAGCTCTCCTGCCAAAGCTGTGGATGTGCAGAGGGGTCACGGTGCAGGAGAAGCTGGTCCAGAGTGGAGTGAGGCAGAGCAGCCTGTGGACCACGAAAGGTTGGTCTTCCACTTAAAAATACACAGAAGTCATGGTGGGATTGGATAAAAATTGCTTCAGAGTAGAGCAAATCTGTTTTCCTTATGGAATCCCAGAATGGTTTGGGTTGGAAGGGGCCTTAAAGATCATCCAGTTCCCATGGGCAGAGACACCTTCTACTAGAGCAAGGTTGTTCCCAGCTGGCCTGGAATGCACATCCATGCAGTCAGTGCACATCCTTAATGGTGCTTCTCCACAGCAGCCACCACATCTGTCCCGTGTGTGAGAACTGGCTCCGTGCCCACGTTGGACAGCTGGACAGCCGTGCTGTGGCACCCGGGGAGTGGCAGGACGAGGGGTGAGTGTGGTGAGGCCGGTGCAGGCAGCTCCTCTCACCAGTGGGCACCAGGGTGTGTGCCCAGTGTCCTCAAAACCGAGAGTTCAGCTCTTAAATTAAAAATACAACGACAGTGCATGAACGCTGGTCCCACTTGCCTCCAGCTCTGTGTCAGCATGGGGGTGTGGTGCCTGCTTGCAAGCAAAGGGATGTGAAACTGGGGTGAGGTTTAATTAGACAATGCTTGAGTGGTTTCCTTGGGTGTCTCTGAATTAGCTTGTGGTCCTTGTGCTCACCTGGCTGGGCCTTGTGTTCTTTGGAGCTCTGGTTTGGGTTAAGCAGCAAAGAGCCCGAGTGCTGTGAGAGACCCTGCAGCTTCTGTTCTCCTGCTGCCCAGTGCTTTTCCCACCTCTAGGCATGGCTAGTTTGCCTGGGGCAAGATAAGGTGTTGGGGCAGAGCAGCCACCAGGTGAGCAAGATGATCCTGTTTGCTCTGTTCATTTATCTTTTGACACTTGCCCATGTGAATCTGGTGCTCTCTCAGCCTCCCAAAGCTTCCCTAACAGAGTCATCACTGACAGAGGCAAAATATTTGGTTAAATAAATGTGGTCTGACATGAGCATCTACTTGCTTCATCTTTAGTAAGTCTGAACTTCTCTTTACTCCACTTGTTTTGGGGTTTTTTTCCCCACTTATTTCCCACTGTTGTGTGAGTGCTTTTAACCCTTAACACCGGAGGAGCCGTTTCAGTTCTACATTCGTGAATCGCTGCTTATTTGAGTTTAAAAAGTGAATATCTTTGACACTGTCAGGGAAACCAGCTTTGTGGGTGCTGGAGGAGAAGTTTGTCACGACCCCTCGGGGACTCACCCCTGTCTCTCTCCCCACAGCCCGCGGGGCCCCATCTGCTCTCCCTGCATGGACCAGCTGCACCTCTCCCTTGTCCACAGTGACACAGGGACACACGTGGTGTGTCCCCTGGCTGGAGAGGGGACCCCAGCCCACCTCATCCCTCAGCACACCCCCAGCTGCCACGTGTGCCCCGTGTGTGCAGTGCCAACCCACACACACTTGTGCCAGCCCCGGCACCAGGCACCCGTGTGAGCTTCTCGTGATGCACAGCTGGGAACAAAACCTGTCTACTGCAGACTTTTTGTTTCTCCATTTTCACCAGTGGTTTCCTGTAAACAGGAACGTGCATCTAATAAGAAGGAAAAAGCAATTTCCATCAACATGTTAGTCTTGTTCCAAATAGACCCACAAAGTTCTCTGTTCCCAGCAGAGCCCTGTCCTGTTCTGCTGTCACAGGGGCACTGCGAGATCCTGTTTTCAAGCACTTTCATATTGCTAGTTACTTTTATTTTTCTCTTACCATAATCCACTGGACTGACTGGATGGACAAAACATAATCCTAAAGCCTTGTATCTTTGGGTTGTGTTTGGTTGTGTTATTTTAATCCCAGCACAATTGTTCCTACTCCATTGCCCAGAGTGATTTTTCTAAATGATTTAACACTTGATTTGGGGATCAGCTTGGAATGATCTCCCTGCAACCAAATGAAAGGAGTTGTGAGTGCTGTGATGTAACTTAGAGGTGTGGTTGCCAAAATTTGCCACTGGAGAGGGTTTTATCTGCTGTGTTTGTAATCGAATTGTACCTGTTTTTACTTTATAATCTAAGTGTAAACGACCAAGGGCAATTCTGAAGTGTGAATGTTGGACATGTAAATATTGGAAGCTGTCTGTCAATAAAAGGGATAAAAAGACTTGAGTAAGACGTGCCTTGCTGCTTGTTTTAGGCTCAGGAAGTGTCACCTGCTATGTGAGGTGGGGAGCTGGAGGCTGCTGGGGCTGCTCCTTCCCCAAAAAGTCCTGCCTGGAGGTTTTTATTCTTCCAGCCCTAGAGCAGCCAGGGTTGGGTTAGGAGGATTCAGGTCCACAAATGCTGCTGGTCCCATGTGTGTGGGAGGAGGGAACGGCCCTCTCTACCCTTCCCACACCCAGGTGAGCTGTGCTGTGTCCCTTCAGGTGCCATCACCACCTGGGGACCTGAGGCCACTTCCCCAGAGGAGGATGCTCTGCACCCTGGCACAGCTCAGCTACAGCACCTCTGCCTGCACCCACACTCCATTTTCCACAGATGCCCGAGGGTCCTGGGGACCCATCCTCCCCTTCCAAACCAGCAGCATCAGCGGTGTGGGGCACCTGCAGCCTCCCCTCATCTGGGGAGCCCATGGGTTCCTGTCCTGTGGCCCTGGGAAGTCCCGCAGCTGAGGCTCCTTCCACAGGCAGGGGGCGGGGAGGGGAACTGGGGTGTCCATATCTTCCCACCGCCCCCCCAGGAGCCACAGTCTGTGCCAGGGACCAGAGCATGGTGCTCCCCTTCACCCTCTGCCTCCTGGGCAGCTCTGCTTGGCTCCTGATCACCAGGGCTGGGGCTCAAGGTGAGTGAGACCGGCAGGTCTGGGACCTTCCTCCCATGGCCCTCTCTTTCTCATGGCTGCTCCTCTCCTTGCTGATCCTTTTGCTTTTCCCTCTTGGTCCCAGGTGGACCTTGGAATGCCAAACCCTGAACATCACAGAACCTCTGAGCTTCTCTGCTAATAAAAAAGCCCCTCTGGGATAGTGTTGGAGCCACGCTTGAGTGCCTGGGGAACGGGGGACCCAGTTAGGCTGGTCCTGCCAACATCTCCCCGGGTTGGATCACACCCAGAGGATGGGCTTCAGAGCCCGTGGGTCAGAAACCTGTAAAAAGGCCAGGAAGGGCTCTTGACATCACCAGGTGATTGATATGAAGTCTTGATGAGAAACCCAGTTTTTGCCAGTTGAGGAAGCTGCAGGGTCCCCCAGAGGCTCAGGGAGGGGTCCTGCAGCACCAGGGGCACCCACCCCAATTTCAGCCTCTGCCACACCCTCCCCACAACAACAGCAGCACCTGGGAGCTCCGGAGGTAAACGTTTCGTTTCTCTCCCTTTTCCAGTTGCCCGGTGCCCGCTCCCACAGATCCGGTATGGGACGAGAGTACCCTCCACTCACTTTCACCCCAGGCGCGGGGACACCGTGAGCTTCACCTGCAACTGGGGCTACACCCTGCAGGGCTCCCGCACCAGCACCTGCGGAGCTGACTCCAGGTGGAACCCACCCCTGCCAGTGTGCAAAAAGCGTGAGTGTCCCAGCGTGTGCGAGCGGGGACGGCTGCGGGGGAAAGCTCCCTCTTGTGTCCTCTCAGATTCACTGGGAAAGCAAAGCCGGGATGCGAGAATTTAACCCTAGGGCCGAGCTGCTGTGCTGCGGGGAGGCTTGAACCTGTGGGATGGCTGCCCCGGGGGGGTTTCTTGTTACTCTGCTCCTGGTCAGATGTAGGGTCATTTTCATCTTCCTCCTGGAACGGGAAGTTCATTGCAGCTTCTCGCTGCTCTTGTTGCTTCCACGCCCGGGTGCATTTCTGCCAAACGCCATGAGATGCCTGTGAGTTCTCCTGTAGGGAATGTTGTTACTGCCAGTAATTTCTTCCAGATGCAGGGTGATTGTTATATTGGTGCAGCTGCACCTTTAGTTAACTAATGCTTCGGTCCAGCAAATGGAACAAACACAAAAGAATTTAGGACATTACCCTGATGCTACTTGAACAGCCCTAGTAACTCACTTAGGGGCAAGCACCTGACCCACAGGGTGATTTATTTCCCTCTGCAGAGGCGATGTGTCCTCGGCCACCGAACATCGCCAACGGGCTGCACACAGGACAGTCCCTGCACAAGGTTTCCCGGGGAGGGGCCGTGCACTACAGCTGCAGGGATGGATACACACTGCTTGGGAACGCGTCCATCACCTGCACAGAGGCTGGGCTGTGGAGCCGGCCCCTGCCCCGCTGTGAAGGTGGGTGGATGGTTCTCTCCTGGGTGTGGGGCTGGCAAAATGATGTTACATGTCCTGTAGGATCAGAGCAGGCAGGTTTATGGCAGTGACAAGAAGGGGGGAAGCTGTGTGTGCAGGATCAATGGAAGTATTGAAGTTTACAGGATGCTCTCTGTGTTCCCACAGCAATTGGCTGTAAGATACCCGAGGTGCAGAATGGGAAGGTCTACGATCTGCAGAGCACCTACAAAGCTGGGGAGACTCTTCACTTTGACTGTGACACTGGTTATGCTGCAGAGGGCACCTACAAGGCTCGGTGCCAGCCTGGGGGCACCTGGGATCCGCCAGTGCTCATCTGCCAGAGGGGTGAGTGGGGGTGCCCACTGCTTCCCCAGGGCAGCCCTGCCTGGCAGGGCTTCCTTGCAGGCAGGAACAGCATCTGCAGGCAGAGCTGTTCCTGGGATGGGCTTTAACCCATCAATGCAGCCTCACTCTGACTGCCTTCCCCTGGCACCCTGTTCCCTCCCTGAGTCATGACTTTCCACCTCCCTCTTGCAGTCCGACCCTGCCCCATGCCTCCAGAGATCACCAATGGAAACCACAACGGCCAGGGCAAAGCATTTTTTACCATGGGAATGTCTGTAAGATACACCTGCAACCCTGGCTATTACCTGGTTGGAAATGCTGATGTATTTTGCAGACTATCAGGGAGCTGGAGCCAGCCTGGCCCTCGCTGTGAAGGTGAGTCCATGCTCTGTCCCCTCAGGGCACAAACTCATAGTGTGGCTCTGTTCACAGGGGGACCCTCACCACTGCCACTGAGACCTCCAGTGAGGGACTAAATTCCCCTTTAATTAAACATACAGTTTTATACTATGTAAAGAATAAGCTTAGATGCACGAATTTAGAGCCAGCACTCTTCTCCCTGTGCTCCAGTGGCAGCTTGGCTCCAGCATGCCCATGGAGAGCCAGATGTTGATGGTGCTGGGGACCAGGCAAGGTCAGGGGGTGTATCACAGCTTTTTAGGGATGACCAGCTGGATTTCTATGAATCAATTCAATACCCTTTGCCCAGAAAAGTCAGAGGAGAGACAGAGCATCCAAAGGCTGCTGTCAGGACAGAGCTCGCAGTACCTGGGGTTTGAGGCCTCTGCCCTCACCCTTCACCTTCCCCCATGTCTGACATGCAGGAGGTTGGAGCTGGGCTGTCTCTCAGGAATTGTCTCTCCCAGACATTCTCATGGGCTTTTCCCCTCCCTCTGCAGAGGTGACGTGTCCTCGGCCACCGAACATCGCCAACGGGCTGCACACAGGACAGTCCCTGCACAAGGTTTCCCGGGGAGGGGCCGTGCACTACAGCTGCAGGGATGGATACACACTGCTTGGGAACGCGTCCATCACCTGCACAGAGGCTGGGCTGTGGAGCCGGCCCCTGCCCCGCTGTGAAGGTGGGTGGATGGTTCTCTCCTGGGTGTGGGGCTGGCAAAATGATGTTACATGTCCTGTAGGATCAGAGCAGGCAGGTTTATGGCAGTGACAAGAAGGGGGGAAGCTGTGTGTGCAGGATCAATTGAAGTATTGAAGTTTACAGGATGCTCTCTGTGTTCCCACAGCAATTGGCTGTAAGATACCCGAGGTGCAGAATGGGAAGGTCTACGATCTGCAGAGCACCTACAAAGCTGGGGAGACTCTTCACTTTGACTGTGACACTGGTTATGCTGCAGAGGGCACCTACAAGGCTCGGTGCCAGCCTGGGGGCACCTGGGATCCGCCAGTGCTCATCTGCCAGAGGGGTGAGTGTGGGTGCCCACTGCTTCCCCAGGGCAGCCCTGCCTGGCAGGGCTTCCTTGCAGGCAGGAACAGCATCTGCAGGCAGAGCTGTTCCTGGGATGGGCTTTAACCCATCAATGCAGCCTCACTCTGACTGCCTTCCCCTGGCACCCTGTTCTCTCCCTGAGTCATGACTTTCCACCTCCCTCTTGCAGTCCGACCCTGCCCCATGCCTCCAGAGATCACCAATGGAAACCACAACGGCCAGGGCAAAGCATTTTTTACCATGGGAATGTCTGTAAGATACACCTGCAACCCTGGCTATTACCTGGTTGGAAATGCTGATGTATTTTGCAGACTATCAGGGAGCTGGAGCCAGCCTGGCCCTCGCTGTGAAGGTGTGTCCATGCTCTGTCCCCTCAGGGCACAAACTCATAGTGTGGCTCTGTTCACAGGGGGACCCTCACCACTGCCACTGAGACCTCCAGTGAGGGACTAAATTCCCCTTTAATTAAATATACAGTTCTATACTATGTAAAGAATAAGCTTAGATGCACGAATTTAGAGCCAGCACCCTCCTCCCTGTGCTCCAGTGGCAGCAGATGTCACGTTGATTTTGTTGTTGCAATATTAAGAGCCTGTGGTTCTTTGCTTTGTTTTGCTCCAACTCCTTTTGCACAACTCTCGTTTCCAGTGACTGTCTGCATCAATCCAACCATAGCAAATGGGAGGCAAGTTGATGTTCAAGGACTTATCTCTGCACCTGGGCAAACGCTGACATTTCAGTGCCACGATGGTTACAGCCTGCAAGGCAGTGCCGAGGTCTCCTGCCAGGAGGATGGCAGCTGGCAGCCTCCTCTTCCTGTCTGTGAGAGATCATTCCTTTACCAGAACTCTTTAAATAGGCACGAATCTCCAGGTAAATAATGACTTAACTGCCTTGGGGTACACTGCTATTTTATGTCCCCTAACCCTGTTTGAAAAATGTGGTTAAACCCCGTGAGTGGAAGATTGAAGTATATCCCGACAATAAGAACCTGTTCCTCTGCAATCCTTTGAGAAAATATGCTGTGTTTGTTTAATAATGGCCATATCACTAAACAATTTTGCAAGGCAAACGAAACACCTTTCCTCCTGACAGTGCTTTCTGTGCTTGCACCCGCCAAACCTGCCCTGCCTGGCTCTCATGTGTGTTTTCTCTCCCAATAGGTGGTTGTGGCCCCCCCACAAGGTTACACTTTGCTGAGCTAAATGAGGAGCATAGAAATACGTTTGATTTTTCTGTTGGGAAGACTGTGCAATACACTTGCCGAGCTGGATATGCTAAACAGCCAGGAATGTCACCTACTATTACATGCCTTGAGAGCGGAGTGTGGTCAGAAGCACTAGAGTTCTGTAAAAGTGAATAGCTCCTTGATTTGGTGTCTGTTGATCAAGAAGGAATTGGTCCTAGGTTCTGTCCATGCTGCAAAAACCTTTCTGTTCTTCTGGTCCTCAAAATGATACGTGACTAGTGAAGCCATGTAACTTTTTGCTATTTGAAACCTGTTTTGGGGGTAACTGGAAATGGGGACAGATGACTGGGGTAATAGTTGCATCTGTTGTGCCACAGTATGGGGAGACAGAAGGCTAAAATGAGGGTATTTTCCTCCCCCAGGGAAACAATGCAGTCACCCTGGTGAACCTGTGAATGGGAAAATTATTTCCCTAACAGATGTCCTGTTTGGGTCAACGGTGGTCTATGGCTGTGAGGAAGGGTAAGTCCTGGCTTTGGCTACTGCTCAGAGGTGTATTAGGTAAGTCCCTCTTTTTCTTCCTCCTGTTCATTCACTCCAAAGACATGGATTCTGTACAGAAGCCATACAGGGTTCTGTAGCTCCTAAGGTGCTCACTGTCTTGTCTGTACATATAAATACTTGACATGGGTTTGGCCGAGCGAGAAGGAACTCCTCCTTCAGTGCCACAGCTTTGCTGACCCCCCCCCCATCCCAGGTGGGAGGCAGCATCTCCAACTGAACTGACTTGGGATGAACATTCAACCCTTTCAACACCAGGTACAGGTTAATTGGACAGTCCAGCAGGCGGTGTGAGATTTCTGGTGGACGTGTTGCGTGGAGCGGCGACGTTCCCATTTGCCAGCGTAAGTAGCTTGCAGCTCCAGGGATTTGCATGGATCTGGGAAGCATTTTCCAGCAGAGACTGCCACACCTTTCCAGTCAAAGCTTTCACAGGCAATCCCTCTGCCCTGCGAGCATGAAAATTATCAGAAGGTTTCGAAGTTAAAAGAAAAGGTTCTGGGAAAGGTACAGGATCCCAAAGCTTAATGGGTTATAGAAAGCAACATCTCTGCTGGAGCTTTTCCAGCAGTACTTGAGTACCCTGCTGCTGACTGACATCTCAAGAGCCCGTAAAAAGAGAGGAAGGGAAAATATGTTCAGCTTAGGGGCTGTTACTGTCAGACACAGACTGAGGGTCAGTCCTAGGGAGAGACAGAGCATTGTGCCAGCAGTGGAATCCCAAAGTCCCAAACTGTGGGCTTGCTCCTACTCTCCAAGCACAGATAACTGGTGTGTACCCAAAGAGCTGCACCTCAGCAGTCACACCTGGGTGTTTCTCTGATGGTTAACTAGTGTTGCTGGTTAGGTGACAGTTTCATAAGAAGAAAGAAACGTTTGCTGGTACATTCTGGGGTTTTAAAGCATTTCCCACGTTCTCCAGGTACATATGAACCTAAGGTGATGTACAGACTGTGCCTGTGCTTGCCTTGGCACTGCCTGCAGAAAATCAGCATTTTGCAAAAGTGATGCAAAATAAAACTCTTTGCCTTCTTATTTCTTAAACAGTAAAAAATACAAAGCATGTAGATGTTTCCTCCACAGAGGTTTTACTGGTCTGCTTTCTACCTGCCATAAAAATTCCTGACCAGGGAGGTAGGATGTTGCCAACAAGGCCTCACCTGGGAGGTCACTTCACTGCAGTTATTTCCTCTCTAGAACCAGTGTTTGTGCCCCACAGACTGAGGGATTTCCAGGACTTTGGTGCTGCTGTTGAACTCAAAAGCCTCGTTCTGCCCCTTTGCAGGTATTCCTTGTGAGCCACCCCCGGACATTCCCAATGGGAAGCACACGGGCAGGCTGCTGAATGAATTCTTCTATGGCATAGCTGTAACATACACCTGCAACCCCGGGTTCCCACTCCACGGAGAGCCCTCCATCCACTGCACCACCCGGGACGGGAAAAACGGCGTGTGGAGCGAGCCCATCCCCACCTGTGGAGGTGGGTGTGGCTGCAGATACTCACAGCACTACTGGGAAGTTTGGAAAGGCTAGGAAACTCCAGACAGCTGGACTTCTTGCCCCAGGGTTTTCAAGGGCTGATGGGCAGCTGAGGGCAGGAGGCTGGAGGGCCACCCCGCTGCCCTCCAGCATCCCCAGCTTCACCTTTCAGTTTGGTGATGTTTGATATCCCTGGATGCAGGCAGTGCATCATCCACGGGAAAATTACTTTCAGGCTTGTGTCTTAGAAGGGATTGCAATCCTCTGTGGCTTCTCAGCCGCACAGCTCTGCCCAAGTGCCTGCTTTGAGGACCTGCCCTTCCTTTTTCCAGAGGCAAATTGTCCCGTCCCGCGGGTCCAGAACGGGAGGATCGTGTCTCCTAGATCTGCCTACTCCCACCAGGACACCGTGACCTTTGAGTGTGAGCCAGGCTTTGTCCTGCGTGGCCACAGAGTGGTCCAGTGCCAACCCAATAACACCTGGGAGCCACCCGTGCCAGTCTGCACTCAGGGCAAGTGTTCACACAGGGCTCTGAGCATTAACCTTCCCCTGCTCTCCCACATCTGCCTTTTCTTGGCTCCTGTAACAGCTGGGCTGGCTTCTTTCTCTCTTGGTAGCTGGCTGCAGTGCACCTGCCAGGCTGGAGTTTGCTGAGCTGAAGGAGCCCCTCAACAACCAGACCGTCTTTCCCGTGGGGAGGACAGTGGAATACGTGTGCCGGCCGGGGTATTCCCAGCACCCAGGGATGCCACCATCCATCACATGCCTCAGGAATCAGACGTGGTCTGCGGTGCTGGAGTTCTGTAAAAGTACGTCCCACAAGTGCTGAAGAACCCGAAGTGCATCAGGCTTGGCTGGTTTTCCATGTTTTCCCAGCTTTATGGGTTTCTTTACCTACTCTCTGCGCTGGTATCCCTGGCTGGGATGTGAGTAGCAGCTGGGGGTTAACTGAGGCTGGCATTCCCTTCCAGGGAAGCAGTGTCCTGACCCAGGGCACCCAGTGAAAGGCAGAGCTGTTGTCCTGACAGACCTCCTCTTCGGGTCCAAAATTAACTACACTTGTGACGAAGGGTGAGTCTTGCACAAGCTGAATTCAGCTGCCAGGTGAGAGAGGAGTGGATTTTCAGCTTTACACAACTTAGTTCCCAAGTCAGAAGTCTCGGCTGCCACTTAACAAAGGTTGCAAAGAAATCTCAAGTCTCTTATTGTTAAATTAATAAATCCTTCCGTGTGGCTCCAGGTACAAGCTGGTTGGAAGCTCTCAGAGGACGTGTGAGGTCTCTGGCACACGTGTCTCGTGGAGTGGAGATGCTCCTGTCTGCCAGCGTAAGTAGGCCAGAGGAAAAGGTCCTTGGAGATGGTTTGCAAGGTAAAAGTGGAACGCCTTTCAAGCCAAAGATTTTATTGCAAAAGATTCCAGTCACTGGGATGCATAAAATGTTTCCTTTTCATTTTCATTGTTTGGTTTGATGCTTCTGAAAATGTTTCCAAAGGTCTTTTATTTATCCTGTTCCAAACTGGGAAGAAACAGTAATATCTTAAACTCCCTGTAACAGGGTAAGTATTCCTCACTGGGTGTGTGTAGGAATGGTGTGACCAGTCTGTCTCTGAGCATGTCACCAATGGTTATGGAAAGGGAGGTAAGAATTGTCCCACCACCTCCAGACGGGCAGCAAGGAACTGGCTCATGGAAGGCTGCAGGTTTTCCTTCCCACATTGATTTTTTTCCACACAAGGTTTATTTCTGGGTAATTTGGGACACTGAATGCTGAGATGGCTCCATCCCCATTGATGCCCTTCCTGGGTGTGCCCTGCAGACTCTGGGTGCTGCTGCAGTGCTAAGAGTCCCCTTGTGCCTGCCCGCAGGGATCGTCTGCGCTCCGCCTCCAGCCATCCCCCACGGGACACACAGCGGGCACTCGAGGGACACCTTCTCCTACGGGGACGTGGTCACCTACACCTGTGACTCCGGGCACTCTCTGGCAGGAGATCCCTCCATCCTCTGCACCTCCTCAGACGGGGAGCACGGAGTGTGGAGCGGGCCAGTGCCGCGGTGCCAAGGTAGGGCTGGGAGGGCTCTGTGGGGTGTCCCCACCGGAGAGGTTTGGTTGCCACTGGCAGGAGAAAATCCCATGGCTCTGACAGATATCTATCCACAGGAGTTAGTGGAGTTAATTGTCTTCCTCCTTTGCTTTTAGAAGGCTGTATTTTTACTTTATTTTCTGTCTTGCCCTGTGCATATTTCTTACTTCCCTTTCCTTCTCCTTGGCAGAGGTGAAGTGTCCTCCCCCTCCAAGCATTCCCAACGGGAAGCACAGTGGTCAGCCCTCGGACACGCACCTCCCTGGCTCGGCTGTGCAGTACAGCTGCTCAGAGGGCTTCTCCCTCATCGGGAACGCCTCCATTCTCTGCACAGCCAGTGGAACGTGGAGCCGGCCCCGGCCCCGGTGTGAAGGTGTGTTTGTGTTGGCTCCTTTTGTCCTCCCTGCTCCCTTCTTGGCTCTTGTTCTAATCCAGACCAAGTCTCCAGTGAGAGGCGGAGAACAAAGGTCCCACAGGCAGGAGGAGCCCCATCTGCCTCTGAGGGTTTCTGTTCCCACCCTCAGAACAGCTGAATAATGATATTTTGTGTAAGAACAAGAGCCAATAATGTTGACGTGCCCATGACAGTGACGTACAGCAGCAGGTACTGCCTCTGCTCAGTGCCCCTCCACACCCAGGGTGGGTTTCACATCCCCAGCAGTGCTTTGTGCTCTTTTCTTCCAGCAATTGGCTGCAACAGACCAGAGATTGAGAATGGAAGAACGACTGGGCTGGAGGCCACGTACAGACTCGGGGATGTCGCTGTCTTCCAGTGTGATTTTGGTTATGCCTTGAAGGGCTCTCAGCAGTCTCGCTGCCAGTTTGGGGGCAAGTGGGACCCTCCTCTCCCCACCTGTGAGAAGAGTAAGTGCAAATGAGGTGGAGGGTGGTAGCTGATTTCTTCTGAAGCACAGTGTGAGTGCGCCTGGCAGGGTGGAACACCTCACCCTGGAGGTGAAGGAGCTGCTCGCAAGGAGTGGAAGGGAAAAGTCAGATCTGTCTCCCATCTCCATAATCCCCATTCAAGCACTGGAACAGGGAAGTGGGGGACTCAACCATCCCTGGAGGGATTTCAAAGGCATGTAGATGACATGGTTCAGTGCTGGGTTATTGATGGGACTCGATGAATTTGAAGGTCTTTCCCAACCTAAATGATTCTGATGATTCTCTAATTCAGACCCTTATAATGTAGGGCTCTCATCTCTTTAAATAACTCCACAAAGGGACCAGGAGTCAGATTGGTGTCTGATCTCATTCACAGCCACAGAAAGCCCAGAGCAAGCTGTTAGGGCCACAGATGGAAACTAACCACTGTAGTTGCCTAAACAGTTAGAAATTATCATTCTTGATTCAATAAGCTCAAGAAACATGAAGGCTGGAAGGTAAGTGAGGGTAGGATGGAAATGTCATTCAGTGACATCCCTGAGTAGCTACTGGGCAAAAGTTGATGGGAAAGAAAGAAGTTCAAAGGCTGCCCTACCCTGCAGTGGGGGTTTGTGGTACCAGCTCTTTACCAGTTAGGACATTTTCCCTCCTTGTAGTGCTGCGGTGTCCTTCCCCTCCAAATATCAAAAATGGCCATCATGACAGCAAGGATGTGGATGTGTTCATCCCTGGAATGTCAGTGAAGTACTACTGTGACCCAGGGTATGTCCTCACTGGGAAGACAACAGTTTCTTGTTTGACATCTGGATCCTGGAGCATCCCTTACCCCCGGTGTGAAGGTGAGCTGTAAATGCTGTAAACGGACTGTTGTGGTCGCACGGCCTCCCCTGAAATTTGACCTCTTATAAACAAACAGGGTGGATCATTTTTGAACAAGCTCTGGCAGCTGCTTCCCCAGCCCGTGCTCTGACACTTTTCCCTTGCAGTGATCACCTGCACCAGCCCCAGCATCCGGGACGGGGAAGTGGCTGAAGGCCGGAGCTCTGTGTACCATCCTGGGGCCAACGTCACCTTCCAGTGCCACCCAGGCCACGTCCTGCGGGGCAGCCATGCAGCCAAGTGCCAGCCCGACGGCCGCTGGGTGCCTGCTGTGCCCACCTGTGAGCAAGGTGAGCACGGGCACCTGGGGGTTTGGAAGGAGGCCACCCAAAAAAAAACCATGGCCAGCAGGTTAAGGGAGGGGATTCTGCTCATGTGCTCTGTTCTGGTGAGACCCCCACCTGCTGCCAGCTCTGGGGTCCCCAGCACAGGAAGGACATGGAGCTGTTGGAGTGAGTCCATAGTTGATAAGAGGGATGGAGCATCTCTGCTATTAGGAAAGGCTGAGAGAATTGGGATTGTTCAGCCTGGAAAAGAGAAGGGTTCAGGGTGATCTAATTGCAGCCTTCCAGTACCTGAAGGGAGCTGACAAGAAAGGGTGGAGAGAGACTATTTACAAGGGCCTAGAGTGATGGGACAAGGGGGAATGGCCTCAAACTGACAGAGAGTAGGTTCAGATTAGATGTTAGGAAAAAATTCTTCCCTGTGAGGGTGGGGAGGCCCTGGCACAGGTTGCCCAGAGAAGCTGGCACTGCCCCATCCCTGGAAGTGTCCCAGGCCAGGTGGGACAGGGCTTGGAGCAACCTGGCATAGCAGAAGGTGTCCCTATATTATATGATCTTTAAGGTCCCTTCCAACCCAAACCATTCTATGACTCTATGATTGTTATGCTGGAGTGGCCCTGAGGTCGTGCTTTCTGCCTCACCCACACCACTTCAGGTGTGACAGTCTTCTGCTGTGTTACATGTGCCCCTCTGCTGGGCAAAATCACTAAAACTCTGCTCTGTGCTCCTGCCCTGGCAGTGGTGCTCTGCCCTGAGCCTCCTGTCATCGCCCACGCCACGCACGGCGCGGAGCTCGGGGCAAACTTCACCAGCGGCGCGTCGGTGAACTACAGCTGCCAGCCTGGCTTCTCCCTCCTCGGAGACCCTTCCATCTCCTGCACGGCCTCGGGGAGCTGGAGCCTTCCATACCCACGCTGTGCAGGTGGGACCAGCTGCCTCCTTGTGCTCTCCTGGCTGCCTGAGCATCCACCCCGTGCTCGGCTCGCCCTGGATCAGCCAAACCTGCCAACACCCAGAGCTGGCACGAGTGGGATGAACCACACGTCCAGTGACACCCGTGGGGCTGAACGTGCTTCCAGCACATGCAGGAGCTGTGTCCCCTCTGGTGGCATTGGGAATAAGCTGGTGGCATTGCTAAGGCCCGTGGTTTCCCAAAAGGAGGCAGGTTTGGGTGTTCTAAGTACTGAAATTGAAGATTCCTGCACTCTACAGTCCAAAGATGCCACATTGTGTGATGGCAGAGCTGTGTAGGATGTGCAGAGTGTGAAAGCACCAAACTGGCTAAACTATTTTGGGGGGCATTGTATTTTTTGGGAGCATTCTATTTTTTAAAACTATTTTTTGGGCCGTCGTATTTTTTGGGGACCATTATATTTTTAAGCTATTTTTGGGTGCAATATATTTTTTTGTGAGCATTATATTTTTTTAAAACTATTTTTGAGGGCATTGTATTTTTGGGGGGGCATTGTATTTTTGGGGGTATTATTATTTTAAAACTAATTTTTGTGAGCATTTTTTTAAACTCTTTTTGGAGGCATTGTTTTAGTTTGTTTTTTTTTTTTAAGAGCATGTAAATTAGGGGCATGTGTCCTTACATGTGTCCTTACATGCTGAGTGTTAATTTATGTATTCAAATAAATACACAGAAGGTATATTGATATCTTGGGGTTTAACAGTGACTATAAATGCACTTGTTTCTCTCTAACTGCATTTCACAACCAAGGATGTGTTTCTCACGTGCATTTTGTTCCTTGGCAGCTGGATGTGGCACTCCAACAAAGTTATTGTTTGCTGAGCTAAACAAGGAGTATAAAAATCAGACTGAGTTTCCTGTTGGGAAGACGGTGGAATATACTTGTCGGGCTGGATACGTGAAACATCCACAAATACCACCAACTATTACATGTCTTGAAAATCAAACATGGTCCGAAGCCCAGGAGTTTTGTAAATGTACGTTTTGCAGATGCTTCCAGGTTTTTTTTAAATACTGTGGGAGAAAGCCTTGTAATTTCTCCGTTTCAGTTCCTTCCTCTGGAGGATTTGGCTCCTGGAAATAGTGATACCTTTCCTGTGACACTGAGTTAAAGAAGCTTGAGATCAGATTCTCATTCCACCCCCTGCCATGGGCAGGGACACCTTCCTCCAGCCCAGGTTGCTCCAAGCCCCATCCAACCTGGCCTTGGACACTCCCAGGGATGGGGCAGCCACAGCTTCTCTAGGCAACCTGTGCCAGGGCCTCCCCACCCTCACAGGGAAGAATTTCTTCCTAATATCCTGTCTAGCCCTGTCCTCTTCCAGTGTGAAGCCATTCCCCCTTGTCCTGTAACTCTAGGCCCTTGTCCAAAGTCTCTCTCCATCTCTCAAGTAGCTCCTTTAGACACTGGAAGGGGCTCTAAGGTCTCCCCAAAACCTTCTCTTCTCCAGGCTGACCAACCCCAATGTTCTCAGCCTGTCTTCACAGAAGAATCCCACCAGCCCTCTAAGCATCATGTCCTTGCCCTCTTCTCAGTTTTGTTTTGTCCTCTCTCCTTAGTGCTGCAATGTCCTTCACCTCCAGCTATTGACAAAGGAAATCACAACAGCCAGGACTTGGAAGTTTTCACCGCTGGGATGGTTGTAAACTACAGCTGTGACCCTGGGTACAGCCTCCTGGGAGAGGCATCGATCTACTGCACCGACTCTGGGAACTGGAGCCTCCCTCTCCCTCGCTGTGCAGGTACACTGTGCCTCCAAGCTGGGAGTTATGGATAGTCTGGGAGCTTCTGAAAGCTTGTAGGAATTTGTCCATGCCAAAATTCACGATCGTTTCGTCCTTCTTGGTTTTCCATTTGTCTCGCAAACTTACCCGTGCATGCTCAACGCACATTTTAAAACAACTTTGTGCAGCTGATATTCCTGTTTCTCCCTCTGCTTGCTTTCCTGCTAGGTGGCTGTGGTGCACCCCCGAACTTCACCTTTGCTGAGCTATCCAAGGAACACAGAAATCGGGTGGAATTTGCTGCTGGGGACACCGTGCGCTACAGCTGCCAGCCGGGATTCACGAGACGCCCCGGAGTGCCCCCAACTCTGACTTGCCTCAAAAACCGCACGTGGTCTGAAGCGCTAGAGTTTTGTAAAAGTGAATAGCTCCATCAGTTTGGTGTTGTTGGAAACTGTCTGATTTGTGGGTTTCTTATAAAAAAAAAAAAAACCAACAAAAAGATTCATACATGGCTTCACTAGTCACAGAGTTTGGGCCGTTGTTGGCTGTTTAGAAATCAAAATTATTGGTGTCAGAATGTGGACAGAGCCTTAAGATACCTTCTCATAGTGCGTTACACAACTGCAAGAGAGGAGTTTAAACACAGCCTTGTTCTTTCCCAGGGAAGCAATGCACATACCCAGAAACACCCAAGAATGGCAGAGTTGTTGTTCTGACAGATCTCCTTTTGGGGTCCACCGTGAGCTACACGTGTGAAGAAGGGTAAGTCCCACACTGCCTTTGCTGACTCTGTGTCTGAGCTCGGTGTTGGGCAACTTGTGGTAAAGCATTAGGGCCCAGTCCTCTGAGCAGCTGTTCTCCCACAGCAAGCCAGAATTTGGATTTTGGTTCCAATTTTGCCTGCTTAGGAAAGGGAGAGGTGTCTCATTTTCCCCTTCCTGTGCTCAGTAGATTAATTTGCACACTTGAGTTTCAGCTTGGCTCCTCAGATGGCCACCGAGCAGGAGCTGAAAGTGCAAGCAAGGAGGCTCCAGCCCTCTGGAAATCAGCTGTGTCCAAGTCCTGATTTAGCACCTGACCAATTACTCGGAGTCATTTGGGATCAGTGTTGTTCCCCTTGGATCCAGGAAGAAGGAACTTGGTATCCTTCACTCCCATGTGTCAGAGCAGCAGAAACACCTTGGTGACCAGCCAGAATCAAGGAGGCTGCAGAGGGAAACCTCTGGGGGTAGTGTCAGAGTGGGAGTGCAAAATCCAAGCTGATATTTGTGTCTCTGTAACTCCAGGCACCGGCTGGTTGGACAGTCTCAGAGGAGATGTGTGATTTTTGGACGAGATGTCACATGGACTGGTCTTCCTCCCATTTGTCAAAGTAGGTCACCACTAGATCGAGCCCAGAACTGGCAAATTAAGTCCTTAAAATCAAAAAGTGGCATTTCCTTGAAATAAATAGAATTAGACTAATATGACTTTTAAAGCATAATATTCCTCTAAGATAGGGGGTTTTTTTGGATGCTTGCATGTTTGGTTTCTTCTAAAAATCTTCCAGATGTGAGCTTTGGATCTGCATAGGGATGTAGACTGAAGAGTTGTGAGATGCCTGCAGGGCTTTGTCCCTTTTGTTTCACAAATATAAATAGTAAATTAAGGAAGGAATGTGTTTTGCAGTAGAAGAGTGGGACACTGAGTAAAACCAAACTGGAATCTTCCAAATGCTGTGCTGTTATCCAAACCACAAGGATGTTTTGCAGGGGTTGATCACTGCAGTTAGTTTCCCTTTCAGATGGAATTGCTTTGGAAGGTGAGTTTGGGATAGTAAAGCAGTCATGAGAATGGCTAATAGTGCCTACAGATTTCTACCCCATTTAATACATTTATTGGAATGTATTTGCACTATTCTGTTCATAGCCACAAACTATGTTTAGATAGGTAATATAACCTTAGGGTACTTAAATGAACTAAAACGCCCTCGGTTCTTGACATTATTCTTCTCTGAGTCTCCAAGCACTACCTGTGAAAATCCTCTGAGCACACTGAGGATGGACTTTATGTATGCATCAATTAAAGCATAAATACGGCTTCACATCCATAAATATGAATTTATTTTTCAGAGGTGACCTGTCCACTCCCACAGATCCGGAATGGGAGAGTAACTCTTCTTAAACATCGCTACACATACAAAGACACTGTCACTTTTAAGTGCCGTAAAGGTTTCACCTTGCGAGGCCATCACACCTCCCAGTGCCAAGCTGATAAATCCTGGGGTCCACCTCTCCCTGTCTGCGAGCAGGGTAAGTCTCAGCACTTGGATTCATCAGCATTGCAGATTCCTCCCTGGTTTCTACTCAACAAAGCCAAAGTTGCCTTTATTTTTCCTGTTTGTTCCAACCATTTAAAGGAGAAACCAGCACTTGCTCCTTTTGTTTATGCCTCTCTTTTCGTGCAGGAGGTGAACCAGGGGTTGGGTAAAATGCTGTAAGTATTAGCATGATTTGCACTTTCTCACGCTGCTTCTTGCAATCCATAACCCACATTCTCTTCATTTCCTGAACGTGAGAAAATTGGCAGCTTCAAGGCAGGACAGTGTCTATCAGAGAGGAGGAAAGTGCTGCAAATGTAAAGGCAGGATGATGGAAAATGAAGGTAAATTTGTAGATCGTGTTTACTCACCCACATTTTTAAACTCATAGTGCTGCATCCAGATGGAGTGGCAGAACATCATCATCATCATCCCAATACCACCACAAGTCCAGGTAGGTCTCTCCTAAGAAGAGGAAAGATTTACTAAACATTAATTCTTCCTCCCAACCTGTCCTGCTTTTTTGAGGGAAGAGGGATAATTGATCCTCTTGGTGTTGGAGTCAGTGCTGTGGGAGTGAGTGTTCAGCTGCTCTAAAGTTTTCCCTCTTGCCTCTGTGAACCCTGTTTTGATCTGCACATCTCTGATTTTAGTGCTGCACTGCTCCAGGCCTGCAGATATCACTCATGGGTCTCTCAGCAGCCCAGTAAAAGCAGTTTTTACTCCTGGAACATCTGTAAGCTACATCTGTGATCCTGGCTTCTCTCTCCTTGGGACAGCATCCATTTATTGCACACCATCTGGAGCCTGGAGCCATCCTCCTCCTGTTTGTCAAGGTGTGTTTTTGTGGCAGAGAACTAAGAACAAAGGACATTTAACAACTCTTGCCTTAGGGAAAGGTTTGTAGAAGGACTAAATCTGAGTCACACACAACGTGTGATAAGAACAAGACCGAGTTTATAGCCATTTCCAAAGCCTGATGGAGTTACAGGGTTACAGGTTATTGAGCCAAAGTGAACAAATTCAAAGGGAACAATGAAGTCTGCAAAGGCACAGTGCCTTAGCCACTCTCTGGTAGTTCTTCAGGTCCTTCTTTCTTGTCTCTCCCCTCCTCAACTTTCCAGCTGTGAAGTGTCTCCCTCCTCCAAACATCACCAATGGGAAGCCCAAAGGCAACACCTCTCACACTTTTCCCTATGGAGCATCTGTATCCTACAGCTGCAATCCTGGTTATTCACTCATTGGGAATGCTTTTATCAACTGCACGGTGTCAGGAACCTGGAGCCAGCCTCTTCCTCACTGCAAAGGTGGGTTTTGTGCTTCCTTTGCTCCTGTTGTTTGGAATTTGTGGTGGCAGAAGCAGGCTGGGCTGAGGGACATGCAGCCACAATGACATACACATCTTACTTTGGGGGGAAAATGAAATCTTCAGAGATTCACGGGCCAAACTCTAAGCAGTAAGATCTTCTGCAGCTAACACTGAATTCCATCCCATTATTTGGTTTGGGATCTGCTTCTATGTCACAACTAGGAAGTGTTGATCTGTTAACTGTGAATTTATCTGCTCTTCGTTACCCCTGGGAAGAGTATTGTTGTAAAGAAGCAGGATGGAAACCTCGAGCAAACAGTCAGAAGGATGTGAGTCCAACAGAGGCACTCCTGAAAGGCAGTTTTAACTCCTACACGTTTTCCATCTCTGCCCCTGTTGCTCCAAATGAGGTGTACACCAAATTCCCTCCACTGACAGCTTTTTACTTTCAGTAGAAGAGGAGAAACATTTTTGTGTCCCTTCCCTTTTGTGTCTCACTCTCCAGTTATCAGTACCAGGAAACAAAGGAAGTGATTATATCAGGGAAGTTGTCTCTGATGGATGGTTTGTGTATGACAACTATTTCCTCCTCTGTGTCTCTGAATTGGCACTTCCAAGGTCAGTCACGGGGCAAACTTGACTAAAGCCAATTGCACGAACGTCACAGGATTCCTGCTGTGGGTGTTGCTTCACGAGAAACTGGACATTCATTGAAATGAATTAATTACCCACACCAGGAGCTGCACCCGCCTCAGTGACTCAGGAATTGAAAATCTCAGATAATAATAGGAGGAAATAATGTACTAAGTGCTTATGTAAATAAATCAGAGGCTCCTTAAGGGAAGTAGTCCCAGAAAAGTTCTGCCAGCCATTCCATATTTTTGTGGATTTGAAGTGTCTTTAGTACTAATACATGTGATAGTAAATACACCTTCGACACACAATTTTCCATCTGCCATACCAGTGTGGAGTAGCTGATCTGTACAAATATTCATATGTGGCAGTGAGACTCTTACCCACCTCTGCAGCCACAAAGAAAGGAGCTACCCTGTGGAATAAGAATTGATTCCCAACTACATTCAGAAAGAATTCAAGAACCATGTTCTGAATAACCCACAGTTGTATTTCCCATGTTTTATGTTCCCTCTCTTTGAATGCCCTTTTTTGATTACTTCCAATTCCAGAGATCAGATGTGAATTCCCAGATGTTCAAGGTGTTAAGAAAGCCATTAAAGGAAACACTTATCGTTCTGGGACCAACATCACTCTTGAATGTGATGATGGTTACATGTTGGAAGGCGTCAGTCAGACTCAGTGCCAAGAGGATTTCAGCTGGGACCCTCCTGTGCCAGCCTGTAAACTGAGTGAGTGAAACGGGAATGAAGCAAAGATCAGATAGAAACATGTAAATGCATCTTAAACATGCAAATATCTTCTTATATTTAGGAAAAGAGTAAATAATGGTGTGGGGTTTAAGGAATCAGTCTAACCAGTGGGATGCTGGCCCAGAGAAGCTGTGGCTGCCCCATCCCAGGCCAGGTTGGACAGGGCTTGGAGCAACCTGGGCTAGTGGAAGGTGTCCCTGCCCATGGCATGGGGTGGAACAGGACTATCTTTACGATCCCTTCCAACCCAACCCATTCTATGATTCTAAAAGGTATATTGGTAAAGTGAATAACGACAGTAGACAAACACTGGATTCTGTTAGAGGAATTTTCTGATTATTTCTCTTTTTTTCTTTTCCCTCCAGCATCACACAAGTCTGGGTCAGTAGGCCTCGGTAAGCAGCTTGCAAACATTCTTGCAGCCAGGTCTTTAGCTCAGTGGCACTGTTTCCTTCTGCCTACTTGGCAGATACACCTTGTTATGTCTTTTGTGTGCTTTCAAACGTCCAGTGAGAATAATCCAGGCTCTTCTCTCTCAGGAGTCGCAGCTGCAGGAGCTCTGCTGCTCCTGGGGGCAGGCATTGTCTGGAAAATAGTTTCCAAGCAGAAGGAAGGGTAAGGCAGTCCTCTGGATGTTTATTCACGTCCTTTGTTGCCAAGTGCCAAGCTTTACACACTTTATACACTTAAAAAAAAATATTTGCCTGAATGTGCCTGGGTCTTGTAATTCTGGACCTGCAGCTCACACTTGCAAACTGTACAACCTGGACTGGATGGTGTGATTATGTCATTTTATCTCCTTCTTAAAGGACACCAACCTGAGTGTTCTCTTACAAAGCAACACAGTTCATTGTTTTCTTCTTTTTCACTTAGCTATTATCGTACATATGAAAATTACAATTACCAAACCCCTCTGAACCCGGTAACTGAACAGAAAAGCTCATGTCTGCCGTAGAAGGTATGGTTTTATATTCCTCAACATAAAATATCAGTTATAGCTGCAATAATTATACGGTTATTTGTTTATATTGTTGACTTCATTGTCTACTCGAATGACTATTTTTCTAATAGAATCATTCAAGTAGAAACCTCTTTCCCCTCAATCTTCTGGTAAGATGTTTTCTTTGGCTGAATAAAAGAGACTGTTTTAAACATACTGAGTTTTTAAAACATCCTGGTTTTCTTTCTGACACCAACCTCAACGTGTGTCTTTCTTTTTCTGCAGTCTGAATGGATGGTGCTCACAGGTCAGACTTCCAGACTAGTCTTTGCTTCTGACATAAAGCTGCCTTCAATTTTTTATGGATTATGGGAGAGCTTGCTCTCTAAAAAACTCCTTTAACAGCAGTAGTGTCAGAAAAGGACACTGCACTGGGCTTTTGGGTTTTTTTTTCTTGCTTTCACACGTACTACAACGATATTTTTACTGACAGGTGAATGTACTTTCTGTGGTGAACCTGTTGCAGCCAAGAGTGAATTTTCACTGTTAGCAGCAGCACTCACTCTGAGCATAATCAGCTTAGATTATAAAAAGGCTTGGTTTTGGGTCATTTCTTTGAAACAAAGCACTTCCCAGAAATTCTCTCCTCCCTCCTTGAGTAACAATGTACTCCCTAGACATCAGTACAGAAACAGGAAAAGTCTAATTTTAACACGAGCATGTCATCTTTTTCCTAGGCTGGGCATCCGTGTCGCTGCTAACCAGGGACTTGGCTCGTTCTCCACAGCGAGGGCTGCATGGAAGTGCTGCTCAACTTGAGGCTGAAATTCTGTGGCAAAAATAAGGCACTTTACTGTAAATCTTTAATGCTCCTTCTGCTCCCCTTAATTACTATAAGGATCTAATGAGGCTCAGACTGCACACAGTGAGGATGCTGCCCCAGAGGGAATTCTGTGTGCTGCTTCTGATCAAGAATACGTCATCTGCAAAGCCAAAAAATCTGGATAACCGAGTCCCATTCAGGCGTTCCTGCACGGGGGTGGAAGTCATAGCATGTTAATTAATGTCTTAGTAACAGCTGCAATCACATCCCTGTATTTCCTTCCAGCAACGCTTATGCGCAGCGTTCCTCTATACAAATGCTTAACATAATAAAAGCTGAACCCTGGACTAGAATTTTGTGTCTTTTTTTAGGTCTGTCTAGAATTTTAAGGGGGGGGTTTTGTTTGTTTGTGCGTGTGGGGTATTTTATTGTTGTTATTTTAATGCTGCTCTGCAGCACGTGTAACGTGCTGAGGGTGTTGCAGAATTTGGAGCACGTCAAGATTACCTTAAGTCGGGATGTTCTTTTGATGTAAGATCTTTGTATCCTTTCGAGCCTCATCAGTACGAAAGGAGAACTAATAAGGGGAACAGGCAGAAGCTGCATCCCTTAGCCAAGGATGTAGTAAACAGAGGGGGTGATGTGTGCTGTGTAGACACTGGCAAAACACTCGAGGCCCATAAACACAGCTCCACAATTCCAAGGAACTCTTGTTTAATACTAAAAACCAGGCCACGGGTCAAACAGGCCGTTCAGCTGAACACGCGGGGTGGGGGGGCTGGGAGGCATTACGCAATTTCTGTGGAAACCACCAAGTAAAAAAAAAACCACAACAGCGGGGGCCGCGCTCGGGAAACGACTCCCGAATTCCTGCGTAACAAATGAGGGCGCGGAAAGCCCAGCGGGGCGCGCCGAACACCACCCACGAGCGGGGCTGGGGGTGAAGGAAACAACCGGGGGGCCGAGCCCCGCCGTGAGGGCGATGGCGGCGGGCGCGGCCGTGGCGCTGAGGGCGGGCAGGGGCGGGTCCGCACATGCGCCCCGGCCCCGCGCTGCGTCTGGGGCGCTGTGAGGGAGCGGAGCGGGCGCTGCCGCCGCCGCCGCCCCGGCCGCGGTCATGGGGCCGCTGTCGGTGCTGCCGCTCCTGCCCGTGCTGCTGCTGGCGCTGTGGGGGCTCGGCGGAGCGCGGGCTGAGGGTGAGCAGCGGGTTTGTGTCTCCCGCCGGGTGCTCGGGGAAGGGGCGCGCTGGAGGGGCGGGTGCGGCGCGGAGCTCTTCCCCCCCTTCCCTCGCCCACCGTGGGGGGAAGGAGGGAGGGGGGGTCGCGGTGCTCTCAATGCTCGGGTCCCGGCGGTGCTGCGGGGCGGGGAGCCCCGGGGGCTTTCCTGGGGAGGAGGGAGGAGGAAATGGCTTGCGGAACCACGAGGGTTTGGGCGGTGTTTTGTGTGTGTGTGTGTGTGTTGAATTGTCGAACCGCTTGGGTGGGAAGAGACCTTACAAAGATCATCCCCTTCCACCCCCTGCCACGGGCAGGGACACCTTCCACCATCCCAGGTTGCTCCAAGCCCTGTCCAACCTGGCCTTGGACACTTCCAGGGCTGGGACAGCCACAGCTTCTCTGGGCAACCTGTGCCAGGGCCTCCCCACCCTCACAGGGAGGATTTGGCCCTAATATCTAATCTAAACCTACTCTCAGTTTAAAACCATTCCTTCTCGTCTTATCACTCCATGCCCCTCTAAACAGTCCCTCTCCAGCTCTCTTGGAGCCCCTTTCAGGTACTGAAACAGTGAGGGGAAGGTGGTGCTGCAGAAACGTTTGGTGCCAGTGGGACCCTGAGCTTGAGGTTTGGTAAATTTCTTTTCTGGACAATTTCTAAACAATAATAGAAATAGATCGGGAAAGACTGATAGGTGTCAAAGAGGTGATGGCCTCTGTTCGTGAAGTCTTGCAGATTTATATAGTCTGGTGATTCATATAGGGGGTCTTGAAAGTGTTTCTTGGAGTCCTTTTGCGTGGAGGAGTTTTATCTCTTCAGCTTTAGGAGCTGGACTTCCATGAGCCTCGTGGGTCCCTTGCAACTGGGGATATTTTGTGATTCTAACCAACCCCAGGACATTCCTGGGTCTGTAGGTCTCTGTTGGATCATGCAGCTGGTTTTTAAACTCTGCTTTCTGCTCCTTAGACTTGATTTCCTTTCTCCTTAGTGAAAACCTGTGGAAACTACGTGACATATTTTCATAACATATTTTCGCTGTCAGCTGTGTGAGTGGGGCTGGCTGGTTTTGTTTTTCCTGCAGCAAGCTAAATAAGCGTTTCATTGCTGATGGGTATACAGTGAGTTAAGCTGTGTATTTAACTTCAAAAAAAAAAAAGGCAGACAAAACATAAGATCTGGAAGGAAATGCAGTGTCTGGGTAGAATGCTGAAGGACTTGGGAAAACAATAAGTGTCGAATATTTGGATGCAATTAAAACGTAAGTTAAAATTTGGGAACTAGTTAAATATAAAAATATCTCTGGCTCTTAGGAATGTCACCTCTTGGATTTACCAGTAAATCCTTAAAACCCCTGGAATTACCCTTCTGTGGCTTCTGTGCTGTTACACCTCGGCGTGTTTCTCCTGTTGCTAAGGTTGTGTATTCCCTTTTCCTCCCTCTGCCAGACGTGTGTGGTGCTCCAGACAGGCTGCGATTTGCAGAGCTGGAGGAGAAGTTCAGAGGAATACAGACTTTTCCTGTTGGAAGTCAAGTCTCCTTCATCTGCCGGCCGGGATATATGAGAAGCCCTGGAAAATCCTTAACTCTTACTTGTGGTCCTGACTTACAGTGGTCACCCAAAGAGCAGTTCTGTATAGGTAATGGTGCACTTTTTTTGTACCCTTTTCGCTTTTTCCCTTTGACATTTAACAGTTTTATTTGTTTTGCCAGTTAGAATTAGTATTTTGCAATATTTTTAAGCAAGGCTTGGAAAGCACTGATGTTGATAAGGGCAATATATGCCAAAGACTTTGTGTATATAATTAGAAGTGTACATTTTTCCTTTCTTTTTATTCCCCTCTCCCCCAGAGAGAAGATGTAAGCACCCAGGAGAGTTAACACATGGTATTGTTGGTGTGACAGATCTTACATTTGGTTCAATTATTACTTTTTCTTGTCAAGAAGGGTAAGTATTTTGGTGAAGTTAATGAATCCTTTATTTTTTTTTTTTTTTTGCATGTTTACACCAGATCTGAACCAAACCCCAGTTTTCTATGCAGGTTCCATTCCAGTTCTGACTTAAAATCTGAATTCTACCTGGAGCAAATGAACTTACAGCTAAATTTGATTTGATTCCCTGGTTTAAGTGCATCAACCTTTAGCTTTCTAGGGAGATTCTGCAGGGTGAAAACTAGAATTTTACCTCTGATGACTTTCTTTTAGTGCTCCTGTGGCAAAGGGAATAAATATATGTCCATCACCCTTCACTGTTATATTGAACAGTGGACCACTTGTTTGTGTGTAGCAAATGAAGATACTTCTCTCATTACAACAAAACCTTGGTGTGTTATGTCCCCATAATCACCGAACAGAATTGTATAAACCAGTTTTTTCAGGTGTTTGTTGGAGAAATGAGAGATTTGAGTTTAACCTCTTTAAAAACATTTACCTCTCTAGGTACAGATTACTTGGAAATGATAAGATTACCTGTGTAGTTATGAAGGGAGGTGTTGACTGGGATGGTCAGATGCCTTACTGTGAAGGTAAGTAAATTACTGCCTGCTTAATTTTTTATTGAGATGGTGGTAGTTCATTTAAAAACAGCTGTGCCATAAACCTTCCAGGATAAGAAATGATGGTAAAATAGGACAGGTTGTTTGGTTTGGGTTGGTTTTTTTTGGTAACTATTTGGGATGTACCTGAGGGATGACCACTGAAAAATACCAGTTTTGGTGGTAATTATATTGAAATCAACCTCGTGTTGAAATTGAGATTCTCAGCTATAACTGTAGCTTGACTTGGAGCAGCTATGTCAGATTTTAAGTGAAATTCCTTGGAAATCAGGGCTTACTGTTTCTGAGATGAACAAGCTGACACACCAACGTTCTTTCTGAGTGGGTTGTGTTGATTGGTTTCCAGTGATTCCCTAGAGCATCTATGTCAGATTTTAAGTGAAATTCCTTGGAAATCAGGGCTTGCTGTTTCTGAGGTGAACAAGCTGACACACCAGTGTTCTTCCTGAGTGGGTTGTGTTGATTGGTTTCCAGTGATTCCGTGTGAACCACCTCCCAGCATCACCAACGGGCGCCACACGGAAGCGACCGACTACGTGTATCAGACTACAGTGAGGTACTCCTGTGATAAAGTTCCAGCAGGCTCAGATCCCTTCTCCCTCATTGGCTCAGATACAATTTACTGCACGGCTGATGAACACTCAAATGGAGTTTGGAGCGGGCCACCTCCACAGTGTAGAGGTTGTTGGGATTTTTAATTTTTTAATATATTTGTTGCAGTTGCTGTCCCTTTTTTTTGGAAGCAGGATGGGGTGGGGAAGGGACTGAGAGACCATAAAGCCTGGGTAGCTGAAGAAAAGCTGTGTAAAGAACAAGGATATGGAAGCTAAATTAGAAATAGTAATAGGCTAAGGAAGCCCTTCCAAAACAACTTGAGGACTGGGACATTTGCAAGTGGGGACTGGGGGTTGTGTTTGTTGCTATGTTTGTTAACACAAACGAGCTGTTTCCTAGCTGTTTTTCTTTTGTCTCTTTTCAGTGGTCAAATGTGAAAACCCGAGAGTTAAAAATGGGCAAAAAATATCTGGATTTGGGCCTTCCTATACTTACAAGGACTCGGTCCAGTTTCAGTGTAATGCAGGCTATTACATGGTCGGAGAAGAGATGATTTACTGTTCAGAAAATAACGCCTGGTCTCCTCCACCACCAATTTGTACGAAAAGTAAGTCTTTCCGTCAGATTCCAACATGTCTTGGGTGCTGAGAGAGTTGTAAGTCTTGTCTTAGGTGAAATTTCAAATCATGACGCTGTGGTTGTAAGTCAGAAGCTGAGGAAGTTGACTGTGGGTGACCTTTTAGGTGTTTGAGGGGCTCTTAACTCCAAAAGAGTTTTTGGCTTACTGAAACAATCAACCAATGTGGATTTCAGAGCTACCACATTATAAGATTGTATCACCTGAATGAATGTCTACAGTGATGTTTCTTTAAGCCTTCTGAAGGAAATATTTATACGTAAAATTGCGGTCAAGTTAAACTCCTCAGATGTGCTGAGCTGCTTTTCTCCTGCAAGGGCAATGTGTATTTGTGGAGTGAGTTAATGAGTTATGAAATATGTCAAGTTTATTATCACTAAGCTTGTTTTTAAATTCATGTGGTGATTCCTGCAGATGTGTGTGATGCTCCAGAGGTCACAAATGGAGCCGTGGTTCCGGTGAAATCTGTCTATAATGAAGGAGAATCTGTTCAGATAAAGTGCAATGCTGACTGCTCTTTTCCTGATGGCACTAAAGAAGTGACAGTGGCTTGTCAGGGACAGAAGACGTGGAGTTATTTTCCAAAGTGTACATGTGAGTAAAAGTCATACTTGGTAAAATCAGGGGCAGAGTGACAAGTTTCAAATATCTGCTGCAGTAACACGGCTTTTACTTTTTTTTTTTTCCTCCATTTCCTTTCCAGGTGGACCTGAAAGTCCTGGTTCCACTCCAGGTACAAGTCCTCCTTCCACTCCAGGCATAAGTTCTGGTTCCACTCCAGGCATAAGTTCTGGTTCCACTCCAGGCATAAATTATGGTAGAGTAGTTGTGGGACAAAAGCCTTCCTATGTTGTGGGGGATTGTATTACGATTGAATGCTACGCAGGGTACACGTTACATGGTGAAGCTGAAATTCGGTATATGGGAGGAAACCAGTGGGCTCCTGAAGTGCCAACCTGCCAGCTGAGTAAGTATGAACTGCAAGGAAATTCCACTAGAATGAAAACACATCTGAGAGCAGCTCTGCTACTTAGGAATGTCCTTTGATATTCAGCAGAAATAATTTAACGCAACCCCCTCCTTTATTTTGGCATTTAAAAAAATAGGGTTTGCTAAAATCAATTAAAAATATAAATATTTTAAGTTAAGTAGATGCTGTGGTGTAAACTGACCTGCTTCATAGATTGTGTTAACAGCATGCTTGATCTGCTTGGAGTAGCTTTGTGAATATTTTTATAATAATGTTTGAATAAGAATCATGTGTTCCTCTTGTAATACTGACTCCCTCTGTTTTTAGGTGGATATGTCATAGCCTGCATCTGTGGTAAGTATTTGCTGACACCTGAACAAGATACAATGTTGATAGTATTTTTTTTTTTATGTGACAATTACTTGATCACCTTGATCAACTTCTATCACTGAGTTTGTTACCCTGTTTTGTATAAACTCATAAAAAGTTGTGTTAGAGGGTTGTCATTCCTGTTTTAATGTTACTGAAAGGGTGGGGTTTTGCCATCTTGGTGGCCATTGTTCTTGAGCTGAATTAAGAGTCTTGAACAAAGAAACAAATGCTTAATTTATGTGGCTTATTTAATAAATAAATTGGGATGGGGGGGTAGGGGTAGTGTCGACCTGTGGATGAAAACAATGCTATTTCTGCAAGAAATTTTTGATGCTTTTTTGGTGAGCTAGAGATGATCTTTATCACTCTAAAGCTTTTATTTATTTTTTATATTTTTTTTTTAATTCTTCCTGAAGTGCTTGTGGTAATTGTGGTGCTCCTGGCAGCCTTCTGGACCTATAAGAAATTCTTTTCACAGAATGGGTGAGTAAGCTTCCTTTTTTTATTACTGTTATTATTGCAAATTTCCAGATGACTGAGCAAAAGCTGTGCTGACATGTGTGAGTTTCTTGAGCTTTATCTGCCCTTTCTTGTTCAAATGCCTGATTTGTGTGTGAGCTTCTCACAGCAGCTGATGGAAGCTAAAGCCTAACAATATATTTGACTTTGTTTTTGTATCTGTTGTTCAGCTAAGCTGCTAATTAACACTTGCACTGATTTCAGGGAAGGAAAAGCCTTGTTCTTAAGATTGTGTTGGGCATATTTACACTTGCCAAGGAAAGTACTTTTGTCCTCTGCTAAAAACATGTCAAGTTTACCTTTTAAAGTCAGGGCTAGTATTGGTTGTGTGGGCTTGTGGTACTGGAAGGTTTTCAGGTTTGTTTTTTTTTTCTCCTGCAGCAGCAATGTTGGTGTCCCTGTGCAAAAGACTGTAAATCAACTGTAAATATTAGATTCATACATAGGTAATAGTGTTCTTCTGTTTTTAATGAGACATAAAGGGTGTTTTGACCTTTATCTTCAAGACAACTGGGGTTTTTATGTATGCTTTTTCATGGAGGGGTGGCAGGAAATTTAAATGCCTCTTTGTGCATTACTTCTTGCTGTAGTGCCTGATTTTAGCTTCTTGAAAGAAGCCTGTTTTGTTGGAGACATAGTTTGTAACATGCAAAACACTGAAAATTCAGAGCAACTTAGGTGGTGCACAGGGATTGTTAGGAAAAGCATCTCATAAAAATGGAGTAATCTCTTAACGAAACCTGTTGGAATTTATCTGGAGCACATGAAGCAAGGACAGGGATGCTTTAAATAAAGTAAACCAGAGGAAATATTCCCGTGGTTCGTATTTGTAGTGAAGCACACACAGAGTGCTTGGGAGAACCCTGAAGGCAGTTGATGTGCAGTGAGGTTTTAGCCTTAGTACCTTCCACAGGATCATTACAGGGGCCAGGGTGACAGTGCCTGCGGGGCTGCTGAGGAAATTTTGAGCCATTGCTTCTCATCCATGACTTGGATATTCTGCAGTCTGGGCCAAAGAAGAGTCCATGGGAGCTCGTAGCATTAGGGCAGCACTTTCTCTCTTCATCCGTGGAGAGACTTCTCAGGGCGTAGGAAGCAGCAGGGATCTAAAGCAACATCATAAAAAATTAAAGAATGTTGTATCTCTGAATATTTTGCAGCAGTTTTGAAGCCTTCTTGTGCTTAGTGCTCTCCTTTCTCTCTGTGAACATCTGACTGTTAAAGCTCTTCCTTGTCTGGAAACCCTGATCTAATCTCCTTTTATTAAGGCCTCTCTCTCCCTATTTAGTTTTCCGAGTTCCTGACATAGCTAAGCCTTTGTGAACTGTTCTGCTTCCACCCCCCTACTTGCTGATTTGTGGTCTTCAAATGGCAGCAAATCTTTCCTTGCCCTGCCTCATATATGTTTAATCTGCCAGTTTTATGGGACATTCAATTAGACCTTTCTCCCCTTCTGCTGTTCAGCTCGTACACAGTTGATGAGAGTTGCAAGGAAACATGTATTTTAAAAACTCAGGCCCCAGCTGAGATGGAAGACACTGAATACATGAATTAATTGAATCTTTCAAAGGTGTACACTTTCCACTTCATTTGGACTTTGCAGTGAGTCTTAAGTATCTTTTTTATTGGGTTTACTTGGAATTTAAGAAGTGTGGAGTCTGTGAACCTTGGCTTCCTATAGGAAAGTGTATCATAACCTTTCATTCATTCTGGGAGAACAGGATATAATATATAAAGAATTGTCATTCGGGAGTGTAAATAATAGCTTCCAGTGATTGCACATCACATTTCTTAGTGCTGAATTGTCTTTGGAGGATGAGTAACACTTTACACACTTAGTCAGTAGAATGTTTGCACCCATTTCAGTAATTGTAAGTGGATTCCAGTGCTGTTACACTAGCTAATAGTGTAATTCCCTATGATAAAAAGACAGTTGAAGCTGGAAGCCACCTTTGGACACTAAAATTCTAAAGGTATTTGTGCATCCCTTCAGAGCAAATCAGGTCCCATGCCTTTCAGAATTATTGATTCACCTGCATTTTTTCTTTCTTAGAAGTAAAATATATGAAGGTTCTAACACAATCTTCTTTTTAAACCTTCTTAGGAAAAGGTGGTTTCTTTCTCAGAGTTCTGTAGCCCTGAAAAGGAGCAAAACATAGTTGCTTGTTTGCAACTGATTTCTTCTGTATTTTAAACTAGTGCTTAGTCCAGAAGTGAGTGATGATGGTTGGGATTGCACTTGGGTGGAGTCAGATGAGCTCTCTCAAAATCTGACTCTTCAAACCTTGTTCCAGCAGAACAGATTTGAGATAGAACAGCTTAGTTTGTCTAGTATTTGTCAATATTTTGTCCTTACAACTTAAGAGAGTTTGCACTACAAATACTTTTTTAAACCATTATCTTCTTTTTCTGTCCCTTTTCTCCATTGCACAAATTCTTAAAAGGTGATGGGTGTTTATGTCTCTTACTCAAACTTAATGCCAAGGTCTGGTTTTTATTGACTTGTAAAGAACAGGTGATTTTCCAGTGTTTTTGGTAGGTTTTGAGATGGCATATATAAAGATTAAGCTTGGAGTTTCTTCCATGATAATGTATGGATTAAGGAATATCATCTTTACCTCTGAAGAAAAATGTTTCTAATTAAGATAGGATTAGTTGTCTCAGTTAGTTGGACATACTTTTGGAGAGAAAAAAAGGAATCAAGAGATAGAGTTCTTCATTCCAATCTTACCATTACATGTGATAATGATAAGAGAAATTACTGCTCTGGTATGCGAAAACACTGTTAACTCCTGAGATTTTCTTATGTAGAACTCCTCAGAGAATTGGAATAATAGCACAGGGGTTTGGTGTGGGGTGGTTTTTTTTTTTTTTTTTTTGGTAAAGCAAAAGAGGAGTTATTCAAGATCTTAAAACATATATAAGAATGTTATTGTGAATTTTAATTCTTGTAAATTTGCTGTTAGTGGACTGCACAATCAAAATTCTGGCAAACTAATAGTTTCTGCTTAGAAAATGTGTACACATTGAATTTAAAATGAATGACAAGGGGTGCATCTGATGGGGTCTCCAGCTCAGTGAGGAGTCCTCTGACTGTTCTGTTAGTTTTTGATAATATTCAGGCACGGTCTGTTCATCACTTGAAATGATCCATTTGGATCAAATGCTCTTCTACTCCTTGGGTGGTTCTTAACACTTTATAGAGAGTGAAGCAAAAATCTCCTCAGTCCAGCAGCTGCTTAGTAAGGAGAGGACAAACAATGACTTAGTTTCGTGACTTTACCTGTTGATTTAATGCCAAAACTAAGGATGTGCTTTCAGTATAAATGTAAAACCTATTGAAATGTAAAAATCTCTGATTTGACTTGTTTTTTTGTTTGTAGGAAACGCGACGGCACTTCATGTACTGCCGAATATAAGATCTGTAAAGCATGAATGACCTTTTTTGGGGGGGGGTGGGGGGGAGGTGGGAAAGGACTTGCAGTGGAATATCCCTGTGAGAAATGGAAAACAATTGCACTCGCATTGAGTAGCCAAGTATCTCGTGCTGTGTCGTCTTGTGGTGGTTTAAACGTAGGAGGAGATGATTCATGGGGTAAAAAGTGTGTATGCAGTTATGTAGACGGTTTTTCCTCATGGCCCACTGTCTTTCCTCGTGGCTGCATTGTCCTGTCCGTGTTTGTGCCATGGTCTGTAGGACCTGTAGCATTCCAGAGTGTCTGCCTGCAGGAGTGCTGACTGTCCCAGTGCCAGCTGCTGCTGCCATCAGCGCTACCCCTTTGCCCACAGAAGACTGTCCAATATGCTCTGTTCTTTTATAGTTCTGCTCACCAAAGCTGTGTCCTCCTCCTCCTTTTTTTGTGGCTGTTGTCCCTTGTGTTCTGAAATGTGTTGTTGTTATTATTATTTTCCATGAGAGATCGGTGTCATTGAAGGCTGTGTCTTTTTGAAGCTATCACAGGTCAGATCATGTGCTCTACGTCTTTTTTTTTGCCAGAGTTGATTTCTGTGTATCTAATGAATTAAAGTGTGCCTTTAAATCAGAGTTTTATAGCTTTTCCTTTGCTTTTAAGAAGGAAAAAAGCCATATATATTTCTGACTCTTTGATACAATCCTGCAAAGGCCACAGTGGATTTGTTATAGTAGAAAACTGGAGGTTTCTGTAGCAAAGACATCCCCTACCTTTGAATCTGTTGGCCTGTTCTGGAAGTTACCTAATTAAAGGTACTGTTGAGAAATCAGTGGTACCATGTCCTGTCATGAGCACAGTGTAAGTCCCTTTGTGGGCTCGATTTTTTTTTTATTGAGCCTTGATGTCAGTTCTGGAGATACTTTGCTCCTTTTCAGGATAGGAAAGGTGCTGTGTGGATCCACCTTCCTTGCTTTTTTCCTTGAAATCATGTATTCCACTTTTCAAATCTCTGTATACAGACAGTGATGTTAATCAAGCTCTGTAATGATGGATTTATTATATACCTGTTCAGAAAGAGAAGCCTTTCCCTGTCAGACTCACTTTTCATGTTGAAGGAAAACCAAAGCAGTTTAGTGCTGGGAGTGCAGGACTGCGTGTGCTGGCAGTGGTGGTAGATGAGGTCTCTCTTTAGCTCCTTAACACAATGTTTTAGTCCAGACCGTGACTCCAGGAGTTGGCAAACGAGCTTGCTGTGAATCGAGACTCGTTGCTGCTTCTAATTCCTTATCAAAACCAAAAGCCTAATTAGGAACAGGCTTTTAGCTTCAGGGATCTCACTGTCAGCCTCCAGGCAGCTTCTGAGAACCAATTCTCCCAGAAAAACCAAATTGCCTCACTTCAGGAGCCTGGGGTAGCATTGAAACTGTTCTGGCTTGTCTGTGGTGGCTTGGCACTGCTCCACTGTCATCAACTGATTGTTGGAGTAACAGAGAACTGTTTGGGGCTTTATAGGGCTTTTTGGGACAATCCCAGCAGTTGCATTGTTAGAGCCCATAATAGTCTGTGGTTTTTACAAAGGGGTTTTGGCTCCCCAGGATGACTTGCTGGTTGATATCTTAGTTTGAGAATTGTTTGTAAACACTGTATTGTGTGACTGGGGGGTTTGAGTGTGGGGGTCACCAGCTCAGCTTGCTCTGTGTGGCATCTGCAATGTGCTAAAACCAAGCTGAAATGCACTTAAAGCTAAGCTGAAATCACTGTAAAAATTTGCCTTATTTTTACACTTCTTTCCGGATGTAAAGACATAGTGATACCTTGTAATATTGCAAATAAAAATGTTAAATTATTTAGCAGTAAGTGTTTGTCTTTCATTCGTCATGTGCTGAGTAGCTCTTTTCCCATTATTATTAAGATGATTTTTCGTGTAATAAACTTTTATTGGATGGGAACTGTAGAGATTGAAATTTGCAGTTTGTGCACAGAATTACTCAACGATAGCGTAGAGAATGTGATTTAATTTGCTGAGCAGCCTTTTAGGATTTTCTTTTAGAATTGCAGAGAATTCCCCAGAACCTCCCATACTTTACTGTGTTCACTCCTGAAAAACTTGGTAAAAATTTGATGGAGAAGAGGCAGATTATGCTGTGGCTGTTCTGATGGAACACCTGAGTCAGGAGCAAAGCCCAGTGAGCGTTTTGGCACTTTTGTCCAGTGTGTGACAGATGAAATCCTTAAGGAATGTAGATTAGGTGGTTTTAAGTGACATTTTAAGTAGAATGTGATTATTAATTGCATGAGTTTCACACTTAAAATGTACTTAATTTTCTTGGCAAAGCAATGTGTGGAGCCAGCTGCCTTACAGAATGAAGCCTTTCAGAGAGTGGAATAGAAAAAATAACTAATATGCCATAATTTTTTTTCCAATTTGTGATACTCAAAAGGAGTTGGTGTGGACTGCAAATGATGCCAGACTACAGAACTTTACATTATGAATTTTTGGGATTTCAGTGAGCTTTGGTGGGATAAGCAGCTGCTTGGCAAATTTTCCAGTGGAAGATGTCCCTGCCCATGGCAGGGGGTGGAATGAGATGAGCTTTGAGTCCCTTCAAATCTAAACCATTCTGTGATTCTATGAATTTAACTTAGTCATGAATTCTGCACCATTTTTCTAAAACTCAGTCCCACATGAATTATTTCCTTTTGGACTCTGGAGCTGATAATCAGAGTCGTGAACTCTGTGCCAGGGAAGAGGCAGCATGGAATAAAAATGTGTTGTTGCCATCTACTGGTAACACAGTGGGAGTCACAAAACAGGTGCAGGGTTACCTGGTTTAGTGTTAAATCACGTGAAGTGTCAGTGGTTGGTGGGTGAAAATCAGTGTGAATTAAACCCTGCCCGTGGCAGGAGGTTGGAACAAAGTGATTTTTAAGGTCCCTTCCAAGTCGAACCATTCTGTGAATCTAAATACTCACTTCTCAGGGCGGTGAAAATGGAGCTGGGGACTGAAATGAAGAGACTTGCAGCACTTGGATATTGTCCAGCAGGGAAACAGGTGATCTGTCTACCTCAGACAGAGCCCAGTAACATAAAGCACACAATTTTATTTAAGAGGAGAAAAAAAAAAAAAAAAAATCAATCTACGTAAAGAACAGGTTAAGGCAAACAAATCGCACATGGAATAGAAGTGGCCGGATGGTTGGGTGGCTGTGCTGTCACACCTGGGCCCTGGCTTGCTGGAGGTGAAGAATCTGAGTTACATGTTTGAAGAGATGCTTTGCTGTCTCTGGGAGCATCCCTCCTGACTTGCACGGGGTGCTGACTGTCCTCCTGTTGTGCAGGACGCTCGGCCTGTGGGTGTAAGTTCAGAGAACAGCAAACCACACGTGTTTGTGAGGCCACGGGTCGTGCTTTGCGTGGTGGTTATTTAGGGCTTGGGGGGTTGGGGGGGTGGGGGAATGAAGTTTTCCATTTTAGTGTTGCTTTTCCCCCTACATCATAACCGATTTCAAATGGTGCTAGACAAAAACTGAGACTCTGAACACCAAGAGAAATCGGTCAGCCTGTGTAAGAGACGTTTTCCTGGCTCAGAGAAGGATCCTCTTGTAGATGGCAGCTATGGATTCTTTACAGATGACTATTCAGAGCTCTGATCAAAGGCTTCATCCACACAGCGATCGTCTTTTCTGGGTGTAATGACATGTTGGACAGCAGGGAGGTCGAGCAAAGATAGTTCAGCTTTGTTCTGGTGGTTGGGATGCAGGGGTGGAGAAGTGAAACGTTACTAGAAGTTACCAGCAACATATTTAAAAATAATTCCAGCAGAAGGAGTGGGTTCTCTGTGTGTGACATCACCAGGATGCCCATGGGCAGGGGTTGGAACAAGATGATCTTTAAGGTCCCTTCCAACCCAAACCATTCTGTGATTCTGTGGTTGCTGAAGGCACTTTTTGTGTTTATATTATTGAAGGGAGTTTGTGTGTGTGCAGAGCAAGTCTCTGGGAGCTGTGGAATGAGAATTCTATGGAGGTAGAGTCCCCAGGCACAGAGTGGTAAATCCATTTGCTCTAAGGTAATAAATTAAATGTTAGTGCTAGAGATTGCCTAATAAATGTACTCTGCCTGTCAAGATGCAAGAAGTACCACGTTGGTTTTCATGCAATTTCCAGATCACTCTACTCTGGACAACTTGAACTCATATCCATTGTTTATTAAGTAGAAGTACATTAGAAGGAGGCTGTTCTGTTGTGGCCCTGGCTTGGGAGGGTGTACAGGGGTTGTAGAAGTGTCTAGAAATCAGATGATGTTACAGAGTGGATGGCTGGCAAAAAAAAAAATACCCTTTGGAGAGAGGGCTGGTTTAAGGAGCAGAGGCTGTTGGTGAAGTGAGCAGCTGCTTGATCTCTTCCCACGCTGTAATTCTTGCTCCTAGAACACTGATTTCAAATGGTGCTAGATACAAAGTGGGAAAATCTAAGCCACCATGTGAAACCAGCTTCCAGAGGAAGACACATCTCGTGCACGGCTGCAGGCTGAGGGAGAAAATCCTTCATCTCCACCGTACCTAGAGAAAAATTCATTGATTTAATTTGATTAGACAGCGAGACAGTTAACTTTGGGGTAATTTCTTTATGGACACACATTTGTGAGTGGCTGAGGCTGGTGTAGGAGAAGTTAAATGTGATGAAGAAACCTCCCCAGCCTGGCAGTGACTATTGTTTCCTTTCCTGGCCAGGTGGAATGCACTGAAATTCTTACCAGCAAGAGTGATACAGGTTTCATTTCTTTGTAGTGATGGGGTGTGTGGGGAAGTTTGAGTTGTACAGAAACACTTTTTCCATGCAGATGCAACCAGGCTATAAACCTCATTCTGTCCAAGACAGAGTGTTCTGGCTTTCTATCACTTACTGATCTCGGCATCATCAGAGAGGACAAGGCCACATCAGATGCTTTGTGTGACAAGGAAAGGAAATGTGACTGTCCTGGTGCAACTTCCTCTGTCAGCTGTCTCACATGGCCTGTGAATTCTTTAAATAAGCAAGAACTTGGCAGATTTTTGCGAGACAACTTTTAAATTCTGCAGGGACAGTGAAAATAAATTGGGATTGAAAGTGCTTTGTGTGTGGGTCAGAGCAGAAAGGGAGCATTCATAAATCTGGCTGTAAAGAGTTCAAGGAAAGTTGTTGAGGAAGAGGGAGAGTCTGCAAATGAGTGGCTGATGGTTCCTGGAGCTGGAATAGGTCTGAGCAGTGATGTCCATGTCTCAGTGCACAGGGAATAGCTGGAGTGTCAGGAAGCCTGTGAACCACACAGGAGCATAATTCAGGAGCTGCCAAACCCCGACCACCATGTGTGACCTGTGCTGGTGCAGAAGCTGATGTAAAATGGAATCAAGCGTGGCAGAACTGGAGTTGGGTGTTTCACTCATGGATGCCCTGGGGTTTTGGCAACACCTTGTATTAATTTTGTAACCACATCCAGAAAATGTGCTCCGGTGCCTCCATCCCAGTGCACACTCACAGGCAGCAGAGGAAGGGCTCAGAGAAAGGATGTCCTTCCAAGAAAGAAGGGTGGAGGAAGGGGAAAGAGCTGTACTAGATTACTGTGTCTGGGTATTTACTGTAGTTTCTAAATCCATTATCTGGGGCAGCAAGGTGAAAGACAAGTGGAAAGCAGGTTCCCTCCCCAGTGTCTGTCGTGCTGGCACAGTTATTTATGAGGCACCCTCTATTATCAGGTGAGATTTACTCCTGAAAAGCTGGACCAAGAGTTGCTGCTGCTGTAAGGTTGCAGCACAGATCACAGAATCACTGCAGCATCTTTGAGGAACAGGTTCAAAGTGAGGGTTGCTTTGCTTTTTATCCTGTCTCAGTAGTAAGCATTAAAAAGAAATCTTTATCAGGATTTTCAAAAGTAGTTGGGGGAAATGTCACTTAATTCTGTGCTGCTGAAAACAGGAGCTTCTCTCAAAGTATGAGACTTACAGGGACTGAACACCTAAGCCCACCTTCCCCTCTCCAAAGGAGACTAACCTTTGCAGAAATACTATGCAGCAGTTGAAGACCAATAGCTCATTTATTATTTACAGTTTTGATAAAACCAGGTTTCACTTCAGCATAATTAAGATGCTGCTGGCCCTCCTCCAGGCTACCTGAAGTTTCTCCTGTTGCCTTAACGAGCTCCCCAGAAGGTGTCAGCCCATTTTGCCAAGGTGCAGGTACACATTTTGGAAAGGATACATCTGTGTATGTTCTCCTTCCAAAGCTAACAGCATGTTTGGGCAGGCAGCAGGCAGAGAGGAGGAGAAAAAGAGCAGTTCAGGATGCTGTGATACACAGCACCTGACTGGGAATATGTGCATGTGCAGGGAAATAGAATCACAGGATGCTTTGCTTGGAAGGGACCTTAAAGCTCGTCTTGTTCCACCCCCTGCCATGGGCAGGGACACCTTCCACGAGCCCAGGTTGCTCCAAGCCCTGTCCAACCTGGCCTTGGACACTTGCAGGGATGAGGCAACCACAGATTCTCTGGGCAACCTGTGCCAGGGCCTCCCCACCCTCCCAGGGAAGAAAATAAACCAGGACTTTCCTCAAACATTTTCTGGTTGTGTTGTACATGTGGACACACGTGTGGAGACAGGCAAATACTGTCGGTTGACTTAGTCAAAGTGGTCTGGAGTTTTCAGTAAATAATAGGAGGAGAAGTACACTATTGTGGTTCTGGGTTTTCCCTCCTTTTCAGATGTTTTGGTAGCAGGGCCCTTCTTTCAGAGGAACATCTCAAAGCCTTTCATGGACTTCACACTGTTTTACACATCTATAGGACACAAAGGCAGAAAGGGCATCCCTGCCTTCCCCGTGAAAGGGAACTTCCTTTCTAGCCTAAGACCTTTAGTCTGCAGGAACAAGGCAAGCCTGGATGTCACAGACTTGATTTTTCACAACCTGCACCTTTTAAATAAAGGCATTTCTGGGGCATTTACAGTAAGTGAAACCGATCTCTGTGTGACCCTGTGTGCACCATAGATTTTTTTTTCCCTCCCTTTTCAAATCACGGGGTGAAACTTGTGGTTCATCAGACTCTGGTCTCCCCTGGAGAGAAATATTCCTGTTTCACATGCAGAAAGGCTGAGCTTGATGCATCATCCTCCCAGTGAAGGAATGAGTCAGCCCAAGGCCAGGTGTGGGACGGAGGGGTGTGACAGTACAAGTGGTGACCTGTAAGGGGAGTTGAAATGAGTGAACTTCTAAGGTTTCAAAAAAAAGCTTCCTGAGCCCGGAGGAGCTTGTAACTGCATCTGTTTGTTGTGCAGGTCTGGTGCTGTGTGCTGCTGCCTGGGTCAGGTATGGACAAATATGCCTTAACTTGCAGCCTGAGCCAGGCCTGAGTCTGTAACGCTCTGCGGGTCAGCAGCGCTGGCCTGGGCTGAGGAAAGGCAGAGGAGATGCTGCACTGCTTAGTAAAGTTGATGCTTGTGACTAGAAATGGCTCTGGAGATGCTGCTGCTGTTACAGGCAACAAAGACATGTACTTCTCTCGAGAGTTTAAAGCATAATGGAGATTTTTTTTTTCCCTGTTCGGGATCACAATAAAAGCTCTGCATTACAGTCATGAGTTGAACACAGCCTGTTGCTTTAGTCCTACTATTGCAGCCTTACAGCTGTAACATTAAATAGATTTAAAAGCCAGACACTTTGGGTCTGCAACCCCCCCCCCCAAAAAAAACCACCCCAAGGCAGGCTGAACACCAGACTGGGACATGCTGGGGGTAAAAGCCTGTGCAGCCTTGTGTCCCATTTCACTCTGAGCAATGGGACAGTCGGGCCTGCTTGACATTTGAGTCACTAATTTTGATTCGTATTGAGGGGGATCTGTCAGAGCACTCACCAGCATGTCTGTGCTGAACTGTCAGAAAGCTGCCCACTCTTCTGACCCATCTTTTAAAATGGTTCAGGGTTTTGGGGTGAGGGTTTTTCTTTGCTTGTTGGCTTTTCCAGATAATCTTGGGCAGGTCAGGTGGTGGGGGGTGTCTGTGATGGCTGAAATTTGGCTTGTGATGAGGTCTGAGAGGTGCATCTTAGCCCTGAAAACCCACTGGTGGGGGGTTAATTCCTGCTGCTCTGACTGAGTTGATAGAGCTCATTCCCAACATGGGTTTGGTGCCAACCAGGATTTTCCAATGCTGAGCCACGTCTGGCAGTTGGCATTGAGAGACAGGAATTGGTGGGTTGGATGCAGCAAACCTCACTTTCAGGGCAAGATAATTCAACACTTAACACTGACCCAGGCACTCTGGGTGATGGTGATGGACCACACTAGCCTTCATTTTATGGTTCTGCCTTGCTGATCCACGCTTTCTGTGGTGCATGGGTCTGAAAAGGAGGCTAAAAAACAGTACAAGAGACCTTTAATTTGTAGATTACAACTCTTTTGGAGAAACTTGGTGATAGCTCATAGCAGAGCAATATCACTAAAATAATGAGGATTTATTCACAAGACCTGTTGTGTTTTTAAATCCCAGACCTCTGGTTCAGACTCTTAACTGCGTGTAACATTTTATTTGCTATTGCTTGTCCCAAAGCTGGTCTGAACTGGAGGGAGCAGTTTTAGCATGGTGATTGTTCTAGGTGTGCTGAGATATTATTAGTGCTGCAGTTCCTAATCTTGTGATTCCCCTCCGCTCCTCTGAAATTGCTGTGACTTGTCTGGAGTCACAGTTTTGTTCCACCTTTCCGTGGGAAACCCACAGCGTGTTTGGAGGTCACAGGAGCTGCTGAACCTCTGGATCCTGGGTAGGATTTCAGATTTCCTGAGGAACAGTGAGGTGAAAGCAGGCAGACTCACACAGGGGGAAGAAGAGCACTGCACTTACATGGCTGAGGTCAGGGGAGAGCGGTAGGAAAGTACAGCCATGAAAACTCATCGAATTTAGAGCCCTACACAGCTTGAGTGAGCAGCACATTGCAAAACTAACTACACTCAAAGAAATGATCCTCCTAAGGAGCTGAAACCAGAAAAGCCATTTTCTATTCCCAACTTCTGTACCTAAGCATCACCTTAGAATATAAAGTATTGATTGCAGGGCTTGAGAGCAGTCACAGGGAGATGATTGCTGTGATTTGTGTAGTCAGTTCAGGAACATGGTGTTCCCCCAAGGCCACCATTCCAGCTCCTTTAGGTAATGTCAAGGGAAGTCATATTTTTCTTTTGTGTCGTTCAAGAGACAAAAGAATGTCCTGTGCCAGTGAGGAGCATAAGGAAACAAATACTGCCAGATGTTCACTGAAGTATAACCTGCCTTTAAACCAGATATTTGAAAACAAACCTTTAGTTCAGCACTATCTGCAGTAGAAGGACCTGGCAAAATAGCTAGAGAAAAGCACTGACCAAACCCCTGACTGACTCCCCGAGCTGCTGGTTTGTACCTGTTCCCAGGATTTCCAGCACTCTTATCACTGAAGATTTCACTGTATGTTTGAGAATATTTAAGAAACATTTGAGCTCTACAGCCAAATCCAAACCCTGTGGCTGCTGCTGGACTTGTGTGCACCCCGTGAATGTTTGTGTGGGGGGCTGAAGAGATGTGCTCAACTCAGAAATAGCTCTATTCCTTGGAAAGCTGGAGGGCTGAATCACACTGTGTTGGCTCAGTTTTTAGCAGACAAGCCATCACATATGCCTCCCTGTAGGCGAAGAGTCGTCACTGGCATCAGGATTAGCAGCCAGGTTTTTACCTTTGGAAACCAGGGAATAATGATACAGAAGGCTGAGGCCGATTGTGAGGAGGCTGCCCAGGGCTGGGGGCTTGGGGAAGTGGGTTGGCAACACTGGGAGCAGGAAGGGTCCCTGCTCTTGTCCCTGCTTGGCCTGCTCTGCCCCCTCTGTTCAAAAGGAGCCAGATAACATGCCCCCAAATTGAACTTTGGGCACTAAATAAATTACTTTGCTCAGAGGCATTAACCATTCCACTGCTGCCTGTGAAGCTGAGACAACTAGAGCCAGCCCTAAGCACATCCACGGCCAATGCTGTCCTGAGGCCACTGAAAATAAAGAGTGACAAATTGTGGACAAATAGGAACGCTGGAGAAAAATGTGGAAACCTGGGAGGGGACAAGACAGCTCCTGAGCTGAGGTACTTAAAACTGAAAGCACCAGAGAGACACCACTGGCTTGGCAGACAGTGGTGAACTTAGAGAGCCTGCAGAGTCCACCTGCTAACGAGCACAGAAATGCAAATATACACAGACACTTCTTTTTTTTTTTTTTTTTTTCTGGAACAGAGTGTATCTCCCTAAACACACGCCACTGCTGATTCCCAGCAGTCCAGAGGAAGTCTTGGGGGAAAAGGGGATGAGGGAAGTAGTGCAAAGTTTTTGAAGTTTTGGAGGAAAAGGGGATGAGGGAACTAGTGCAAAGGTTTTGCAGTTAGCACAAGAAGCAGATACAGATACGGATTTTAAAATGCTTCAGAGACATGGGACTTTTTTGGAGCTACAGTTTTGGGCTCAGTAGTCCACTGCTGCAGTAATGCTAATTATCAAGCTCAGGATTCGAGCACTGCCACAGATGCAAGAAAAGTGGATTGGGAGTTCCTGAACCAACTGGTTGCTGACCATGAGTCAGGGGAATGACCTTGCAGCAGGCAGCTCGCGGTGCCGCTCTCGGAGCCGTGCCAGTATAAACGGCACTGGCATCTCGGAGTGCTGGTGGAACCATTTTGTGAGCTTGAGAGTCCAACCTGGCCTTTTCTACTGCTGCCTTTGCACTGAAACGTTTGGGTGGGTGAGAATGGGCCAGAGGAGTCCCTTCTCATTTTGTAACGAGGGCATCTTCACAACCTGGGCTTGGGACTGTCTGTATCTATATGCAGATGTATAGAGGATGTGGACAACTATCTCTTGCCTACGTACTTGTCCATTAACATCAGCATTACAGCTATTTACCAAATTAAATCTTACCCTCTCCCCCAGTCACACCCATATTAAACTATAAGAAAACACCGTGATTAAGTTTTAAAAAACATACACGGCACCACTGAATTTTCTGGAAGTGATTTGTGAGAGGAGTGAGGGTAGAATACTTGGCATTTGGTCATTTTAATTAATCTTCCCAAATAAGAAAAACATTTGCTGGTAGACTTTAAGCTTCTCACGGCATCAGGAAAGCTCCTGACACCGAGCCCAACGCTGTATTTGTATAACATGGAAATGAACAGCAGCAGCAGCAGCAGAGCTGCAGGCTCTGAGTCTACTCTGCGAGCAACAAAATGGCCAGGGGTGCTGTTGTGTTCATCCGAATTCCTTCGCCATTTGGGGCCGTGAAATAGGTGGATCCAATACCCCCGACCCTTCAGGTATGGTTTGAACTTGTAGCATCAATATTAAATTAACGTTTCTAACCATATTCAAGCTTGTGCCCTCATCAGCCCGACTCCCTAAAGCACAGGCAGGAACCAACAGCAAAATTCGTCTGCGTCACAGATGTAACATGACCATCGGCAAAACAAGTGCAGGGGCAGATCGTGGCTGTCTCGTCACTCACAGAGCCTTCCTCCACTAGCAAAGAATAGGATGCTATTGCATTTAAGTAAGTTCACATCATGAGCATTTGCAATCCTGAACTTCCTCGCCCGAGTTTCGCGGCCCTTGAGCGGTCAGAACGGCCGAGAAAACTGCGTGTGTTTTGTCAACGAGGGCCGGCGCGCTAACGAACGCTGCGTCAGTGCTGCACCGGGGCCGAGGCACGCAGCAAACCCCACTGCCCAGGGCAAGGAAACCCAGACACACGCAAAAATGAATCAGCTTACACGGTGGCACACACACAAGTGTCGGAGGGAGGGAGAAATCACAGCTTTCCCGAGCTGTTTTGTGGCAATACCCAGAAAACGATAATGGAACAGTTAGCCACGTACAGCTCACAAGCGACAGTGCCACCCCTGTGCACGTAGTCACTGCTGTCCTACAGAAATATGCCATGTCCCCTTCTTAGCCTTGTTTCTTGCCAGTCCCACAGATTTACCTGCTGACAGTAACCTCAATTCCTGAGTAATGAGATTTACAGCTGAAGTTTAACATTGAAATAACTCCTCTTTTATCTGTGTCTCCTTACCCTCCCTGTGTTCAGTCGCAGTTAAACTAACTGTGGCAAAAAAAAATGGTGGCAAAGGGAATTTAATCAAGTACACCCCTGCACTGAACACTGAACCAGCTGCTAGTGGCACCTCCTCTAAAGCACTGAGAAATGTCACGAAGCAGCACTAGCTTTACAAATTATGGGGTCCTCCACTCCACAACTGTGACGGGAAAACCACAAAGAGTTGTCCATGCAGCCAACACTCAGGAAAAGAGACTCAACCCACCCGTCTTCCACGCAACCGAGCAGTCATGGCTTAGTCCAGCTCCCAGCTGTACAGAATTCCCTCCACGGCTGCCTCGGACTGTTCCTGCATGTGTGTGTATTTATGCCTGTCTGTCTCGCTGCAGGGACCACCGTCGTCACTGCTATTCCTGTTGTTCCCCTGCTCTGCGGATCTGGCGCTGCAGGAGGCAAGGATGCTCCAAGGGAGCCAGCTACAGCCAGCGAAGGCTCAGTGAGTCAGGAGGGGTTGTGACGACTGCAGTAAGAGTCTGAAATTCCCTACGGAATCTGGCAGAAAAGGAAGGGAAGGAAGAAAGGTGGAGATGGGGAAAGAGGGGAAGAAAAGTGGGGAGTGGCACGTAGTGCCTGTTTGGTTCTTCCCTCCCCGTTCCTACCACCGCAGTGCCGTTGGAAATGGCGTCCTCCCCTCCGCGGAACTGCGCAAAGGGACGGAGCCGGCGAGAAAACCGCAGCGCCTGCGGCCTGCGCCACCAAACCCCCAAAATTCGGTCGGGGCGGGGGTATGGTGGAGGTACAACCCTTCTCTCTTTCCCTCAGAGCACCATGCAGGGGACAGGCTACAGCTGAAGTGATGGAGACGGCGGACGCGCTGTGTCTGAGCCGGTTCCGAGCCCAGCGGTTGTTGCTAAACAACCAGCCCTGACGCTTGAGATGTCAACGAGTGAGTAATATAGATTAAACGCTTATGCTATCACATCCTTAAACTTGTTTAAGCCTCGGGATGATGAAAGGCTATGGAATAATGTTCCCTGCCATATGAGAAAGCAAAGTTACCACTCCACTGCATAATCGGGAGACTTCCTCGGCCAGAAGGACCAAGCTCAAGGCTGGTTGTGTCCTCAGCACCTCCAGGCAGAGCTGCCATCTTCATTGCTGGTCGCTTTAAGAAGAGAGGTGAAAAAATAGTATTGTAAATGGTTAAGAGAGAAAAATGTTCTCCCCTTCATTTCCTTGTCCTCTCTCTGGAGCCGCTCTCTGCCCTCAGTCTCCCGTTCATCCTGACCCAGTCCTTCCCAGTCCTTCGGTCCTTGGTTGCTAACGCTGTTGTTGCCTTTGCAAACCTTTACAGACCCATCACGGAGGGCAGTCCTGGCTCTCCCTGATGTTACCGAGCCTGTGGCAAACTCACCCTTGTGCAAACAAAAGCCGAGTTTGGGCAGGAGTCATTTTCGCTTCTTTAACTGTTCCCACGACATAATTTCCAGGTGCAATCCCTACCCTGAGCCATCACAGTCCTGCTAACGCTCAACCACCGTATGAGGGAGAGGAAGGCAAGGAGAAAAGCCCCGAACCGCAGCACTTTCCCCTCCGCCGTGGTTTGCAGCTCTGACACGTCATCGTCGCGAGCGGACGGCGGAACGACACCTCAGGGAGCGCCCCTGGATGTGAGGGCTGGCACCCACCGCCCCGAGGAGTTACCGGCTCCTGCCTGCCCGTGCCCGAGGGACAGCTGGAATCCTGGGATACGAGGTGGGCAGGGAGTGGTGGGCAGTGGGCAGGGAGAAGGGAGCGGGCAGGAGGCAGGGAGAGGGCAGAGAGCGGGCAGCAGGCAGGAGCAGCAGAGAGGGAGCAGGGAGCAGGCAGTGGTCAGCAGTGGGCAGGGAGCAGCAGGCAGGAAGTGGGCAGAGGGCAGGGAGTAGGGTGTAGGCAGGGAGCAGCAGGCAGGGAGCAGGCAATGGTAGGCAGGGAGCAGTGAGGCAGGGAGCAGGCAGTGTGGACAGTGAGCAGGGAAGGGGCAGCGGGCAGGGGGCAGGCAGAGCGGGCAGCGGGCAGGGAGCAGGCAGGGCGCGGGCAGCTGCCGGTACTTTGAAGCAACGTCGGGGTTTGACACCCAGCCCTCGGCCAATCCGGGAGGGCTTTTCACCTGCCATCACCTCCTCCGCCAATGGCGCAGCGGCTCCGGGCCCAGAGCCCTCCCCGGCCAATGGGGAGCCGGCTCCGGCACTTAGTTAATGATGCAGCAGTACAGGGAAGACTATCACATGTGAGCTGGCCGCCTGCCAGCATGGAGACACCGAGAGAGCAAGGTAAACAACTTTCCAACGCCAAAATGATGACATTTAATCCCTAAATGCTCGCTTCCCGTCTCGACTCATCTTTAACCCCTTTCAGCTGGTGTGGAAGCGTCTGGAAGGCACCGTCTACCTGTCCCCCCGGTGCTTTTAAAAACTGGACGACATGCCCTGCAATGATCACTGCGTCACCGTTTGCCACTTTCCGAACTACGCAGTGACAAACCTCCGAGCTCGGAATCGCAGGGCGCCTGTTAACCCCTCCGCCAAACCCTCGCCAGCATGCCAGCCCTCAGGGAGACGGGGGAGAATAAAAAGCCCAAACAAACCAGGCAAACGGCAGTCTTTGCAAAGTTGTCATCTCTCCCCCACGACTACTACCCTCCTCTGCAGTACAGCAATGCCGGCAGGAGTGACATTAGTACAACCTGTGCCGTCGTTCCATTGAGAAAACAGCTCTGACGCAGAACAGAGCAACCATACCCAGCCAAAATAATAACACAGGCACTTCGGGATCTGAACTTGGGGGACGCCGGGGGTGAGGGACGCCCTGCCAGCAATTAAAAATCCGTGGCTGCAGCTCCAGCCCCATCCTGATCAAAGGGTACGTACGTGAGAAAGGCGAACCGGACCGAAGAGCTGTGCCCGTGCACCATCTGCGCAGTCCTCAGCCCTCCGCTCGCTGTGGAGCGCCGCAGAATAGAAGGTTCCAGAAATTTCCTTTCCGTTAACCCTTTCGGTGTCTGCCCACTCTCCCTCCCCGCGGGATTAAGCGCGCCGGGTCTCCAGCATCGTCAATGGGCGAAGCCTCCTACGCCAACCGAGCCCGAGTACGATGTCCAGGTGACAGTGGATGGTGGCAGGAGCCCAGCCCGTGGTGTTGGTGGTACTTCTCTTCCTGGAGCCCTCTCTGCCTCTCTTGCTGCCTCTCTCCCCTCTTGCTGCAGCAGGGCTGTTGCTGGTAGACCTATCGACGGAGCTTGCTCTCTCACTCTCTCGCTGAGCTCTGTGACGCAGCTCTAAATTCTCCAGCCTGCTCCCTGTGTTATAAGAGCGGAACTGCAGCTTTCCAGGGAGCCCGTGCCAGCGGTGCCAGGGCCAGGCAGACCGGAGGGAGCGTCGCTCCTGGACTCTGCACCTTTTTTTGGCAATTATTCTGTTGCTCACCTCTTGTTTCTGTGCTGCCTCCACGGCTCTCAGCCTCGCATCTCCTTCTCTGCTTCTGAGTCATACTTACCAGGTTAACTCTTTTAGGATTGGTAGTCAGCAATACAAATCTCGAGCGAGAGCAGCTGAAACCACAGCCAACTTTGTGGTGGTTTCTGCTTTAAAAAAACCAAAGCAAATCTTCTTGGCTCTAAAAAAACAAAAACACACACACACACACATGCACGCACACACACGTTCCAGTAGAGAGTTAGTGCTTTTTGATTAACTGTTTCGGTGACAGGAACCATTACTTGACTTCCTAAAATAAAATATTTTAGGCCTACGTCCTGCAAATCCTCAGCAGGCAGATACCCTGAAGCACAAGGCAGCTTAAAAGGAACTGCTGCTGTGAGTAAACACAGGTCTTCTGGGCAGGAGGCTACTGCTGGCCCCACGAGACCCTGCTCTGCTGGCCACAAGACATTGATCTGAACGTGGTTCAGCTGCCGGGCAGATGCGTGGTGTGAGATAAGGCACTGAAAGTGCCATAACGCTACAGGATCTTCTTAATCTGAGCAGTATTAATAAGTGTTATCACACACACAGATTCAAAACGCTCGGCGTAGGCAGGGGAACTAATAACTGCGTTCCTGGAGTCACCAGAATCCAATAATCCCCGACAAAGACAGTCCACAAGCAGCTCTGTATTTCAGCACAGCAGGCGTCACCAGGCAAGAGACATCTTGCAGCTGAGCGCTCTCTCCTTGCCTCTGCCCCCCAAATCCCTCACATTAACTCCGGTGCCTCCAGTCAGGCTCAGCACCAGGCAGGGGGAGCAGAGCTCTCCCAGTCTGTAGCCTCGAAACTGGCAAAGTGTGGAGGAGGATCCGTGGTGGGTACAGCTCCCGGGAATCAGAGGAGCTAATGGAGAGGCAGCACCGTGTGAGGGAGTTCATGTGCCGGTCTGTGTACACAAAAGAGCCAGGCAGCGAGTCCGTTGGAAAACACAGAATCCAGGGAGAGATCCCTGCTCCACACCTACATCTGCCATTTTAATTCCGACTTCAGAGCCGGCTGCGAGCGTTGGGTTTTTCACTACAACCAAAGCTGAAATAACCACTATTTTTTCCCTTCGCAGCGTCTGAAGAGCCTGAGCTATTTTGGGATTTGTCTGTACTACACTGAAAATGACACCTGTTACGCACAGACACAAATGAGAAGAATTACAAGCTCCTGGTTCCTCAGATATGATTCTGCAGAAAATGGAATGAGATCCTGCGAGCCAGGGACCTGGGAGAGCAGCACAGGCCGCGCTGTGGGGTGAAGGGGATGACCCCGGTGAACTGAACAGCCAGACACCAGTACAAAAAAATATAAAAAGTCTGTTGGAGCTGATGCAAGGGGAAATCAAGCCTCCATGTGACCAGAAGAAGTAGTGCATGATCAACTAAATGCCACAATACATGGTTTCTTATGCAATCAAGCCCATGGGAGTTCAAGCCTTGCACATACACTTTGTGGCCAGAGCTGCGAGGATTAACTCCTTCGGTTAACGACGGTGAGAGCGCCCGGCTCCTGAAATGAGTCACCCTCGCTGAAGTAGGCCAGTGTTTGCTGCCATGGGAAGCTGCCTGTGCTGGTTTCAGTTACCCCCTGAGTTATCTCAGAAGCTCCAGCGTGCAGGCTCAGGGCGGATTTTCCACGTTCCCCGTTTTCCCCGCTGGTTTGCACTGTCCCAGCTCTGTGCAGGCAGAGGGGCCACCTCGCTGGACCCACCGGCCCCACGGAGCTCTGAACGTGACTGAGCAAGGTAAAAACACGTGGAGCCTCAGGAATGGGACAGCTGACTGGTGGGTTTAGCTCCCAGCAGTTTCATCAGTCGTGTGGTATATTAAGAAGGTAAAATGAAGCTTTGATTTATTTGAAATTATCTCTTTTTGGTTGCTTTCATGGCATGCATTTTATGGTTTGCTTTCGTTTGAAAATCTCCAACCCTGAGGAATGTTTCTACCTTTACCTGACTGTAAGTACCTTCTGGTGGCACTCAGGCTCCCAAGAAGACTCAGAGCCAACACTGCCCTGTGTGCAACTAAGTGTGTAACTAAGAAGACTTGGCACAGTGGAAAACTTCAGCACTTGGAACTGAGTAAAGAGGCCCAAAAAAACTAAAGTCATGTTCTGGCGCTGTTGGTGAGAATTGGGCATTTTCTGTAAAGAAATAGAGGCCATGATTCCATAGTAGAAATTTAGTCTGCTTTTCAAAGTGGAGCCCACGTACATGTTTTCTACTGGATTTGGGGTTCTTTTTGTCCTTTTTTTTTTTTTTCCCCTCCAAAGTCTAAAAGCAGGAAACAGAGCTTTGGTTTTGTGAGAACTGCCTATGAGGGTGCAAAGTCCTGGGCTAGAAAGCAAGCTTGGTAAATGGAAATATTCCACAGCCATGGTTGGAAGCAGAATGATCAGTATCACCATGTGAATGGCAGTGTGAGAATCCATTCCCAAACGAGGGCTCACAGCTGATCACAGCTGGGCCATGGGTTAAAAAAAAATTAAAAACTTTTTATAGTGTAGGCACTGTAACAACATTTCACAACTTATAACTGCAGCAGTTCAGGCTGGACGTTGGGGGGAACATTTTTTCTTGAGGAGAGTGGGAAGGATTGGAACCCCCCAGACACCAAAAGCCTGCTGTCATTGACAAGTTTTCCTCAGCACCATGAAAGGATCAGGGAACAATTCCTCAGTGAGCACAGGAAGTGTGGGCTTGCACTGCTTCTGTGCCAAACTGTACCTAAAGGTTCATCCTCAGTTCTCCGGCGTCTCCCGTGCGGTTCTCTGCTGTCACGCTGCAATGACCTTAATAGCAATAACATATGGAGGCTGACATTCCAAACATCTCCCCCTCCTGCACATCACTGTTGCTCTGGTGGGTGATAAAACAATCTTGACCATCCACTGAGGAAGGCCCTTGGTCTTTTTCGCGACGAAGGAAACCCTCGTGGTCCTGCCCCGCGCTTTCAGCTTCCCGCTGGCGAAGCCTTGGCTCGTCTCTCGGATTAAATGCCATCGGCCACACCTTCCTCCACTGCAGGAAACACATTGTTAAAATCAGGGCATGTTCCTGTTTAACTAAAAGGCTGAGATAAATAATCCAAAGGCCCCGATTATGCCAAACAAATTCCTGCCCGAGACGCAGCAAGTCCGGGCAGCTGTAAATCTGTGACCCCTCGGCCTCGGCACCCACGTAAGTGATGTCTTGGCACATCAGCGGGGGAGCGGCTGGGGATAAGGGGAAGGAGAAAAGAGTCGGGCAAAGGTGGATGGGGGGAATGGAAAAGTTCCTTCCCTTTACCAACCTGGAGTCCTAAAAGTTGCTTTAAAATGCAAACTAGTCTGTTTTTCAGGTGTTGATGTGGGGGGCTCTTTTTAAAGACCTTTTATTTGTCAGCCTTACAAACAACCCACCACCTCGGTGAAATGACTGTTTCCAACAAAATTCTGTGTCAGCACAGAATTCCCAGCCAGCTCCATTCAGGGAATACCATCAGAAACAGGAACGTGTAGCCCATCTGCCAGGACTATTTCCCCTAAACCTCACCAATCAGAGGGTGGTTAATTTTCAAATTTTTCTTTTGACTGTTGAAATAAAAAAAATCCTTAAAAAACCCCATCATTAACTCTTTGCTGTGGCAAAACAATTGTCTGCATTGACCAGGAATAAAGTAATTTTAGTTGTTGCTTAGGGAAACTGGCAAGTTTTTCATGTTTTCTTTTTAAAATCAATATAATTTTGCATATGGGAAGGCTGAGTAAAATTAAGGTTAAATAATGTGACCCACGTTGTATGTGGGATCAGGGTCAAAGCTGACAGGGAAATTCGGGTGTTCCTTGCTCCCAGATTTTATTCAAGTTGTGCTTCTATTAATTATAGTCCTTATTGTCCAGAAGGCCCCCAGTCAATTAGTGAGACGTAACCATCATCTGAGACAGAAGCTGCTGGAACAGCCTGGCTTTGGGAGGAAATGGATAAGGAATTATTTCAAGGAGACACTTTCTTTCGGTTTTCAAAGCAAAGCAGAAATAAGACTTTGAAGCCTGCCTTCTATTTTCACGTGTACATAGAGAGCAACAGACAATTCATGGTCTCTTAGTGCCACCCTGACAGGCACCAGGATGTGCAGATTTCCAGGAAACTGGAGACTCAGAATTCCAAAATAGGAATATTTGCTAACACAGCAACCAGAGTCCACGAAGGGATATTTTACAGTGTTTTTCCCACTGTGACAAGAGGAGAAAAGTTACCGAGTCACAACAAACATTTAGTTTTTTTCCAAAAGGTTTATTGTTTTCCAGACAAATTCAATTAGTGAATTCCAGACCTGTGGCCAGGGAGTCCTTTTCTCTGCCAGCCCATAAAATCCCAGAATCCCAGAATGGTTTGGGGTAGAAGGGACCTTAAAGCTCATCTCATTCCACCCCCTGCCATGGGCAGGGACACCTTCCACCAGCCCAGGTTGCTCCAAGCCCCGTCCAACCTGGCCTTGGACACTTCCAGGGGTGGGGCAGCCACAGCTTCTCTGGGCAACCTGTTCCACTTGGAACACGCTGTTGCTGTCACTGGGGTCCCAACCAGCAGGAGGAAGAGCTGCAGGCAGATAAATAGCAATAAACCCCTTCTCAAACAGTTTTAAAGCTGGTTCCGTGCGTCTGCTTGGGTGTTCACAGCTGACATTGCACCGGGAGTGGGGTGGGGGGTTCATAGTCCTCTCTGGGGGGTGGTTCAGGGGAATTGGATGGAACAGCTGGTGCTGAGATCAAAAGCCCTGCGAAGCCAGAGGTGTGGGTTTGTTTCCCAAGAGCTGTCGGGGATGTGCTGGCGTGGATGTGTTGGCATTGGGGAGTCACATTTGCATAAAGCGTTTGCATTCTCAGTGCAAAGCCAGCCCACGCAATAAAGCAGGCTCTGAAATGGGAGCCTGCAGGTGAAAAGGTGGCCCCTCCCTTTGAAAACCTGGAATCCTGGAATTTACCCTGTGAAGTCTAAGAAACTTCCAGCTGGAAAAGCCGGGATCCTTTTCAAAGAGGTGGCATCGCATTAACACGGGAGCTGCTTCAAAGCAGAGCTGTGTCAAAGCCAGGTTCAAGTTATTTGGGATCCTCAGCCCCCAGCTGTGCTCTGGTCGCTGTCTGCAGCGTTCCTGGTGGGAATAGCAACGCTTCCCGGACCCTCGACCGCTCTTCCCAGCGCTGGGAGCAGCTCAGGCTCCGCAGGTTTTACTCCGCTCCAAACCTAAGGAACCAAGAGCGCTGAGACAAAAGGAATTATTTCAGCTATTAGCTGCTAAGAA